TACCTCATTTTTCAATATGATAGCTTTTGCCGTAAGCCATCGACGATAGTTAAAGTCACGTACTTAACAAACTGTGTTCGTAACACAGTTAAACCTCCTGTATAAGGACGCCGCCCAAGGGAAACGGAAAAAGCCAAGTGTCCGCATTACAAAGGTTTCCGTATTTTAGAGGTGAAACTTAACTGTCCGTAAAAGAGAAATGTCTGTATAACAAAGGCGTTTGTAAGAAGTGGCTTGACTGCAATAAGTTTTGAGAAGGACAACATTTGCGTCAGTACGGAAAAAGATAGTATTCCGGTTGTCTCTTTGCTTTATTTCAATGCAAATGTCCTAGTCCATAACGCTCTCATAATTAGGATGCATCAGTATCCACATCCTGGATCGGTGTGTGGCCGAATGGGGGGGGTGGGGGGGTCGTATATGGATATTTGTTGACAATAGTGGAGTAGTTATCGACAAGTTGTTTTTGCTTTAGGACATAGAACGTCATTTAAATCAAGTGATTACCTCTCCGAAGGGGTTAGAGCATTGGAAATGTTCATAGTTGCGTATCCACAGAGACAGACCGTGGAGTGGTCTCTTGAAGATCTGGATCAGCAAAAAGCTTAGATTAAAGATATGTATAATTTGAATGTATAATTTGAACGTCCATGCAATTACCTCAGCCCGGAGATTCCTTCTGATTATAGCCTTTTTATACCTGTGACAACATTTTGTATAGTGGCAAAATAAATTGAAAGTTAAGTTGTTCCGTCAAAATAGAATACCATCACGTAACTGACTCAACTGTTTGACATACTCTCCTGAAGCATTCACCGCAATGAACTTGATGCGGAATACATTTACATAGCCAACTGCAAAACACTATGGCTATTACTGTTTTTTTTATTTTTTTTATTTTTATTTTTATGGCAAGCATCTTCGATGACTTCGATATTTTTTTAATCGAATCCAGGCAGTCTACTTGTTTTTTAAGTAATATGTATACCCTAAATACAAGGATAATGACATCTTACGACTAAGGATGAATGCAGGAAGTCTGTTTTTCTTGACAAAATAAATGACGCGGTACGACATAAGTGGCCAGTGACACGCGGCTCAACCTTTGTTGCTCAAGAAGTGAAATAACGCAGCTCTTGTTGTTCAACAATCAACTTGTTGAACGCATGAACCCAGTAGAGCCTTTCTCATTCTCGTTTAACACGATTCTAACATTCAACATGGCATGATGCACTGTTAACCCTTTAAACTCTAATACCAGAATCTAGATTCTCATTTGTTGCCCTAATACATTCGCAAAAGCGCCCAGGAGTCTACTGTAGATCAGCCGTAAGGAATCTTGACTAGTACCCAAAAGGTCAAATGTTCCGTTCCACTCCAGCTGGAAGAACTCTGACTCCATTTGCTTTTCTCACTAGCAGAAAAACAGAATCATTCTCATTGAATAAAAACAGTCTTGCTTGTTTATTATGTCTAGAAATATAAAACCAAAATTCTGCTAACCCTATTGGGGCGGAGCCCCTTCGAGCCTATAAAAACAGGCTTAAACAACCCTCAATTGCTCCAAATCCGTGGTTTGCGTTCTACACGTGTTCGGCAATCTAACTGATTGTCTTAAGCGTGACTTCCGACATAGTAAATAAAGTACCCTACCTATATTTTTAATGGCCTTTATATTTGACAAACATATTTTCAGTTGAGACAGATCTTAAGATAAAGCCAAGTTGTTATGGTTAAAGGAGAGTTAGTGGTATTTCAGCTAATACCATGTTTTCAATTAGTACTCTGCATATGTCATGGTGTTATGTTTTTAGACATAAAAGTTTAAATAAGTATGAATTTAAAGGGTATTAGTTACAATACGAGGTTTGATATTTTGGCGTATGTGGTTCTTAGCTACTGCGCATTAAACCTCAATGCATTTGGATCTGCTCCCAATATTATGACTTAACGAGAAATGTTTTGAGTACATATTGTAATTATATTACGCTATATTTAGCTAATCAATTATTCCGAGGCTTCTATCGGAAATGGGTAAATGAAAAACAAAGCCAAAAAACTTAGACATCTTAATCGCTAAATAGATTTGAGTGTTAATCATAAAATATGAAGACTAACAGTTGCTACCCCTTGTAGTGAAATTACATGTGGCATTAAAAAAATGGCTTTTCGTCCCAGTTTTCAACTTCCCATCCACCATCAACCGTCATCTTACTTGATCCTTTCTGCTGTGCCAATAGACGTTTAACCCTTTAAACCCTAAGATCAAAATTTGAATTCTCATTTGTTGCCCCTATTCATTTCCTACAGAAGTAGTGGGGAGAAGTTGATAAAATATCAAGCAAATACATCTTGTGTGATCATGTCCGTAATTCTCATGACCACTCTGTTTTACAAAGCATTGATATTACAAGGAGAACTTTGATGCTGATCATTCATAGGGCTTAAAGGGTTAAACAGAAAGTTAAATGAAACTGATGCAGATTTGCTTTTTTGTTGTAAAATGATTTTTGCAACAAGAAAAGGAATGAACATTTCATCTTTGAGTTAAAAGTTAGCACTAACTTTCACTGCAACATGGCAAACAGCACAAGAAATTATTACTCAGTAGCTTTAATTCTATGATTATTATTTCAATTTAGTCCATAGTAAAAGATGAAAGATATACCACCACATAGCACCTCATGGGAGAATTGGAAATGAGTCAGGGAATACACACAGCATAGCTAGGACGAGATGGTAAGTTACAGTTTTATTAAGAATTTGTGCAAAATACATTATATGGAACAAAATAGTTTGGAACTACATAACTTTATTTTCTTAGTCACGGTATTGAGCCTTAAATTGAAATTCTTAAATTATCAACAGCCCCAACAAACGTTGCTTCTAAAAGAGATACTAGATATCTTGAAATGCTTTACTATATATGTATACATCCGATACAAAATGCCCCTCACAATGCAAAATGGATTCTTTCAAAAACGATGCCCATCTGTAGCCAAAGTCAAACTTCAAGAGAAATACCACATGTTTATGATGTTAAAAAGTGCTTCCAAAAAGGTTTCACTTAAAAGGACACACCACAGTATTTTACCACAGAGACTTCTAAATTTTACTACGATTGGCGCTATTTATGCATAATCAACCCTTGGCGACAAAAGGGTAGCACTTTGTGAAGTACATACAGGCCACATCCACATTAAGTTGGAGGTGTTTTCAAACGAAAACATAATATCAAGTACTGTATGTTTGGCTAAACAGGAAATACGCGAACGCCCGGGCCTACCCAGACTCACAGGGGGTGGTTTCAGTTCTAACTCGTCCATGGCGTCTGAAATTATGAGTCAAGAAAGTATAAAATTATAAATTTAGCAATTCAGAGGACATGTCCATGCCACATTAAGAAGAACACTTTCTTGATGCTTACCCATTGATTGCCAATTCTCAACATAACGTCAACGTGCAGCAAGCTTCGCGGGTGTTTTTAGGCGAAACATGTTATAGAAAGCATTGATGTCGAAGTCCTGGTTACATTGAATAATCATGAGATAAACGGATGACTCTCGCTTACTATACATAGACAAGGGGGGGGGGGGAGGGATGAGGTTCTGGAAACCCCATGAACCCTCCCTTGGGTACACTCCTGCCTCACTGTGGTTGTGAACAAACAAAATGCATCTTTTTTAAAAAAAAGAAAAGAAAAGGGCGATACGTGTTAATGAGCCATTAATTTACCTTGCTATAACTTACAGCAATGCATAAATAATGCGTTTAAATACTAGTCTATAAGGCGTATCACACCTCTTCTTACGAAAAACACAGATATGTGCAAAGCATTATTAACGAGTATCAATAACAAACATTATAAATAAACTTAACTATCTTAAAAATAATGTTTGTACGCACGCGCCTATTTATCTATTTATTCATTTATTTATTAAATCGCCAACAGAAAAAGGAAAACGGTTACTAACCGTGACCTTTTTTTGCTTACTTGTTACCTGTTACAAAACAACTTCGCAAACGTTTGACTTAAAATTCTCTAGAGAATTATTGTGTTATTTCTGCGTGGTCCGAGACGGTACAGTCAAACACTCGTTAGAGTGTCACATTGGTATTCAAACACCTCTGTAGATGGTTAAAAGCCTCTGGCTTCGCGTCGTTTAACAATTCGTTACTTGACTTTTTAGATTTTGCTAACCAAACAACGTTTGTGTGTTACTGTGATATAACAGACATATTAACGATAATTATATATCTACATTACTAATGTAAGGTCGTTAGACATCACACCAACGATTTATATATCTTGCCTCTCAGCCAAGAATTTTAAACTGGGCAAAATTCTTGCAATAAAGACTTTTTTATACAAGCACCTCACACTTTGTTTCAAAAAACTAAAAAAAAAACTGAAAAAATTCTTAATATTGTATGCCCGTCTAATTATACCATCGACAATATTTAACAAAATAAATCTGTTTAGTAACCTATGGCTAAAAAAGCCACAGTTGCCACGAGAAAAACAGTGTACAAATCACAGTTTTCTGGGAAGGAAAATATTTAACATAAACAGTCCAGACTATAAACAAATATATTGTCATCTTCCCAGAATTCCATTGCTCGGAATGAATATTGCATACATTCAATAAAATCCCTAGTCTTTCACTTAATTAAAGACCTACTAATTCGAATTAATAAATCGTCGATAATGTTCCATGGTCTATACTCTTATCGATCAAAGAAATGACGTCAAAACTCGAAGGGAAACCACGAGTCGCAGGCGAGTGTGGTTTCACTGCAGAGTTTTTGACATCAATTTCCGTTGAAGCTACTCGGAAATCTCGCGCGTAAGAAAGGGGGAAAAAAATTGTGCCACTAGCCTCTCATTTCCATGGTCTATACGCTCATCGAGCGTATCTCTCGAACAATAAGCGCACGAGAAATTCCTCTTACATCATTTACCGGCTTTTGTCACTATTCTACAGAAACGAGAACCTGTGTTACTCGATTTCTTGACTGAACATGTTCTGTAGTAGATCATCCAGATCATCGGTGTTCACTTCCTGAGGGCCACGGGAAGTTGGCGGGTTCTGCGGGGGTCGCTCATTGAACCAATCTAAACCATTCCGAGTGAGATTTTGAATGGTTACATTTCGGTCTTGTATCCCATCTATCTCCTTCTCCATTTTGAGTTGCTGGGATATTCGCATTGCCTCTTCAAGGACTGTAGTGGCTATATAGATGAGAAGAATGCGAAATGATATCAAAAAGGCCATCGATTCAATGGGGCACCTCACCATCCGTGAATCGGGTACTTTCATGACAAGGGCTACTACTTGTTATATGGTACTCGTCTGACAAAGTAGAGATTCTGTAATTGTATATACAGTGTTAAACTTATAAATAACCTTGGTGCAATTACGGGTGAAACGTTTCTTGGAAAGAGCATGTAGTTCAATGGGTGAAAGGATCTGCCTCAGTTCTAAATTAGCATTATGGCGTCGCGCTCGAAACGGTCTACCAAAGTCTGCTTGTATTACATTATATAACACGATGGTACTGCATGCCTTTATTTTAATTTGTCGTTTGGGACAGTTGTATAGCTGTCGCCAGGGTAGTAAATCCTACTTAAACAAACTTAATCGCCGTTCTGCATTTATAATCGACAGCCGTGCTGTCGAGTCTGAAGAACTGTCTACTGTTTTCGGCTGGCGAAATCTACAAGCGCTCAACCTCCCGGTGTATCAATGAAATAGCACCTTCTTACTTACTGAGTAATTTGGGCGCGCCCACCAAATCCACTCTGACTTCACCAGACAACGTGATCAGTTGTGGCTGCCTTTAGCAAAAACCACCAAATACCAGGGCAGTTGCAAGTGCCTATAATTCCCTTCCCTATTAATATAAGATGTGAAACGGACTCCTTTAAAGCCCATCACAGGCAAATAAATGTAAAGTGTACCTTTTTGAAAATCTGTAGCTCTCTGCTGTTGCGTTATATCCATCCTTTCCCTCGTAGCTCGACGAATGTAGTAGTCAGCTTTACCTATGAGGAATGTGGCTTCCAACCTCTTGGGAGAATGGGGAAGTAGGTTTTTCTCGAACTTCTGAATGGCTTCATCAGCTTTGGCAAGTTTCGTCTCAGTGACAAGTTTCCTACAAAGACAAAAAAATTTCGTTTCATGTGCAACTGTGAAATTCGTCAATCATTGGTCAGAAGATGCAACGTTTCTCTCAAGCAAAGGATATTTAGGCGTGTAAGTCTGTGCCAGAATCTCAGAGTCCCCACGCTTTTTTTTTTTTTTTCGATCGTCTTTCCCCGCTTTCTTGAAGCCTGGAACAGGCTATTGCAGACAAGGAGAGCATTTATTCTGAGGGCGAGAAGCCAGTATAGAACGGTGTGTTTTAGTTTGGTGTTTTTAATGAAAGCCCAATGGTACGAACCTCAGATCTGGAAAAGCCGAGCGAGATGTCTTCAAAAAGTACGTGATCATTCTGTTGTAGCTCCTTATGACACATCTCAGTGTTTCATTTTCTCTCTGCTGCGACCAAATTCCCGCCACCTCTTCAAAGAGTCTCTCCACTTCCCGTTCTTCTTCAGGTGTCAGGTCAAATGTAGCTGATTTTTCCGCCATTAAGGCAGCCGCGTTGTATCTGTTAACAGCGGTTTCTTCACTCAAGGAAGCAGGCTCCAAGCACTACAGACAAATTAAAGAGCAGTGTTGGTTTTAAGAAAACGCAAACCCCGAGAAAGATGTTTTTCCAGCCAGCGACACAGGCGGCTCGGAAGAAATAAGGGTGCAAGGGTGGCGCAGTGCTGAGAGCACTCGCCTCCCACCAATGTGGCCCGGGTTCGAATCCTAGCGTCGACGCCATATGTGGGTTTAGTTTGTTGTTGTTCCAATTCGATGTGGAACGCACGGACACGTTTCAACGAGTTCTCATGAACTCCTAAGGGCTCCGTGGGTAAACAAATTACAATTTCCAAAACATTTATAATATAAAGACTCTTTACCTTTACCTTTATCTTAAAACATGCCAAACCTCATCCGAGGTTTGACGATCTGGTGGGTGCGAGTAGTTATTCAGCTAATTCGTGCATTAACCTGAAAAAATTTTACACAGGAAAAACGAACTGAAAACGCTTTTTTTGAAGTTAATTACCTCAGAGGATCTTTCCATAAATTCGTCGGCTTTGTCGAATTCTTTTCTTTGCCGGTACACAGCAGAGATTATGTAAAAAGCTTTCGTCATGAGAAATGGCCAGTTTCCTGAATTATGACGCATTGCTCGAGCGTGGACCTCCCAACATTTTTCCAGACAATCCTCCATTTTGTTTTGCCCAAAATAAATGATTGCTTCCTTGAGGAAAGAAAACACGAGCAGGGTTCAGTATTACTAGTAGATCTCCAAACACCGAGAAGCACCCAATAATCATTTGATGAAACCCCGAGAATTATTGTATCAAACAAGAAAATGAGTGTTTCATCGGATATCCAAACCCCGAGTATTGTTAAATCAAACACGGGATGGGGTGTTTTATTTGATCTCCAAGCACCGAGAAGTAAAATATTTAAAACTGGAATTAGTGTTTCATCTGATATCCAAGCCCCGAGTTTTATTCAGTCAAACACGTTAAGGAGTGTCTCATTCGATATCCAAACACCGAAAAGTTATGTAATATCAAGCAGGAGAATGAGTGTTTCATTGGATATACAAACTCCGAATATTATTCAATCAAACACGAAATGAGGTTTTTCATCTGATATCAAACACCGAGGAGTAAAATGTCAAAGACGAGAACGAGTGTTTCATCTGATAACCAAATACCGAGAATTATTCTATCGAGCACGAGATGGGGTTTTTCATTTAAAATCAAAACATGGAGAAGTGATATATTAAACACATGAATGAGTGCTTCATCTGATATCCAAACACAAAAAAGCACCTAATACTAATGTGATATCCAGACACTTAGATATATCAAACGCGTGAAGCAGTATGTCAGTTGTTATCTAAACCCAACCTCCCAATCCAGATTTTTTTAAAATCACCCATTGCCTCGACTTACACTTTTACCTCGAGTAAAACAGCTGACAGTAGATCCTGATACTTGACTTTTCCGTTCACCTGGGCAACAAGTTTGCTTCGATCTCTCAGGAACTGATTGTACCTACCTAAAAAATTGAAGTGATGTTTTTCTTTAATTCCAGAAAAGTAGTATGATAGGACTACAAAGTATTGTAATGCATAGTCCATAGGGGTGAGTGTTGTAATACATAGTGCATAGGGGTGATCCCCTTTAGTATTTTATCTATTCTGGTCTCAGCCGTTTTTAATACAAGTGTTTCTGACACGTCTATCATTTCTTACCAAAGTTCATGCTACATATAATCGCCTTCCCCAGAAAAACGCCCTTATACAAAACAAGTTTAAAATGGTTTATACAAACCGTTATCGCCGAGGTTTTGAAAATGCATCCTGATGGCTTTGCCCATTTCGCCAGCGAGAACACCTAATAAGAAAATATGTATGTTGAATTGCTACATTATATAATTTTTTGCGAGGACGTAGTGGGGGTGGGGGCGGTTAAGAATGGGGTAATTCGTGCAACTTCGGGTCGAGAGTGGGTTGGATACGATGGTCTATTAAGTCACGCGTGAAACTTTTCTTCCCTTAAGGCTCTGCGCTTTTCAATCTGCTCTTTGTTGAAAGTACAGTTCCAAAATTTAAATAGTGGTGATTGCGTACATGGAAAGTAAGTAAAGAGAAGAATACTACACCAGACCCATAGTTTTACTGAAACCACTGGTTTCAGTCGATGAGATCTGGTTCCAAAAGAGGCCCAAAAGAGGGGACTGCCGTATACCTTGCATCTGAATTTTGGGCACTGGCTTTTCCACTTCTGTGATTGTTCTTCCGCTCTGAAAGTCGTACAGTTTGGAGCCTCTTTTGTGTGATTCAATGAAGAACTGATACTCATCCAAAACTAGAGAAACAACAAAAACAAATACTATTGCAACTGGTACAAACGATACAGAGATATTTGTAGCTTACGTAGCTTAGCTTATGGCTCGTACTCATCGGCAGGATTTGCTTTAAAACGATCCAAATTTCGCCTGCTGGTGTAATGAACAAATAGGAAAAACAACCCAACACATTTTACAACACTTTCTTTCTTGAGGCCATTCCACTGTATGGTAATTTGGTAGTGAGCCCGAGGCTAGAACGAAGGGGAACTAAGCTCTTAGTGGTTTGGCCCAAATGTTCTAACGAACTGCTCACCAATCAGGAACGCCCTTTTTCTCACATGGCACCAAGTTCTCCCCCTGGTAAAGACTGTGCTGCTATAATTGCACTGCGTCATTTTCAAAGGAAAGCTGGCTCTTTGGAAAGTTTTACAACGTATTGATCAGTCTTCTTGAGATATCATGACCGCTGATTTATAAATACGTATTTGCTTGCGTTAAGAGTACCTTGCCAATCACGAGGGTCTACTCCTTTGCACAGCTTGATTCTAACAGCGTAGTGACAGGGCATCTCATGTTTCACAGGCAGCATAAATACTAGATTTCCAGCATATGGTGGAAGTGGCTCATTCCTGCAGTCAACGCTGTGTGCCAACACAGAGCAGCAAGGCTCACTTAGTTCCGGCACAATACTGAATATTCTATCCCTCTGTAGAACAGAAAAAAAACAAAGTTATTTTAATTTTATTACAAATAATTCATATCCGTTTATTGTCAAGTACAGTGCCCTTTTGACAATAGGGACTTTACGATCCGACAAAGGCGACACTAATGAAAACGTCGCTGAAAAATAGACTTTGCGCCCTTTGAAACTTTTCCCCATTTAAACCAAGTCACTCAGTGACTTGAAAGTTGGGATGTTGGGTTATAACTGAACAGAGGAGATCGCGTTCGAGTTCAGAGAAAGATATAGTAATATTTATCGCCTTGCCATTCCCATTCTCAAATCAACTCAAAATTTGGTCATCTCACGTCGTACCGTCGGTTGCATCAAAGCGTGTACACATGAGGAAAAAACATGTTCGAACTGGGTGCAAACATGACATGTTTTGCCGCCAAACATGTGAAGTTGGAAGTAAGCGGCTTTTGTCGACTTGATTTGTTGTCGCTCATCGAAATATTCTTTGCACGAATTTTTAGACGTCAAGAATAATTTCTGGCGGCAAGTGTGCTGTTTCTGAGCGAGAAATATGCCTGAAAGTTGAGAAAAATGAAATATGAGCGGAACTCACTGATCAAAAACATAAACAACTTACCTTTGGCGTGACAGTTTGCTTTAACGGCTGTCAAACTTCAAATGTTTGGCGGCAAAACACGTCATGTCTGGCACTCTAAGGGACGGACCATTAGAAAAGTTATGGGGGGGGGGGAGGGGAATTTTCGAGCCGCAGGAATTTTTTTTCGCTATCAAATTCCTTGTATGAATTTTTTTTAGGCCATAGCATGAATATTTTTTAGGGTTAATTGGCGTGCAAGAATTTTTTTTCATTTAGTTTTCCCTTTCGCAAAATTTTTTTTGTACTTCTCCCTCGCCCGCCTCTCGCCCCAGGAAATCTTACTCATACTAGTCCCTACATTCCGTGTATTTCTGATTTCTTTGTAGTTTCCCCCCCCCCCCCCCCCCCCCCGATAAGTTTTCTAATGGTCCGTCCCTAATAGAACATGTTTTTTTTATCTCGTGTCCACGCTTAGATGCAACCGACGGTAGTTGTGCAGGGACGGCTAAGAAATGTACAAAAAAGCGTGATGCACGCGCAGAGTTGTTGTTTTGCTCAGATAAACCTGTTAAGGCAGGATTGGGGAGGGGAGGGCAAGGGGAGAGGAGAGGAGGGGGAGGGTTAGTTTGATGGTCCAAAGTAGTGACGCATCCAAAAAGACCATGCTTGCTTTTAACAGTTCATGTAATGGTCGTTTCATTATCAGTGCGAGCTTCACTATCTTTGTGCCCATAAAGAATCGCGTAAAATTTGTATGGATACTAAAGAAACGTGGAAGTATCTTAACGTACTGGATTTTCGTTCTTTTGCTTCCAAATTGAAAATTTAAGTGATTTGCATGTTTTAAACCAAGCGAACACAAAATCGCTCAGATTCGCATGGTCGACAACGATGTACCAAAGATATGCAAAATACTTTGTAGACTTCGTCGCTACACTTTAAACAGCTCAAAATGCTCAGTATTAAGCGATTAACATATCTGGTAAATAATAACAGTAAAACCCGACATTTACATGAAGCTTGAAACAGTTACTCGAACCGATTGTGTGGGTTCCCTATGTTTAAGCGTTTCCTACCGTGATATGAATCTGATGGAAGTCTGGTGTCGCATTACATTCCCAGATTTCTTTCGTTTCTTCGTCCTTGACCGCAACAACAAACTGCACCACCAGGAAGGGGTAAGGGGATAATGTCACGTACGGATGTACGGGATATCCATTTGATTGGCTAAAACGAATGCCGTCTGACAGCTGTCTGCATTGGTGTAGAATCTCGATACGGGCGCTTTTTGGCCTGAACGTAGTTGTTGTTGAATGAGGGGCTTTTAAAAGTAAAATAGACAGAAGATGTTAAATTTAACACCATTGCTCGCCCCATCTTTGCAATTATCCTCGCATGTAGTAAAAGGAACAAAAGGGATAGACCTTTTCACGGGATTTTTCAACTTTTGACACGGACAAGTTCGGGAAAATCCGTCGACAACACAGAAAAGAGCACCTTAAAATTAATAAAATCGCCATCGTATGAAAGTGATTTGTTGAAAACTAATGAAGATACAGCTCCTCAAAGTTGCGTAATTTTACAGACGTTTGTAACGTCTGTAAAATTACGCAACTTTTCGAAACTATAGAGCGTTATCACGTGACGTCACGGCGGCCATATTGGTGTTCCAAATCAATCTTGTGGGAGTTGATCTCTTTTCTTATGTAAACACTTTCTTCTGTTCCCATAAATTTGCATAGACGCTGGTCACGTGAGTGAAAACGCTCTATATTTTCGCTCGCTAGTGACGTATCACTTTCAAATTTGGCAATTTTACTAATTTTAAGGAGCTCTTTTCAGTGATGTCGACGGATTTTCCCAAACTGGTCCATAAAAAAGTTGAAAAAAACCGTCAAAAGGTCTATTGTAAGCAAAAAAAAATTAAATATAAGGTGTTTTCATATGACGTCACGGCGGCCATATTGGCGTCCCAAAACAATGAATCGGCGGCCATGTTGGTGTCCCAAACCAATCCTCTGGGAGTTGAACTCTTTTCTTATGCAAACGCTTTCTTTTGTTCCAATAAATTTGAATGGATGCTGGCCACGTGAGTGAAAACACTACAGGTAAAACCACAGCGACAAATCAGTGTGGTCAGCGGATCTTGCATAGACCTGGATCACTAAAATCTCCAGTATCAAATTTAAAAAAAAAAAAGGCAGTAAACTGATCCTTACGGCAGGGCGAGCAAGAGGAAAAATATAAAACAAGAAAACAACAATAAAATGGTGGATCAGTTTACCACCGTAGCGACGGCAACCGAAGCGTCACCGATATAGTGATTCGCGTTCTTTCAAACCTATACGGCGATTATTCCAACACGCTCAATTTGGGAGTTGATGTCTTTGGCCCTGCATCCATCCAAGTTCAGCAGTAGAATGAGAAATATAAATTTTTCATTGTTTTGTTTACGTTCTCCGTTAAAGGTGGTATTACGTCGTATCACATTGTCAGGTGATGTTCAAAGCTCCCTTCTAGTGATAAATTATTACAACCCGAGCAAGGAGTGCGGAAAAATGTGGACGGGGCGACGCTTTTCAAAAGAGTCCATTACGTGTATAAAAATAACATCAATTGACTATTTTCCAATTCCCCATAATACACCCTGTCTGCCCCCCAAATTTCGCATAACTTATTGTCTTAAAATGCTCTTGGGAAAATGCAATACTCCCAGGAGCATTTAAAAACAATGGTTTTTCAAAATTTGGGGGGCAAACAGAGTGTATTATGGGAAATTGGAAAATAGAGAATTTAAGATGATTTATTTTTAGCTCGCAAAAGAGACTCGAAACTAGATTATGTCCCTATTAGGGGAATCCCCGACATGTCATCAACTTAATTAATTGCATTGCAAATGTTTTACAAATTCATATTTTTAGAAAAATGGCTTGTGTTCAACATGAAAGAAAATCAATTCAAGAGGTACTAGTACTCCTTTCAAACTAAAAACAAGGAAAACCGAAAATAAAAAAAGGTATATGGACATCGGAGAGATTATTTAATTATATACAAGTCCGTAGAATGGCCTCCCCTGCCCTCCGAACTCTGTTGACAATAAAAACGGTGAAGTAATTGAAAATTGCCGTGGGCTTGAACGCAGTTTTCATTTATTTTTTTGTTGGTTTCAAAAATTTGAATTGTCCCGTGTTATTCCAGCATGTCTTTAATTTTCACTTTGTTTTTGATCATCACTCGCGCTAAGATAATTAAAAGTACCCGCCTAAGCATGCGAAACCACATAATCTGAATATCGTATTTGCGATCGATGAACGCACTGTAATCATAAATTCGTGAGATATATTATATTATTTTTCTACGAAAACTCTCTAGTTTTTATCATAGAAAGGACTTTAAAATCGAGGAAAAACGAGAAAACGGCGTAATTTTAGTACAGAGTCAGAGATAGGGTAATGATAACCCCCAAAAAGCAAATACATTTGGATTTATCTGATTATGGTCATTTCACACTTGCAGTGGTTCCGGTTTGAAACTGAAAACGATCACGCGACTATAACTGTACTCAGTACTAACAATATACTTTGCAACGGGTCTCCGAAGAGGTCAGTAAAATATTAGGAAAGTTCGATCATTGAACGAAAGGCCTTCTAATTTCTCCTTGGCAAATTAACCATGAGTTTCTCAGTCGGAAATCTAGTAATACGTTTGAAGTTTAGAGAGAAAAGTCGATGTTTGTGTTGACAAGAACACTTGTACTTAGGCGGTTTCGCCGTCAAAATAATTTCGCGAGTTAAATTGTATGCGATATTTCAGGTTCCCTATTTTGCTCGTATAACTCCTTGTGCCTACAGGTTCTTTTGTCGCCAATGGATTTTCGAAAATCTAAAGCGGGAACGTTGTACATGTACAACTCACCATGAATGGTGTCTTGCACGCTGAGATTACAAATGTTTACCGCGGCGGCCATCGATATTTTTCGAAGCTCTTCCGATAAAAGTATGGTTCTCTGCTCCCTTTCCTCTGTTTCAAAGTTGTAACGGTAAATCTATCGGAGGAGGACAAGAGAAACACGGCCAAAGCGTTTGTCTACATGGTCGCGTCTTTCGCGTGTAATATCGATCGCTTTCGGTGTTCTTTCGCCTAGACAAACGTATGTCACGTGACTGTTCAGGGACACCATTACGTCACTAAACAGTGAGTTTTGAGGTCTAAAATCGCTCCTTAAAACGTCCCAGATCTTGGCTCTGCCGTGCTTCTGCCGTGCTTTTGTGCACGGCAGAAGCACGACGTCTGAACTGGGCCTAAGTGTCACCGATAAAGTGATTCGCGTTCTTTCAAACCAGATGGCGATTATTCCAGCACCCTCAATTTGTTAAAAATAGGAATATTTTCTGGGAGTTGATGTCTGTGACACTGCATCCAAGTTCAGCAGTAGAATGAGAAAGAGAAATTTTTCATCGTTTGTTTACTTTCTCCGCAAAAGGTGGTATTACGTCGTATCACGTTGTCGGGTAATGTCCAAAAAGTGTGACCCTTTTTGACGGCCTTGCTGTCGTTTTGGTTATGGTTGGATTAAAGCTCCCCAGTAGTGATAAATTATTACAACCCGAGCAAGGAGTACTGAAAAATATGGACGGGGCGACGCTTTTCAAAAGAGTCCAACACGTGTATAAAAATAACATCAAGTTAAGACAGTTAAGACGATTTATTTTTTTTGTTTTAAGACGACAGGAGCAGCCCCAAAGGAGACTGGAAACTAGATATGTCACTATTAGGGGAATCCCCGACGAGTCATCAACTAATTGCATTGCAAATGTTTTAAAAATATATATTTTTAGAAAAATGCCTTGTGTGCCACATGAAAGAAAATCGATTAAAGAGGTACTCCATTCAAACTGAAAACAAGGAAAACGCGAAAAGCAAATAAAGGTATATGGACACTGGAGAGATTATTTAAAATTAAACAAGTCAGTAGAATACCCACCCCACCCCCCCAGCCCTCCGTACGCTGTTGACAATGAAGACGGTGAAGTAATTGAAAACTGCCTTGGGCTTGAAGGCAGTTTTCATTTATTTTTTCTTGGTTTCAAAAACTTGAATTGTCCCGTGTCGTTCCAGCTAGATGCATGTCTTTAATTTTCACTTTGTTTTTGATCATCACTCGCGCTAAGATAATTAAAAGTACCCGCCTGAACATGCGAAACCACATAATCTGAATATCGTATTTGCCATCGATGAGCGCACTGTATTCATAAATTCGTGAGATATATATTATTTTTCTACGAAAGCTCTCTAGTTTTTATCATAGAAAGGACTTTAAAATCGAGGAAAAACGAGAAAACGGCGTAATTTTAGCAGGGAGTCGGAGATAGGGTAATGATAACCCCCCAAAAACAAATACATTTGGATTTATTTGATTATGGTCATTTCACACTTGTGGTGGTTCCGGTTTGAAACTGAAAACGATCACGCGACTATAACTGTATTGCTATATACTGTCAGTACTGTCAATATACTTTGCAAGCGGTCTCCGAAAAGGCAAATATTAGGAAAGTTCGATCATTGAACGAAAGGCCTTCAAATTTCCCTTTAACAAATTAACTATGAGCTTCTCAGTCGAGAAATCTAGTAATACGTTTGATGTTTAGAGAGAAAAGTCGATGTTTGTGTTTCGCCGTCAAAATAATTTCGCAAGTTAAATGATATGCGATTTTTCAGGTTCCCTATTTTGGTCGTATAACTCCTTGTGCCTACACGTCCTTTTGTCGCAAATGGATTTTCGAAAATCAAAAGCGGGAAGGTTGTACATGTACAACTCACCATGAATGGTTTCTTGCACGCTGAGATTACAAATGTTTGCCGCGGCGGCCATCGATATTTTTCGAAGCTCCTCCGATAAAAGTGTGGTTCTCTGCTCCCTTTCCTCTGTTTCAAATTTGTAACGGTAAATATATCACAGGAGGACAAGAGAACCACGACCAAAGCCTTAGTTTACATGGTCGCGTCTTTCGCGTGGAATATAAATATAAACATATGTCACGTGACTATTCAGGGAATTACCACTACGTCACTACTCACGTTGAACGTAATGAAGGAGTGGGTAAATTGACCGCTTGCAGGTCACCTTAACAGTGAGTTTTGAGGTCTAAATAACTCCTTAAAACGTGGCAGATCTTAGCTCTGAACTAAATAACTAACGCTGACTGATCGCGAGGTATGCTTCACAGATAAATAATTTTGGGACGTATCAGTGCGAGCCCTCTTCTTCTGAGTTAAAGCCCCAATACATGTCAAGCCGGCCTTATCTAGCTTTGATACATGTCAGTACCTTTTGTTTTGTCAATGATGGTGCCCGTAAACTCACCTGATACTCAGGCTAAGAATAGGGAGGATGACTGCGGCGCAAAATTTTAAATTACGGAAGTTCAAATCCTGCTATCACTGTGCTATATTTGGGTTGGGTGGCCTTCCCACTAGTCTCTAGCCTCCCACGCAGACGTTCTTACGGGTTCGTCACGCAATGTTCCCTCCCCCACGTGGGGTAGGAACGCGTGACGAACCCCTAAGAACGTTTGCGTGGAAGGCTAACTAGTCTCCTTCGCAGCCGTTTTTAGGGTCGTCACGCAACGCTCCTCTTGTTTCTTTTGTTTTGCTCAGTTGCCATGGGTTACCATCATTATTCTATTATTTTATTATAGAGTATTATTACAATTTTTCATTATCATCCTTATTATCATCATCCTTATTATTATTATTATTATTATTATTATTATTATTATTATTATTATTATTATTATATATAAAATAACTTTATTCATAGATTCAAAAAAATAGACTATTTACAGATTCAAGAATATGAATATTAAAATATATACCCTATGTACATTCTTCTTGTGTACGAAAGATCCGGGCGCAAACCATGCACCTAGAGCGTCAGTCACTCAAGTCAATCATTCTGTTCATACACTGAGCACCTTTCTAAGGATTCGTGCAGATCCCAGCATGCAGATCTTTTGAATCTCTGTCATACTAGCTCACTCTGATACTTTCTTGATGTTTTCTACCATGCCCTTCTTCACTGTACCAAGCGCACCAACAACCACAGGGATCACTACGGTTTTCATATGCCACATTCTCTGTATTTCTAGTTCTAGGTCTTTGTACTTGCATTATTATTATTATTATTATTATTATTATTATTATTATTATTATTATTATTATTATTATTATTATTATTATTATTATTATTATTATTATTATTATTATTATTATTATTTTCCTCTTTTCATTTTCTTTTCCCAGAAATGATGGTAAGCCTGATGAGCCTACTTAATCAAGACACTTAAGATATTTTGTTGACATCGATTCAGGAAAATGCTAATAAATTACTGAGCAATTCAATTGACGTAGAATTTCAGATGTCTGCCAATGTTATCATATCAGGTCGCGCGACCTCGAGCATCAGGATCAGAAATGCTACAAATTGCGGCAGATTCGTTTTTTCGTACCAGTTACCTAACTCACGCCAATCTTTAGCCGGCCTAGCGCACGTGCGTGAAAGGTATCCTTCAGATTGACCCTTCTGTGCTGTGACGGGGTGTTCGATGTTATGCGAGGTTATCCGAAACGGGGTCGTGATTTCTCGTTAATTCCAATATAAACAGATCAAGGAAAAAACAGGCGTTTTTACTGTACTAGAAAAAGGTTTACATTTTTTGAGGTTTCTTTTTACTCCAAAATAGTGTCAGAGTTTCAAACCCTCCCCTCCCCTCCCCGATACCATAAAGTGATGATTAAAAAAGGGCCGTAGTGCGTGAAAGGCACGTGGATAATCAAATGCACACTAATAGGTTGGAGAGGGATGAATTTTGTCCACTATACACAGTTAATATATACACCTTTTTTTTGTTTCGTCTTTTCAGACATGTAAATGAGTAAAGCGGATATTTCAATCTCCAATAACCCAGTTTTTCTCGGTTAAAGTACCCGCTTTGTGAAAAAGGGTCATCTAGCTTTCCCAGCTCCTCCGAAAGTGAACTGATCAAACGTTTAGACAATAGTTCACGACTAGGGGTATTTTTTATGTTTGATCACGCGTGTTGAACAATAGACTACTTTGCATTACGCAACACTGCCGGTGCTGAAGATTCATTCAAGATTTAGGAGCCATGTACATTACTAAGATTTAGACGTTTCAAAGTGAAATTGTGTTAACTTTGGGACACTTCTTACTTCTTTAAGGTCTTGTATTATTTACAGTTTGATTTAATTTGAAATAGTGGTCGGTAAATTAGTTTTCATGGTTGTCACAGATACCGGCTCTTTGTGACTTCCCATTATCCATTCACCTTGAATAACCTTGATGCAAACGACCTCGTGAAACACGCGGCCTTTTCTTTGCCCTGATTGGCTGGCGTGTGTGATTGGAAAAGTTTGTGAAAATATATACCAGACTGTTTTGTGTAAAACCGGCCACCTGACATGCAAATACACAACAACCTTTGTGCTCGCATGAATTTAGAATAGCTGTTTCTCGATCAGTTTTCTTTCGATCAGTTTTCGTTTTTCACCGAGAGGCAAACAGCTCTCAAGATAAACTGTTGTTTAATTTGCGACGAACCTGCTTGATAAAACAATGTCGGCGAGCTTCGTAACACTCAAGAAAAAACCAAGACCAACAGTGGACCCACCATTCACACTGAAAGAATTAAAAGCGGCTATTCCCGCACACTGCTTCGAGCGATCGACTTTGAAATCGTTTTCCTATGTGGCTCTGGATCTGTCTGTTGCCTGGTTCCTTTTTTTCTGCACGGGATATTTCAATCATCCTTATTTACCTTCATTTGCTGGATACATTTTGTGGCCAATTTATTGGATCTGTCAAGGCTGTGTGTGTACCGGCATTTGGGTTTTAGCCCACGAGTGTGGCCACTATTCGTTCTCCGACAGTAAAATAGTCTGTGACTTTACTGGTCTTGCCTTACACACGGCTCTCTTGGTGCCGTACCATTCATGGCGAATTAGTCACGCAAAGCATCACCGTAGCACCAACGATATGGACCGTGACGAGGTGTTCGTACCAAGTACCAAAGCCGAGTTTAGCCAAGCAGGCTTGGCAGCTCTTTCTCCCGGATGGAACGTCTTAGGGTTGTTGAAGCTATCCTTATTTGGATGGCCCGCTTATTTGCTCTTTCACGTCACGGGCCGGAAGTATCACACGCATACAGATCACTTCAATCCGAAGAGTCCCATTTTCAGCGACAAAGAGTACAGAGATATCGTCCTTAGTGATATCGCTTTAGTTGCGTGGATCAGTTTCCTTGGATATCTGGCCTACGTCAACTCCGCCATGTGGTTACTCAAAGTCTACATCATCCCTTATCTCATTGTCAACTTCTGGCTAGTCTTCATAACGGATTTACAGCACTCTGACGCTACCGTGCCGCATTACAGGGGTAAACAATGGAATTGGCTCAAAGGTGCTCTGTGTACAGTCGATCGTGATTACGGTATTTTGAATTATGTGTTTCACCATATCGGGGACACCCATATAGCGCATCATCTGTTCTCGCACATGCCACATTACCACGCGGTTGAGGCTACAAAGTACTTAAAGAAGGCTTTAGGTGAATATTATTACAGAGATGACACACCCATATTCAAGGCTATGTGGCTCACAGGAAGGTACTGTCGTTACGTAGACGACTCAGGCGACATTTTGTGGTATAAACATGACTAACAAAACCTCTTTTTCTTTGTACCATCTTAAATGTTGTTTCCTTTAAAATTTATAGAGTCAATAGGACTGAATTACAGATCTCACCAGGATGTAGTGTATGATTGTCCGGGACGCTAACAATATCAAGACACATAATTAACAGAAAAGGTTATGGTCTTAGAAAGAGAAAATGCTTTTATATAGAAATCAATCTGGATAATTTGTGTGTGGATATTCAGGGACTGACAGGGTCTGGTGAAAGCAAATTGACCAAAACTTACTTTGCTACAAACGAATTTTTCTAACATTACTTCTCTCCGAGATTGTCACAGAATAGTCTATGTTTTCGTTTGGAAAACACACAGGCTTGTAGGTCGAAGTATATGATACTTTGTTTGATTGGATAGATTACCAATGCTGTGAGTTAAAAGTGAATTAAATTTAGTAGGATAACAGTAACTTTTCAGCTATTTTATGTAAGATAAAAAAAAAGAACTGATTAACTCGATGCTTTAATTTCTTTAAAATCTTCAGTTTCTTCTAGTATTGCGTTGTCTGTGTCAAATAAATGTCAATCCCGGCCAGCCTAAGCCTGGTAAGTTAAAGTTAGGGACTCGATTCATAAATTTCTACAGAATGCTGTAAATTGATGAATGTGTTTATATGTGTAAAAAGACTCTGTTGCAAAATGTTTATTGTTAAAAAGTAATAACAAAGAGGGCAATTACTTTATGGTGCTGGTTCATTATCACCACCGGACAAGATTATACATACTAAGTAGGATTTTGGTCATGTCAAGATGTGAGCTGCGTCTGCGTGGGAGGCCAGCAGAGGAAATACTAAAGCCATGTTTACTCGAGTTTACTCAAACCAACTTATGCCTTTTCACCTAACGTGTGATCAGGCTTTTCTCTCTCTCTCTCTCTCTTTTTTTTGTTAATAGACATATCATGATCGCAAGCGAATCTTCACCTGTCACACGAAAATGTTATTTATTCGTTTACAAATTTTTGCAAGTCACTGTCTCTTGGTTTTTCTTTCTGAGCGGCCGTAAGTGAACAGAAGCATCCCTCGCGCCTGTTTACATGAGTTCATATAGAGAAACAAGCAGGAAAAAAGTTAACAAACAAAACAAAAAAGAGGAGACAGGGAAATGGCGAGAGAACGCGTTCTAACTAGTTCCTACTCCCTTCCCTCCATTTTCGTTTTACGCTTCGTTTCTCTTTTTCTACCGCTTCCCGCAATCTGAACACCTGCAAAAGGTTATAAACGTATGCGATTTTATCTATGTGCAAACGCAATTGCACTGAACCGTGGATATAGACTAAAACCAATCACGACACCTCCTTTTGCGCAAATTTCCTCACGTTGCGATGACTACGGGATTGAACATTACTTCTGACATTATTGGCTAAGTTTGTCGTGACTGCAGGCCAAAGTAACTATATTTAGTTTCGGCTTAAAGCATCTCACAACCTTTTTATTTTGTTTTGTTATTGATATTAGCCTGTTGCCAGTGGCTCGCGACTCTAATCTCAAGGAGACAAATCAAAATAATAGCTGAAACTTGGCAGTTTTGAAACCAAAATATTTTGAGCAATTTTTCGAAAGATGCTCTGAAATATTCGATTGCGTGTTATGAGTAGTTAGTTAAAATTTTTGTCAGAAGCTTTTACGTCTCAGCCTGTCATGCTTGAGAATTGAGCAAAGTCTATTTAAGTGACAAAGGTTCAACTGAGATCGTAGGAAAGTTCAAAGTTAACATTTAAAAACCTGATTGCGCCTCTGCCTGAATGATAGGGGGGTGAAGTTCGTCAGAAAAATTGTAAACTTAAATCTTGATATGCAAAACAACTGTTTCTTAGAGTTAACTCCTAAGGGAAACATTTTTCATCCGTATTTACATTTGTAAGATTAAAAAGAAACAAAACTTTTCCGGGTCTAAGAAGAAAAAAATGACTTTTTTTCCGGAATTTAAAATTCTCTTTTTAATTCGCAAGCAGGTCAATATTCCGGTTAATTGTAAATAATAAAATGAATTCATAACCCTCAAAAGTCGTAACTGTAATTACTTCATACACCTCTAAGTAGGTTTATCAAACATTCGTCTTTGAAACAAAGGAGAATAAATTATGGCCCTATTACAAGCTGTTATTTAAACAGCCTACGCTAAAAATATCATTTCTCGAGGCAAAGAATACTCTGTTTTAATCATTAGAGAGTAACTCAAAGTTTGTCCCTCGCTGTTTTGACGTTGTGTCAACTCAGTATGATAAAGCTTTAACCCAACTGAGATACAATTATAGCTTTCAAAAGGATTGAACGGACAGTCAGTTTTCAAGGTTATTACAAGGACTACAAAGGAAGTCAAACCAACAATCTCGTGGACTGACCTTTGATCCTTGATATCTCCTTTTACTACGTTTTCGTCGACTGTATTCCCGAGACTGAAGGTAAGAACGCCTGAGTTTGTAGTGAAATTATATCTTCAATGCTTCTCCTCGCTGACCATTATAAGGAGCAAATGATTTAGCAAATGTTTTGCTGAGGCGAAAAACACGACCGTTTCATAAGACCGTTACCATCGAGTATAACAACGACTTAAAAGACACCAGCAAAAACTGAAATAAATCAAAAATCATTAGGTCGTTATCAATTTTAGAATCCAAGCAAGTAAGTTAAACTTTTCCCTGGACTGTTGATGAAATGTTAGGTTTAATGTATGTCCGCGTGATATGGTATACACAAGCGAATGGGCAAATTACAGCGTAAAAGCCCTAACTAGTATCTGCACTTAACTATACTTGTCGATCCTCGTTTTATCGGATACGCAAAAGATTACCAGCAGATACTCGTGCTGACTTTGGGTTCGCTTTAACCCAAACCAATTCGAGAAGCTTTAATTGCTAAAATCTTGATTAAACAATATTTTTATAAGCTACGCTTGGAACATTTGCGTGTTTCCCAGGGAATGCAAACGTCTTTTCGACGGGCCAATTTTCTCACAGATTTTCCCTGTTCAACTTGTATCGATGTAAAATCAAGAGAATCGCACTTCCTTGAAGTGAACGGGTTAATTTCGTTCCCAAGGTTCTCTCCAACGTGGGGACGAGTAGGATCAATGCCTGGAGAAGTCATGTGACATAATCAAGTCAAGTTAGCGCTTCGACAACGATAATCCGGCGTTTTTAAAAATGTCCACTCTGTTGACCGTTTTCAAAAACCTGCATTTTTGGTGCTCGAAAACGCCGTTTACATGTTGACGGAAGACTAAAACGAAGAAAAAATACCTCCGTTTTTGAAAATTTCCGGATACGATTGGAATGGGCCCTGAACAATTTGGCCATGCCGGGCATGCTATCTCCATTTATTGTTCAGGACTATAGTTGAAAGTTTCAAAGTTTATGTGCCATTGCGAAACATCTCCATTTTCAATGCTAAAAGGTGTAGGATAATTGTACAGAGTAGTCAAATCGTGTTTTTCCCAGGAAAATCAAATCTCTCATTTTGCAGAGGACGTATATATCGTCATCCTGGGGCCACTGACAATTTGATTTAGTTGAAAGTAAGTAACCGTGAAGAAGTCGAAAATTATTGCTATTCCATGGATTACCATTTTTATTGTCTTCCAGTAAACTTGAGATTCATTATATTCTAGGTTGCTTATTGTTAGCTATCCAGGAAAGGAAACTAATCTTTTAAAGTTGCTTGCTTTATCTCAACGACACTTGTAGCAACTGGGACTATTCACTATAATTGTAGTTATACCTTGCGATTTCATTCGGAAGACACTGAGCCGATAACCTCTTCTTTTGTTTTGCCAAGTAATGAACCCTCAAAGCATTATCTTATAGGAGATTAATGGCAATTTTATTTTTAGCTATCATGGTATTCAATCTTTACATAATATTTACTTTTTTTAAGGAGTAATCCAAAACGACAGCGTTTTACGTTGATACATGAAGCCCAAATATGGTCACTTCACCAATCACTGCGGATATTGATTTGCCTCGCAAACGGTGAAAACTTTTATCCGTGTCAATCTTGTTAAGATTTGAATAAAGGTATTCTCGCGCTTGCTTTTATGTCATTAAAGTCGCCAAAAATAAATTATATTGTCCTTATGGAAAAGAAGACACTTACTTTCTGTCAATAACTGACAAAGCAATGTGTTAAGTCATTCATATTCAAAAGCAAATCCAGCGTAAAGCTGTCTCGCTCAACCGAAGAGCTGAAAGATTTGCAAACTTAAAGAACAACAAAAATTACATATAATTTAAACTGAATAACTCTTCGCAGAAAAGGTAAGTCTTGACTGTTTTCCATGGCAACGTGAAATTGTTAGCAATATTTCTACATCAACAGCGAAAATTTCTGACAATAATCTTTTTCGCTAAATTTTTCTGACCATTTGAAAGCAATTCAGGGCTTAGTATATGCACGAAAAGGTACAATTCAGTAGATTTATAATAACTATTCTCTTTTTCTAAGGATTGTTCAGTTTGAACATAACACATTACAGAAAAACCTCGGGCAAACAGAATAAACATGGTGAAATATTTGTGACAGTTATCATCCCTATTAGTTGCATAACCTTTGAAGTTTGACTGAAAACGTTGTAAAAGAATAATGTCTTTAGGCTGTTAACCTGTTATGTTTTTAAACCTTGCTTCTTGTCGATATGCCTTATAATTTTGCCGTTTTTACTCTATTTCCCGAAACAAATTTATCCTAAAATTATTTAGACGGAAACATTTTCGAACGTGCACATTTCTTTGTCCGAAAGTTTATCCGTCCAAACATCTTTAGCGTTCGATAAATATGCACAATGAAACGGAAAAAGTAGGGTAAGAATCAGTACTATGAACCGAAACTTTCATTCTGTTCACTTGGAGATAATATTGCCATTGAATATACTGATTTACTCGACTGCCCTGTCGGCTCTGTTTTGAGGGCAATTGCACGCTTACTAGCTAGGAAAAGACAAGACAAAACTTCGCAGAAGGCCAGCCATGCAAGACATTTACTTCGGTTTCTCCGGCGCCAAGGGTTTACTTACAAATTATAAACTTAGATCTAGCATTTGAGGAGAAAGGAGCTGAGAGCATAATACAACTTTTCGTTTTCATAACGGCCAGATAATGTTATGGACGCGAAATGAATTTACAAAACTGTAATTGTTTGGCCCACTGTCGCGTCATTGTCGGTACCTCTGTTCTTAAAACAACAGAGTACTTCCATCAAAAGCATTAGTCTTTGCGGATTAACTCCAAAATGACAGGGACACTATATTTGTCAGCTGTTTGATTAAAGACCTTTCAAAGTAGTATTTTCGTGTGGTAATTTTTAAAACTCGAATATGTATGGCTCTATATGGATCAAAGGTTGAAATTTCATTAACAGCCGATTAAGTTTCTTTTGCTTCCTGAGTAATGTACCGGTAGAAAAATACTTGTTTCTAAAGCTGAATCTCGCCCATGAATATAGCAGGATCATTCAAAGACACTGTTACAGAGTGGGTCGGAATCAACTCAGTTTTACAGTAGGTTTCGTGTAAAAAAGACCTTAAGGATTATTTCCCCGTCGTATACTATTGTTAATTATGCTGTTCTAAATGATTTAAAATCTTGTATCCTTTGATAAAACTATCAAAGTAGGTTGTTGTCAGTGAAAATTAACGAACGCCACTACCTAATCGGAATATCATTTATCGCAGAATTCCATCGATCCTGATCAGATTCATGTCGGGTTGTTCGCAACGCAAACAGATTCATAATATTTATCTATTGAAAGCACTTTCACACTTTCTTCCACTGGATTAGCTAATTACGATGTTTGTTATCAATACAATTTTGTTTTTAGTAGTGCGAGTAACACACAGCAATTAATGATGATGTCCTTGATGGCGGAATTATGCTTGTTGTCGCTGCAATGAAGAAGGCGCCTTTTGGGTCCAGTTTTGATTGTCAATTGTTTTGATGCGAAATGTATATTTTTTCTTAGTTCAACTGCGTTTCAAGAGACAAGTAGCTTGTGCGAATTTCTATAAACCGCGCTCGTGTATATAGTGTATAGTGTATTGTGTATTTGTTTCACAAAGTGCTTACCAAGATAAGATTTGCATATCCAATACAATGAAAACCGCTTTCAGGGTTTAATGAACTTTTCAGTGGAAAATACATGTTATGAAATGATCAAGAACACCATTCAAAACTGATTCTTAGTAAAAATTTGTAAACTGATAAGAGTTTTTAGCTTACCTGACCATTTCATAAACCTAAAATAGAAAATTTTATATTTTCGATAGCTATCATGTGGATGAGATAACTAATGAGAGAAAAAGACAAACTATAATAAAAATGCGATTAAAATGACACTGCACGTTCCCCGACTTATCGGGCATGCAGCCAAAATGTATACAGTTTTGATAAATGAAAAACTTTCATATCAAAAGGACTCTTTCAAATTGAACGAAATCTACTTCACTCATCATTTATAATAAATGATTTTTTTACTCGCAAGATTTTTACAGTTATTCGACATCTGATAAGTGATGCAATCGAGTCCTGCTACAGTGTATCTCTTGTTATAAAATAGTAATAGTTCTCCCTATCGACGACTAGGAAACATAATAGTGATTAAGAAGTGCTATGCTGTGCTGTGCTAAATTTGAATTAAACGGGCTAAACTGATCGTGCTCATCCGTCGATGTTTCTTTTTAATTTTTTTAGAGCTTCTCTCACTCGATGTAAACGTTGAAAAAATACAATGACGCAAAATACATACTGTTTTTCAATTATGCAATGATTCGCTGGCGGACTAGGCATCTCCACATCAGTATCTCTTGTTGAATAGGCTTGTGTACAGTTAGCATAATGAGGTCAGTAGAAGTGGAAAAGGTTGTTATTGCATTGGTTATTCACTGGTCCAAGGGAAAAATGTCCGTCAATTGGAACCCGATAAGTCCTACATCCATCATTCTTCCTTCTTTGTACGACATGCTGGTCATCGTCTACAATGAGTATACTTTTTTCCAAATGCTACATGTGGCGAAATTTTACGCGTATATACGACTCGAACCTTGCCATTGGTAAGGAAAATTATGTCTACAAATGCGTCACATAGGCAGACAAGTATACTATTTTTCTTGATTTGAAAAAACTTCCTTGTACCGCGTAGGCCAATACTTTGCCTTATCACGCCGGAAATGGTGGGTGGTAAGTGTATTTGACAGTTCTCTGACGTACCCTTTTGTGATGCAAGCTTACGGTGATCCTGTGCTGTTAAAATGAAGGATTTGGACTGCTTAACTGTTAAAAAGCTCTTAAGCTCGTCAAAAACAGTTGTTTGCATGCTTGCTTACATACTTAGGCGGTTCATGAAGTAAAATCACATGCAGTAAGTGAAGCCAAAAGCTGCCAGTGAAGTGAAGCAAATGCTAGTGCCGTACAGAACTTGTTTCACGCCAAGAGAATACTGAATTTATACTTGCTGTGTCTTTTCCATAAAAGAGGTGAGCTTCATGATCTAAACTTGAATTGACTTTGGAATTAAATGCAAAAAGACGTTTTTGATATCTTAACCGTCAAGATAATTCAATGACTAGTAGATTTTTCAAGTTACTTAGGACTTTTTATGTTGTTAGTAGCATGTTTTACAGGTACACACAGTAGATCATCAGTGCAATTTAGATAAATATATGAGTATCTATCACAAGTTAAGGAAGGATCAAAGGCTCTCCACTTAAAAACTGTTTTGTTTTTTTTTTTGCGTATGAGAGATCATCATTGAAAGTGACCCGTGCTTAGTTTAATAGTACGTGGTGTGAATATTCATTGCATGTTATACTCTATTGAGCCAGGAATTTGCTCTAATCTTGTCTCAAACACAAAGAAATATTTTCCAAATACGTATCAGTGCAAGATAATTATATTTGCAAAATGACGGATTATTGCTAACGTGAAGCTGTTGGCAAAAACGTAAAATGGAAACGTCTAGACTTGAAAAGGAAAACATCGAGATAGTATTCTTACGCAATTTCGAGTGTTTTCGTCAGTATCCTGTATTTGTTATTCATATCAAACAGCAAACAACTCTGGTGACGTCACGAACGGGTGATATGGATTTTTGATCAGTCATGTAGAAATAGAGGAATAACTTACTCCGGCCATTAAAAAAGTAATTTTTTACGCTGGTAATCCTTTTTTGCAAAATGAAATGATTAAATACAGGAATAAATCAGAAAAGAACGATCAAATGAAGTGATAAAAATATCACCGCATTTGTAGATAAGGTTTATACCAAAATCTTAGCACTCAGCTCCCCAGTGAAAATATATTGTGAAGTTATAAGCTGGAATTTCTTATTCTTTCTCTTTTTATCGTTTAACAAGACTGAAAGAAGTATGTATGTCAGCCGCTATATCAGTCTGTCTGTCTGTGTGACTGTGAGTCCGTCAGCTGGTCGGTCAGAAAGAAAATCAATGAGTTTGTTTCTTTCAAACAATTACAGACTTTCACCTGTAGTACACAGAAACCCGTGGAAAACAACCAAGCGAATACGGTAGATCCTGTCAACCTTAATTTTTTTAGAAGAAAGACGGTCTTCGTATAGGTAATAGCATGATTTGTAGTGATATTTGGTATAAATACCACGCGTGATATTTCGAAATTGTTATACGTAGTTTTTACGAGCCGTTAGGCGAGTGAAATTTGAGACAATTTTTGAAATATCACGAGTGGTATTTATGCCAAATATCACGTACAAATCATGCTATTATTTGTTTATACTACTACCCACAAAAGGTTTGTAATTTTCACGTGTAGGTATTTCAAATTAAGCTGAAATACCACTGCTCTGAGCCAATCAAATTGCAGAAATTTCTCATGTAGTAGTATAAACTCTTTTATTGCAGATCACTGCAACCCCAATAAAGCGACGTTATGTCTGATTATGAGCGGACTCGACACTTCCGTTCCCATTCCCTGAAGCCTCTTAAGCAGCCTAGCTTGCTTACCCAGCGTTCAAAGCGAACCTTAAGCCTTCCAACCAAGCCCGTCATTCCACCACTCATTCATGTTCAACGTTACTATGACAACTGGGAAAGCTTCAGCGACGATGATGAGATGAGCGGAGTGACAGAAGAGGAGGCCATGGGTAGGTGTTTTTAAAATCACTGTCGCTAGTTTGTAGTGATAACTTGCTCATCACATAAAGAGTTTACTATAAAATGGCAACTCAGGGAAATTTTCACTTCGTTTTTTAAGGGCTCCACAAAAATGTAGTTCTCTTAGCCCTGAAATTCAGAACGCCTCAAGTATTGCTGTGTTCAGTTCTAAAATAAAGTAATTTTTCTTGATATATGTACACTTCACTTCTCTCAATGCTTGACTGTACTTGTTCGCTTCTTTTGCTTTTTTTTCTCTTATTTTTGCATCATTTCTCTCTTTTTTTCTTTTTCGTTTTTGCACTTGCACGTTCAGCCATATCTATTTTTATCCTATTTAATGATTATTTCTATGTTGTGAAGAAGTTGTATGTGGCTAGTTAAATTGTCTTGCGATGCCAGTTTTTGATTTATTATATAAATGACATATTTTTAAAGGTGGCCCTTTCATAACAGTTCATAAGTCTTCAAAATTGGCTTCCTTGGTCTCCTTTGCTTCATATCTCTGAATTTTGTGTAAATATTTAATTTAAATATATAAAAGATAAAAAAAAATAAATATATAAACTCAAGCCTGACTGTGGGTGTTTCTTTCAGCGTGGTACACACCTGTGGTCGGTTTGTCCTGCAGTCTTGTGATGTATTTCTGGTCATGTGCACTGGCATACTATTCAGCAAGTTGATGGTATGTCAAGTCAACTGTTGTAAATGATTTTTATTCAAATACGTGCCTTTTCGCGACACCACAACAGGTTTTCCCGCGAAATGACATCTAAGAAACGACTGCCGAAACACTACCCAGAACTTGGTAGTACAACCTCATCAGTTTGGAATTTCTGTAGTCGCTCCCCATTCTAGTGAGGAGGGTCTCATTGGGGTGGTAGCTTTGACGGTTGATTCTTAATGTTAGAGCTTTGGACGGTTGACGGTTATTAAGTGGAATTTAGTCCAAGAGTTTAAGTAAATGTTAACTTCGGCATAAATTACTATTAAATGTTGTATTTTGGAAGTTGTCTTTGCCTTTCACTTGTAAACTTTCAATTATTTTCAGATATAAGCAAGTTGTGTGGTCTTGTTATATCCAGAAAGAGTGTTTCGAGAACATGGGAACTGGTTTTTCCAGTTTAGAGATTCTTAAGGAGCCACAATCCCTTGACGATCAGCTGAAATAGTGAGATTTGAGATGCCTTAAAACATTTTTAAGGATAATATTAATCTGCATTTTTAACTGCTGACGGTAAAAAATAACCTCTTTTGACCGTTGACGGTTACATTTTATGCCGTTTGACGGCTGACGGTAACCCCATCGACGCCCTCATACAGTCATTTCGCGGAGAAACCAGTGGTGGTGTCACAAAAGTTCGGCTGTTTTCTGAAATATAATGGACCCATCCCAAAAAAGGTTTGAGAAGTTTTTCTATCTTGCACTACCAAATGATATATTTAATAAAACTTTGGTTTGCTCTTGGCGAAGGTTTAGCTAGCTATCGTAACACTGGTGCGCGACCTACTAAAGAACGTTATAAAATGAATTTTAATTACAATTTGTTCCTCTTTCAGGCTCTTCACTGATTTGTTCAGTTGTCACAAAACCAAGCATTGAACTGATTTTAGAAAAAAAGCAGGAAACCAAAGAAAGACAAGAATTTAGCAAAGAATACTGCCATTAGAGCAGAAACGGAAAGACATGAGTTCGACAAAAGGCTGAGAAAAGAACATGGAGGGAATCGGACCCAGTGGACTCAGATTAAAGAGAGGAGCTGCCATGCAGGGGATCGCTATTTATGAAGCTACAATTTTTGCATAAAGTTGTTTACACAAAGCTCGATATGGGACTGTATCCATTGCTTCCTCTTTCTAAACATCTGGAGAATCAAAAATGACGATTTACAAACAAAGGGAAATTTATAATAGTAAATTATGTCAAAAGATAATTTATTTGACGTTACCTCTTCGCGCTCAGTTTCACAGGCTGTGACGCACTCCTTTCATCTACTCCTTTCCCTAGCGACTAGCCTCGCCTCCTTTCGTGTATTCCATCCCTTCGTGTCCCTCTCCGTTAGTCGCCATGTGTTTTTTTAGTCTTTCTAACCTTCCTTCCCCCAACTCCACACAATCACACACGACTTTAGGGCCAAAGATAAAAGACCAAGACTAACAATGTCAATGATGAATGTCAAGCGACGCCCGTTTTCTTTTTCCTTTTTATTTCTTTCTTTCTTTTTTTTTGACCGCTGTTTTTCTAGCGATGAATTTCGCGGACCTTAAATAAGTTAATCAAGGCTACTAAGCATTGGTTTTATGAGGTATCATTTTCTACACTGCGGAATGCAGATTTCATCATCAGTTCGACTCTGAGAAGAATTAATTTTGTTGAGTTGTCAAGGTCGAATACAAGACCGTTTGCTGGCACACTAAAATGTGTCCACCTTTGTGCTCAATCACAACTGTCATCAACATAGTTATGGGTGTCCTGTCCACTCTTGGTGGCGCAAAGACGAATACAACTGTAACACTCCCTTCACCATCGAGAGTACAAAAGGAAGACTGTTGTTACTATAACGCGCTTTCCTTAGCGATTGCCCGATTTCTTCTTTCTCTTTATTAGTGTTTATTTTTAAGACAACTTTTTTAAAAAGTTTGGCGACATTCAGTTGCCATAGTGACGTCATTAGAAACAATGGTCGAGCCATTTTAAATTAGAATTAGTGTTTTTAGCTCCTTTGGGCAATAAAAATGTGAGGGACACGTCAAATGACATTAAGGGGGCAAAATGTCGAATATACGTGTGTGGAAGAAAAATCGACGGTGTAGGCATGACAGTTTTAAATATTAATTTTCGCTCCCCGCAAATTCGCCGTTTTAAATCAAGTCCAACTGTTTTAAGTGGAAATTATAGTGGCTTGGATCATTTTGCCCGCTATATATAAGTTATCTTCATATTTTTTTAATTTTTTGAATTAATATGACTTTAAGAGAGTTCTGAATACCTCTCACATCAGAAAGTTACTGTTTTTACCGACTCAGTATTTGCGTGATATTTTGCTCGAATTTTATTCAGCCTGACAGCCATTATAAAGCGGGACGTTGTCAACCTACAGTTCCTTAAAATCTATCACTTTTAAGTTAATGACAAGAAACGCTTTGTGATTTGTTTACGCGGTTTTTCATCTGTCATGTCATATCCACGTGAATATTATGCTCGAAAACATATGGCCCGCAGTGTTTAGCGACAAGTCAGCCTTTTGTTATGCGGGAGATCAGGGTTTCCCATTTGAAGCGTTACTGAACTCGAGGTAAGGCTTTTTTTACATGCAAATGATGTTATTTATGCACATTTCACTCTTTTTATGAGTAACAAAGCCTTCGATCTCAAATTCTCATTGTTCGTCTAACTCAATTAGTTCGTGATTGCTATTTTCAGCTTGCGTGTATGTAATTCACGCCATATAAAAACATGAGATATATGTTATATTTCTTTCGCCTACTCTTGAAACTGCAAATCAGGTTCCAAAATAAGTTTCAATCTGTTGTTTCGCGAGGAAACCTTCTTTTAACGAACGTCTTTCAGTAACAATGGTCAAATCAGTCACTTTAGGCATTCTCCTAAAGAAAATTCAGCCCTCTATTTTGGCGTTGGCGGATAAAGCCCCCGGATACAAGGATGTCAACTGGGCGTAAATACTTCCTGAATTCCAACAATGTATTTTAAAACAACATCATTCATTGCCTGACAGACTTAGTTGTTGCTTGCAATTTTTGTCGTTCCATTTTAATTTCTATTTTACTTTTTAGCCCGGTCCCTTTTTTATTTGGATACGTTTCTACTTTCAGCGCCGTGGCATAGCTCTCAATGACGTCATATCGGAGGTAAATACAGATGTTATCACACATCGACGTCAAAAATTAATATATTATTCTACTCAGAGAAATAAATCAAATCAGAAAAGATAATTTGGAATGGCACTTTCCGACATAAACGACAAGACTATGTTCACATCGAGGGCTTCAAGTAAATATAATACAAACAAAAATTATTTCATTTTGTGTAAGACCTTAAAGTTGTACCTATAATCCGGAGCTGATACAGCACGTTATTTACGTTCTACTTATAATATTTACATTTTATCTTTTTGATGGGTAATTAATCTATTTTTGTCTGTGCAACAAGACCTTTCGAGCTTGAGGAAGACCAATGTTTTAGCCACAGCGCTCCACCGTGTCACGTTGAGATAGTGTTTCAGGGATTCGAGTAAACTCTGCCGTGGGAGAAAGATTTACAATTTCAAAAAAGCGTTGAAACTTTTTTTTCACTTGAAGAACCAAGTTGAACGCTTTACTATACGACATTCAATGAAATCGCAAACAGCCGAAACCACGTTCACGGTTTGTTTCCTCTTTCCAGGAATTACTTGATGTATTATCGGTTCATTTTCGTTCTCATCTGTTCTTTGTAGAGGGTGATACCGCAAATTGCTTCAAAGAAACATGTCCGACCGTGTGGCGCTTCATCTACCGTCAGGCAACGTACAAACACGTGTCTTTCGGAGCAATTCTTTCAACCCCCCTCCACCGCTGGGATGTCATCGCTCTCGAAGAACGCTTAGTCTTCCTTCACGAGAGAAGCCGCTCATTCCTCCGGTAATTTCGGAAAATCCCGAATGTTCCCGACAAGATAACGAACAGCATCGTGAGGAACTATTGACGTCGCCGCAGCGACAGCAACCGCAAATACTAATAGACTGTTGCGACCACGAAGTTGGTGAGCAATTTTATATTTTGGGCTGATATAGACAGTGAGATCAACCCAAATTTTGGGCCAGAATGAATGCAATTTCATCCTCTATCTTATAGTAGAAAGATTTTGTACGTAAAAAAACATTGCGTTAAGAAGTAGCTTGACTAAATTTAGTTAAAAGCACGACCACTACTGCATAAAGAAGGCCTCCAGTCGTAGGGGTATAACTAATTCCACAGCTGAGAAGCCGTCAAAGGTTGTAAGCTCTAAGCGTAGACATGGCTCGTCTGAGAGAGTGGGTTACAGCTGGGGTTAGGGGAATGAGAGTCGGTTCACAGTTCAGAGTACATTTACAACGTTTAATTACGTATTCTTTGTCGTTTAGGTTGGCTTAGTCCTGTCCTCGGATTATTCTTCAGCATTCTACTATACATTTGGGCGTGCCTACTCTCTATATCTGTTCAAGACAAAGACACATTCGCTGTGTAAGAAAAATAAAGCTGGGTGCGGGATATTTTTTTGAGTGAAGGCAGATCAGTGCAAGTTCACAAAGCATTGTAATTCCTGCAAGTTCAAATATAAAGATTTGATCTGACAGACTGATCTTGTTCTCGCTGATTGTTATTGTGTCCACAGGATTCTGATCTCTTATCTGCAGTTCTTGGACTGAGTTCACATAAAGGAATCTGATGAACTAGGCTACTAATGATTTCGCAGTGATTTTGTTCCTCGGCTTGCGATCCCAGATCTTCTTTTACCGGAAATCCGCATGGAGAGATTCCGTCTCTCATGTTGATGCTGATGTCATCTTTATTCACTTCATCAGTTGCCAATGCCAAATTTATGTTTCCTTGAAGTTTACACCCAGTGTCCCCGTCATTAAGATCAATCCTGATAATTAAAGTACAATAACACGTTAAAAGAAAAGATTATAAAAATGCATCCTTTGCAAAATGCAGGAGTCATTATATAACGTGTACTTTCAGGGGCGTACCGTGAGAGTTTGAAGGTGTACGAACGCGGGAAAGAAAACATGTAGCGCCGAAGGAGGCCCAACCCGGCTAGAGGGGTCTGGGGCATGTACCCTCCGTCTCAAATTTAGGGTCTCGGAAATGCCATTCCCCGCGTTTTCCTTAGAACATTCTCAGCAAATTAATACGCAGGAAAATGCAGTAGTTAGTTGTTTATTTTACTAATCTCTAGTGTTGCCGGTAAGGTACAATGTTTGCGAAGAAAAACGGCCATTGACGCCATCAGAATTATGGAATAATAATAAGATAACTGAGGGATATACTTACACAAACACACCAATATCACGCGAAAAAAAATGATAAAAAATGCGTTTTAAGAAAACAAAAAAATATATGTATTTATTCATATTTCAGCTGTACAAGTATGCACGGGCGTATGTTCGTATATGGACGCTACGCTCCTGGCTGTCAGGAATTCGCTCATTAATATTTAAAGAGTACTAATTTTTGATGAGAACGTCGGGGACGAACTTCTTTTGTGTCAGTGTTGTCCACTTTTCTGTTGATGCCACATTTTGTTGGACCCCATTTGTGCCTTATAAGAGAACTGACCTGCAGCACAAAGGGGTCTATTTTGTTACCCCATGGTCTGCATTTCGAGAAAAGCCTGGATTGTACCAGTTGTTCATTTTTAATCCATGTTAATACTTAAACCCATTCTCTTTGTTTCCTTGCCCCTTCTTTCGCTTTCAGTTGGTTCTTAGTTGTTTTTTCATTTACTGGGCACATACTAGGCTTCGATTTCAGTGAAAAAACCTAATGGATGGTAAAATTATTTTGTAACAAGTAAGAGTGGTCCGTGGACAAGGAAGGTGTCAATGACGTCTTTGAACGGTAACTTTGATGACGTCAAAAGTGGTACAAGGCACTACCTTATTGCTTGCGGTGCTTGATCCAGTGAGGCAACAATCTCGTCGAATGATGGGCGTTGTGAGGGGTCTGAATGCCAGCATGACGTCATTATATCAAATCTGTTGAAGCAAGAAACAGTTTCTTAGCGACTCGCGTCAAAAAGCAACTCAAATCTTTTATCAGCATGAAACTGAAAAAATTGCTGAAAAAAATACATCTTATCTGGACAGCCATCAGGTTGTTTCAGTCTCTTTCCTGACTTGAGAAATTCTACAACTTCCATTCCTCCCAATCCTGAATACGGCATTAAACCTGAAGTAAAAAGTAGGAAAAGAAACTATATTAGACGAGTGATTCCCCATTTCTCTCAGGGATGGTTGTAAAAATTATTAGTGTCCCGCAACTGTTAGCCCGAGATAATCCTTTAATTAATATAAAGAACTTACCTCGAGATTCTATTTCCCATAACACTATGCCAAATGACCAACTGCAAAAGAAAGTCGTTCTATCACTAAAGTAAAAAAGCCATTTCCGAGTTCCCCAGGGCCTCTGTATCAAAACGAGGTTAAATGCTCAGCCTTTGATTTGGAAATGATTTTTCATTCTCAAGCAAGTAAGCCTCATTTTCACAAGAAAGGTTGTACACTTGGCCTCATTTTGAACGTGAGAGTTTTAGGAACTTGGAAGTGTCCCATTCTTCAGCTACGTTCGCTGATTTCGACTATGGATTCTTCCATGTTGAAAAACGTAATTACTGGTTAAACTTACACGTCAGTTTTTGTGTTGTAGGTGTAATCTTCTAAGGATTCAAGAGCCATCCAACGTACTGGCAACATGCCCTGAAATAATAACAAGAAGAGAGAAACAAGGTGAATGTGTGACCCTGTAGGATTAAATATTTAGCCTTTGTAAATGATGCATCCGATTCACCCCGTGTGGGGCAGGGGCGGATCCAGGATTTTTTTTAGGAGGGGGTGCAATCGTCTCTTGCTCTACTTCAACACCAGAATTCGCAGAATACCAGTTGTATTAGAAAACCGCTGGTCATCTCAGAGGGGGGGGGGGGGGGGGTGGGGGGGGGGTGCGACAATATTTAGGGGGGTTTTTTTATCCGCAAACGAGGGTTATTTTTTTTACATAACCTTGGAAAAATTTTGGCACTTTTTTTTTTTTTTTTTTTTTCGCGTTGGTGCGACACCTAACACCCAAGTAATGTGGGGGGGGGGGGGGGGGGGGGGGGGGGGGGGGGGGGGGCAGGGATGGGTTGGCGCAAATATTGAGGTGGTTTGTTGTAGCCGCACACAGGGTTTATTGTGTTACCAGCACTTTGGAAACATTTGAGCATCTGATTGTTTGTAATCTTGTGCCGTGCGTCTTCAGACTAAACACCCAGGTACTGAGGGGAATTAAGAGGTGGCAGAAAAAAATTGATCTGTTTTGACATACACTGTAAACACCTCTAGGATGGCATGAGTTGATAGTGACTAGATATTCTATAGATAAATAAATAGATAACAGGACAATATTGTCTATGCTGTTATAGACCATAGAAATGAGTGTCAAATGTCAGTCAAAGCTTTGCAGAGAAACCACGAGCCGCTTTGGTACATATATATAACAGAGTGTATTTAAATTACGTACCCCAGACAATGTTTCGTATTCACCACTTTCGTACACATCACGTGACAAACCAAAGTCAGATATCATGGCCACAAAATTCTCGTCTAAAAGGACATTTCGAGCTGCAAGGTCACGATGAACGCACTGCAAAGAAAAACCATAAACCATTACAGGCGCTCATCAAACCAGAACATCCATTTCTCCAATATCGTAGGACTGGCCCCTATTTACGGGGCTATCTTGAGCTAAGATGTATCCTTAGTATATAGTATTGGCCCATAATGCTTACGAGAGATCGTAGCAAATGCGGCGGGTCCTAGTCAGGGTTTTTTACTCATGTGGCCAGCAGCTATGCAAATTTATTGCAACATAAGAAAATGTTTACAACTCCCACGGAATTGGTTTGGAAACCGTTTATTATTTTAGGACTTTTGAATTTTGCTACCCTATACTAGATTAAACTCCCCAAATCCCCCCCTACTACTATCCTAGAGTAGCTGTTTTCCAAAAACTACTAAGGTCACTAGCACAGTCTAGCCAAAAGAAAACCGATTTGATTTTTTCTTGAGTGGCAATTCCCAGTCTCCCTAGTCTAGACTACAATCTTTAACCAATTGATCAGTTTCCTGGAAAATGGTACCCTATTCTAGACCCAAGCTCTCTGATTTATATACCTTATCCCAGAGTAAACAGCTTGAAAACCATACCCTTCACAGCGGCACATACCTATATAGCCCATATATGGCAGTACCTCCCCCTCCCGGGACTTGACGTCATATGAAAAGGGTCTATAGATTCATCTTTCGCGCCAAAACACTCTTAGACAACTCTAACGGAACAGGATTTCAAGCATTGGTGGATGAGCTCAGAATAAATAAAGAGATCCGGCAATAAATGAACAAACAAACATTATGAGCCCCTGGACTATTATGAAATCAATTAAGGTCTACTTAATGACTTAATACAACAACACAACGAATGACATAATGATCTCACTGACTTAAAGAAAGAAATATACAATAAATATGCGATATTTACCAGGCGAGAGATCATGTTGGGTAGATATTGTACAGGATCGCAAGATTGCACCAGATATTTTCTTTCGTTAACAAAGCGGGCAATCCCAAGAGGAAAAGATACACCCACCTGGCCCGCCCAAATAGCCGGTCAATCAGAACACAGAATTCGTCTGATATATCGAGTGCAGCGAGATCGAGAATTCAAAATGATCCTAATTGTCCTAATTTCTCCGTTCTTAGAACTTCTTACCCTTTTGCTTGATAGATGAAGCATTCCATTTGCAATATCTTTTGCGATCCTTATTCTTTCATCTCTTGTAAAGCATATTTCCGGTTGGTTTACATTCACGTAAGGATTTTCTCTGCTCTTCTGTAGAAAATTTAATAAGCAGCCATTTTCAGCTAGGCGTACAACCACTAAAGCGGGTTCTGTTCGAAAGAAAGTTCATTGCTTAATTTTTTAGCACAGTTAATCATCACAATCCTGTTACATATTACAAGATACTAAAAAACTCCCCACCTCCCCTCCCTTAAGCAAACGTTGACACTAACTTCTCACTCAGGGTGAAATTGTATGATAGAGGAGGTGTGTTATTAGTTGTCAATATTTTTGAAACTCAAACGTCATATAAAACGACGGTTAATCTCGAGAGGCTCTTTATCTAATACAACTGTGGTGGTAATTTTTCCAAATCGTTGTTAATGGCGACGTAGCAAATGCTCAAACATGGGAGGTATTGACCCCAAAAAACCCCATTGAGCCACCTTCATACCGTGCCTATCTATATGCTCATGAAAATTAACATGATGGACGAAATTTACAACCATGAGCAAGTTTAAAATTAAAGTTAGAGATACCTGTTTCTGTACAAGCTCCAATAAGATTTATCACATTGGGATGTTCACCAACTGTAGCCATTATCTCCAGCTCATTCCTTAGGTCACGCTTCTCTTTCTCTGTTGCATTTTCTGACATTTAAGAAATATTTTTGTTGCTGTTACGAGTCAGAATATAACATTTTTATTCCAAATATTGCGTTATTTTTGCTAAGCGATGCGATTCGAATACCCAAAGTACTGTTAGATCAGTTCTATAAGTTATTAATAAGACATGAAGTTTAGTAATTGAGGCCTTGGTCAATCATAAACATAAAAAAGTTTACCAGAGATTACCTTTAAGTTTCTTTATAGCACAGTTCGTAAATTTTCCGCTGATCGTGACCACGCCCTTGAAAACTTCACCAAATGCCCCTTCACCTAACTTCTCCTTGAACTCGACAGCTGATGTGGGAAGCTCGATCCAATTGCCGCGCTTCCCAAACACAATCTAGAAGAACATTTTCGCTCACATTACCGGGCTTTGATTGTTCAAAAGGGGAAGTTGAAGGCATTCAAAGTTATACATTAAAATCGATTGTCTCCAAGCTTTGATGAATGCCACTGTAAACATCACTGTACCTTTTCTCCTTCTCTCGGTTTTGTTTGGCAACATGGCCGAAAAACCAGGCACACGGTGACGATGAATAAGAAAGCCAAACTCAAAGGAAGCACAATTGTGAGGATCAAATTCTTAACAATTTCATCTGCAAGGTAGACACAATAATCATGAAAGAAACCTGAATTAATCAAGGTTCTTGTCGTATTCTGGTAAATGGAAGAAACAGTTTGTGGAAGTATTTGAAGAAAGTACACTACCCAATTAGTACACTGTGTGAAGAAAATGGTGGTTGAAGGAAGAAAACGGACACATTCGCCTTCCCCTAAGCCACGCTTGCTTTTGTCTCCTTTACTGAAGTTGGTGCTTAACCTTCCTATGTTAAATTTCATGTCTGCTCTTTATCTTGGGAAGTTCCTTAGACGGAGAGATGATCAATTATTATTTTCATTAACTGAAAAATTAGAAGATCAACTAAGCGCGAGGGAGTAGCTATAGCCGGCCAACCAATCAAACCCCTTTCAGTTTCTCCTTTGCATGTGTACATTCGCCCCCTCTCCTTAAGAAAAAAATCGGGAAATGTTCCTGAGGGGATGGGGTAACTGTACTAAGCCTCGTTTTAAATGTCAATACTCTCATATACATATATACAGCACAAAAAAAGCAAAATTCCAGTACCCTCCCTTGTGTTTTGAGTCAAAAGTACACCATCGGATGTCCCATATTTGTTGATGCTTGACAATCTGATTATGTATTCAGTGGCTGGTTCCAAGTCCTCCATAACCATCCCAGTCTGTGTATAGGGCAAGGCTGCCACCTTGGTGAAGCTTTTGGAACCTCCTTTTCTGCGTTCGACTGAGGTGCTTTGAATCTGGAAATCACTTCCATATTTTGGTTTCTCCCACGTTATTACAATGTAACGTGTCTGTACGTTAATTGCCTTTAAATTTCCAGGCGGTGGTGGTTTCTCTTATTAAAAAGAGAAACAAAATAAGATTTAGAAAATCGGGTAAACGCATACATTAATATGTTTTCTGAGGACTGAGCCTGAACTCAGCAGCAAAAAGTATGCTGTACTCTAAGAGTCATCGAGTTTACGTACCTGCAACGATAAGAGCAGCGACGCCCAAACTGTCTTTAAACGAGGGATCCAATCCTTCTATAAAATGAGTCAAAGCCTCAGCTTTTGAAGTATGCTCATTCACTATGGCTAAAGCCAACATCTGGGCGTTTACGCTTCCACGACTGGTAATTCAGGGGAGAAAATTGATGAGTAAGAAAAACAACAATTAATAGTAACTAGTAGATAGGTAACAAGTAGATAGCGTTGAGAATTAATTTCGTTTTGGTCTAGGAAAGTCTAGTTCGGTCACAGAGAACATACGTAACCCAAACACACCCATTCGCAGGAGCAAAAGACAGTGACAGATTTCTTCCAAGGTGAATAATTTTTCGCTTAGAAAAAAACTGTGAAAGAGTGCTAAGGAACTTTTATTTCTTCTTTGTTCGAAAACGACCAGAAGTTATTCAATACTAGGAAAAAAGAGCAAATGAATGACGCCACAACAACGTTTTGGCTGTTGGTGAATTGTCGGAACCAACAACTGACTAGCTGATAAGAGGGCAATACTACCTGAAGCTCAAAACTCTGACTTCATAAATCTTGAATAGGGAAGATTCATTGAACTGAATATTTATCTGCAACGAAAAAGTAGTAGTATTATTTTTATCAAATCAAACAACGAGAAGTCTTGTCATCTCCTTTCAAAGTGCGCGCGAGCGAGCGCGCTTGACACGACGCTGCTTGAGTATGGCGGATCGAAGCGTAAATCAACTTCCAAATAACCATTGCTTGCCTTCGATGTAATATTCCTTTCCATCTCTTTGAACTTTTCGCTACTTCTATTAAGTAGATCACTGTGAAAACCAGTGTTAATCACAAGCCTAAAGTTGATATCAACAACCATTCTACCTGAAAAGAAAGAAAATCCAGTCTTCAAAATGTAACTGCAACAGCTTTCACTTAAGGTCAGAAATTAAGAGCGAAGCTCATGAAAGCGACGTTTATATGGGGTAATGTGATATATTCAATCTCCGATATTCTCCCAAAAGAACACATAAGGAAATAAGAATTATTTTCTTAAGATAAAACTGTGATCTTTCACTACTTACTAAAAATTTAAAAGCACCTTTCCAGAAGCACCACGTGATAAGAGGGTTCTTCACTTTAAAAAGTTACTCAGTAACATGGAAGTTCAAAGAGCGTACAATATCACTGAAGCATGCATAAATTGGACTATCTTCTTTCCGCTGTTTTATACAAGGATTTAGAGAAGATAGGTGATGGCGTCACACATTAAACAAATTAAGAACAAGATATAAAAGCCCCCTTGCCAACAATCAGCTTGTTAGTACAAATTGGTGCACTAACCTGCTAACAGGCTGATCCACTTAAATAGGCCTGGATTTATTTGGAGTCATGAGAGCATAACCGTGCTTATCTTTCCCCACGAGTGTGTGCTAACAGGTCGATTTTTGGCAAGGGGGCTTTTTGATCTTTTTCTTTCTGAATATGCCAATCAATCCCATAATTTCCAAAATTTGAATTTTTGTGACGTCACACTTCTGTTCTCTATCACGATATTGAAAAATTAAATACAGAACAAGAAAGCTAAGAGTGCAGAGCCAGATTGCATATGCTCACCCTTTTGCAAGGTTTCTAAGATAATGAGGTTTCCAGGTGGGCCGTGACCTACTTCATTAAAGCCATTCACTTTAATTTCATACGAAGTTCGGAAGTCAAGTCTGCTGATCACAACTTTTGTGCTGTTACTAGTAACATTCTTTTCAGTATGTAACTGGGATCCAAGGCGTCTGTATCTTATGCGGTATCCCAGGAGCTTTCCATTGTGAGAGCGTGGAGGGATAAGTTCCCAGGATATGTGAATTGCAGTTGAGTTGAGAGGATATCCTCTTAGGAACCTCGGGCCATCAGATGGAACTGGTGAATGGAAATTTTCGCAGACACTCAATAACACAGAAATGGAGAAGGAAGGGAGAAGGGTGGAGGAGGGAGAGAGGGTAAGAATGGGAGGAGCGAGGAAAGGAGAGAGGGATCGAGAGAAGAACGGGAGGAAGAGTGGGAGGCAGGGAGGAAGAGTGGGAGGCAGGGAGGAAGGAAGGACGGAAGGGTGTGAGCGAGGGATGGGGAAAGAAAGGAAGCTAAGGAGGCCAGTTAAGAAACAGGAGAGAAAGGAAAAACATATTGAGTAAAGAAACGATGTGATGGATGAATCAGTGTACTTCTTGAGCTTTTCCTTGTGAGTCTGTTGGCAAAGTATATCCTTTGGTGTAACTATAAACTTATCTTTCTTAAGCTTTAAGATTTTACAAAACCAAAACCTAAAAAGTACCTCTTCGAGGGCAGCGGGATATGTTGCAGTACTCCCATCGAACTTTAGGGTCAGTGGTATAGCACCAAGGTCCATCCGGGGCACTGGCATCCGGGTTACGACACATGTTGGAGTCATTCTGACCATCAACAACATCTTCAGGAATCCGCAAATGACGGTGAGGGCATTGAGAAATCCATCGCTGACACGGAAGGCCCGAACGGGTGATATTCACATTGCCACGATATCCAACGCCGCTGCCATAGTAACAATCTATGGATTGTTTCAAAAATTCATTCGCCCCATTGAAGGGAATCCGGGTTCTCCGGCTTCTGGAATCCGGGAAATTTTTGCTTGTGGAGTCCTGAATCCAGGGCTTTTTAGTCCAGAGTATTTCTCAAGGAATCTGAATCCCATTTACGACTGGAATCCGGTATCCAAGTTCCACTGACAAATATTCCTGAATCCAGTACCTGGAATCCAAGACTGTCTTGGATTCGCTTACATGAGGAGAATTTTTGCAGAGGTCAAGTGACAAATATGGAATGCATTTTGTGTATTTCAGTGTCCCAAATTAGTAGGTCGTCTTCAGTTTCGCCCCATTTAAGGTAATGGGCCATTTCCGAGTTCCCCCAGGCCTCTGTATCAAAACGAGGTTAAGTGCTGAGCCTTTGATATGGAAATGATTTTCATTCTCATGCAAATGACTCGTTTTCACAACAAAGGTTGTGTACTTGGCCTCATTTTGAAAATGAGGGTTTTTGCAACTCGGAAGTGGCCTATCCACGACGGTCTTGGATTCTAGATTCCTTGTCAGTGGAACCTGGATTCCGGATTGCAATCGTTAGCGGGATTCCGGATTCCTTGAGCTGAATAACGGATTCCAAATCCCAGGATTCCGGATTCTACGATAACAAATTTCCCGGATTCCGGATTCTACAAGGAAAAATTAACCCGGATTTCGGAATCCGGATTACTTTACATTGCGCGATCAGTTGCTTGATTAAACTGATTTGGAACTGAAAGTGGTTACTGTTGCTGCGTCCGTGGGACATAAAACTTTGGTTTAATACACCGATTTCTTCAAGAAATTTTGAGACCAGAAAGAAATTCAAAAAGTGACATTTCGAGCGTCAATCCCTCGTCAGAAAGAAAAAAAATGAATTGGATTTACAAACCTGTACTTTCTGTTTCGTCACCTTTAAAAAAGAAAAAAGAGAGAAGAAATCTTTAAGCTTGTCTCTTTTAAAAAATAAAGACCTGAAAGCCGCAGAAAATAGAGCAAATAATCACCTGGTAATGCAGGGAGTTGGTAGCATTCGGGTGCCTCTCCTCCATTGGCAGCGGGATATGAGGTGCAATTTAACATTATTTCGTCAAAATCAGAGTCTTGTGCCGCAATTACCCTCAGAGAATCTAACTCATTTAAGCACTTTTCATAGGTCACAAATTCACAGGTCTTACGACAAACGCCTTGTGCAAGGGGCTTGTTCAGTGAAGTATCGCACAATGGAAACGCATAGCGGCAGGCCACTTCCTTGCTGAATATTTTGCATTCTCCTGATGTTAATGCTAAGAAACTTTCGTACTTTGCAATCAGACTCTCACTTCTGCTCAAAACACCAGAATCCCCAAAAATGTATCGATTACTAATGATGTCTCCACAGACTCCAGCGATTTGAGGGTAAAATGTACAAGATATGTTCCTTGAAGCAGAACTGACTGGAGGTTCCGCAGGAATACAGCTGAAAAAAAAGCATATGCTAGTTACTCGTTCCACCTTGGGGGTTAATACTGTGTTACAGTAGTCTTCGATTATTTTTTGATACAGTAGAATTCCGATTTCTTGAGCCTTCGGTTTCTTGGACATGCCGATAATTAAAGGCACAACTAATTTTCCTTTCTCACTCAAACAACTGCAATTTTATGACCAATCTCTCAAGCTTCTTGATTATTCCAGCCAATTTTCTTTTCCCAGGAGGATCGAAAAATCGGGATTCCAATTGACGAGGGGTGCGTGGGTGAATGTAGTCCTGAATAGGACTAATGTTAACAATGATTTGTTTTTCGTCAAGCAGTGCGTAAGTGGTTGGTCGACAGAGGTTTTTTGACGCTAGTAGATGCTATTAAGCAACGTCATCTAAAAAAAGCGGCTAAGGTGCTGTTAGAGGCCGGCGAGTAGATTTTGACACGCCCTCCCTTGAGTTAAAAAATAGCAATAAGCGTCCCCACCCCTCCACCATGAACGAAACAGTAGTGAGCTTAAGCAACGAAAACGCTGACGTCCCGGACATCACGAATAGCAACCGGAAGTTCGATGTCTCGCTTGATGGAACACTTTTGTCTCACACAAAGAATCTGAAAGCCTTTGTTTTATCTCCCACTGTGCGAATCTGTCCAGTCAGAGCACTGGACGAAAGAAAATATCAACTTGTGGTTGCCATTTTTGACTTCCGGGACGTAAATGTATTGTTGCCTAAGGTCCCTAATCACTGAATGTAAGGTACAGAAGGATTTCCACCTCAGAAATAAGAGGACCTTGGAGATAAAAGGACTTTGACAGTAACCAAACACTGATTTGTGTTTCTTGTTACAGACACTTTCTAGTTTACCGTAACTTACAGTGAGTATTTACCGGATATAAATACAAGGTTATATGGAAGCCAAACTTTGAAAAACGAAGTAAGCGCTCCTCCCCTCTCGAATTTAGCACCCCCTTTCAATTCCAAAAGTTAAATACAAGTCCCGGTCGTTAATTCGAGCATTAGCGGTAACTGAAGATAACTAGTTCTTTTGACACCACGAAGTTTATGTTGAGACTTACCTCGAGTTTGTTTCTTGGGAAATCGACACGTTCTGTGATGCTAAAAACGAGGATTAACACAGGCAAGTATTAATTCAAACGAGGATTAAAACAAATAACAAAGGAAAAACCTTTGTCTTTGGTAGCTGGCCCACAAAGAAAATTTGTGCTTACAATCATCGTTTTAACTATCTCAATGTACCAGTTCTGAAAAAAAAAATTCATTTCAGTATATATGGCTACTACGAAGTCAATCTACCCTAATGTCGATTTGATTTTCCCGCTAATTCTAGCATTTGAAAACGGACCTTATTTTACAACTCTCTCTCTGCTAATGTCACACACGAATTGACTGTTGAAGTTCGTAAACGCATACAAACTAAAAGCACGTTTACCTGACTTTCGTCCACACATGACCGATAGTAAACGGATATCAACGGATATCAATTAAGTTCGTCAAAGGGTACGAGCACTGGAAGCGCGTTTACACGACTTTCGCCTCACACATGACAGATCTTATACGTTTAGATGCCCATGGCCTGAATGTCATATATCAGTTAGCGTACAGGAAACTCCACAGCACTGAGACTGCTTTAATCCATGGCCATAAGGATATCGCAATTGCCTGAGATCAGAAAAGATCAGTGATTTTGCTTCTCCTTGATCGATCTTTCCGCGGCACTTGATAATGTGGATCACTGTATTTTAAAATACTTTCACGCCTTTCTCGTCGATTTGGAATTGGTGGTACGACATTGGAATGGTTTCAATCATATTTGGTTCATCGCAGTCAGTTTGTAAATATCAATGGATCAACCTCCGAGCGTCATGTTCTGTAGTTTGGTGTACCCCAAGGGTCGGTCCTTGGCCCTCTATTATACTCAAAGTACACCTCTCCACTAAGTGATATCGCCGTTTTGTATGCATGAAGGTTTTACTTTTATGCGGATGACACGCAGCTTTACGAAACATTCGAGAATTCATCCCTTAATGATATGGATTTGAGCAAGTTTAGGTTGGTAGCCTGTGTACGAGAAATTGACACCTGGATGCTTCCGAATAAGCTAAATTAAATAAAGACAAAACTGAACTTCCTGTGATATCATCTTGACACAGTGCTCGACCTCCTTTGTCACATATTCATGTTTGTTTATGAGAGAGTGCTGGCTTCACCAAGAGCGGGAAACATTGGAGTTTCTTCGAAGAATCTTTGTGTATGGTTCCTCAGCTGCAGGCCTCTTTCTATCATCTCCGTAGAATTAGGCTCATTCGTAAACATCTCACTTTTGATGCAGCCCAGCTTCTTGTTCAAGCTCTTGTTACATCAAAGCTTGACTACTGTTATTCGTTACTATATGGTTTACATGAGCAAGTGATTAAACAGCTCCAACGTGTGCAGAACGCAGCTGCTCGTGTTGTTACTCTTTCGCCCAAGTTCTGTCATATTAAACCTGTTCTTGCGAATCTTCACTGGCTCCAGATTGAATTTAAAATACTTATTGTTACCTACAAGACTATCCATGGATTTGCTCCTGCTTATACTAAAGATCTTCTTCAAAGTTAGCTCCCGGCATGGGATCTCAGGTCTTCAAAGAATTGCCGTGCCTGCTTTTAACATAAAAAGTTATGGCCGTCGTGCTTTTTCTGTTGCTGCGCCGCTTCTTTGGAACAGTCTTCCTCAGCATATTAGGAATGCTGGATCACTGGCATTTTTAAAAGGCAGTTAAACTGCTCCATTTAGGCGCGCCTTTTTCAATTGATGACGTGATTGTACTGTTTTATATCTTAAATTATTTTATCTTTAGTTTTTGTAGTTTTTAAGTGTGGCTTTAAATTTTAACCGTAAAAAGCGCCTTTGGACCCTTTGGAAAGGGCGCTTTATAAATATCTCATTACTATAATTGTTATTGTTATTAAACGGATATCATTGTTAACAGTCTCCAGAGTCAACTTGCCCTCAAGACAACGTTTTTTGAGCGAAAAAAGTCGACGAGAGAAGTGCAACTAAAACGGACTTTCAGAAACTCTATCTCCAGAGTGGACAACTTCGTAAACGAACAAATGGAAACGCATAAGGGAAATAGCATACTGCCATTCGTAGTGTAATGGTCATAAGAAATTTCAAAACGCGCAAAATTATAATCCGACACGCCTGATTTCTTATTTTTTTTAAAACCATCGATTTACATATAACTGCCACATCACTTTGTCGCCATGAAAAACATGATTACGTGTTTTAGAAAAAGAACTCTTAGGATCCAAAAACTGTACTCAAACAAAGTTATCTTTAATTTCTCGCACAATTTGATGTTTTTCGCCCGGTGTGTTGAACGTTTTACACCCTGAGAGTGAAATACGACACTACTTCCTCATGGAGTAATTCATGCGAAACATTACATGAAACGTATATTTTTCACCATAGTCGTGAATCAGCAATTGCGCTTGATAGCTAAAGAGGTAAAGGCCGTTTTGAACGTCGTGCCACTGCCGTGCCGAATTCAGTTGATCGAATTGAATTAAATTCGACCAGTTAGCACCGCAGTAGCGGGACCTTTGAAACTAAGTCGTGCTACTGCCGTTTTGCCGTGCCACACGGCAGAAGTGCGACTTGGTTTCAAACGTCGTGCTACTGCCGTACCGAACTCAATTTATATACTACAAATGCATTTAAATAAGAAGGAAACATTTTAAAAGTTGATAAACCGGGTTTTCTATTTCTATGCTTTCTTTTTACGACACTGGATACTTAATTCGACTGATAAATTCGACGTCTTAAACCGAATGCATGCTGCAGTCGCGCTACGGTCGTTGTACAGTCGAGCCAGCTTTGCATGGCTGAAGTAAGACGTTTGAAATACGCCTAACTTTTTCTTTAACTCATTATACTATAAATTCCAAACTTACCACAGAAAGACAAGGTTACAACGTACAGAGCAGCAATAATGTGAAGATCACCTGAAGCCATTTTCACCAACGCTACATCAAATCACAAACCCACCTCGGAAGAACTCGTGCAAAAAAGGGCGTAAGTTAAGGTAGCTCGTACTAGTTTTCACGCGTGAGAGGTCCATCGCGCGAGCATCTAACTTCGTACGCACAAGATTATCAAACAAATGTGGCGGCGTACGGCTATTTTTGGGCACGGTTACTTTTGGCCTATTTTTTATAAAATTCGCATTTATCATGTGCAGACACTATAAATACTGTAAAGTACGTATTTTTTAGTGAGAAAGTTTCTAAAGGAATACTCGCAAGCTTACTGCAATCGATCGTGACAACAACTGTGACAAAGAATGGGAGGAGAGAACAAGGACTTTCTAAATGTAAGAAAAACTACAAAAACAATAAACCAGAGTACTATAAACCACAGTTAACCACACTTTATCTTCTCGCCTAAATTTTTGGATTTGGACCATGTTTAATCCACGACTGCTCAAGAGCGACGACGAAAACTGAAAACTTTAAGTCCATTCGTCGACAGACTATTGCAAACAGTTTCGTCTATGCCACTTCGCTTTGTCTATTGATTTTTGAAAATTGAGTCCAGAAGGCGATATTTTCAGGCTACCCGAACGTTTTACTGAACAACGCGTAAATTGGACGCCATGTACATTTTTTCCTCTCTGCAAGGACTGTAAGCAAAATCAACAGATGCTCGCAAGTGTATTAGCGCAACAGTCAGCAGTAGTCAAGACAGCGCACGAGTAACCCGCATTCTTATAGAGTTCAGATTTTACAAGCACTAAACCACGCTTGGGAATTTTTGAAATCTAACATCATTTTACAAGAAAACAAGACTGGTGACCCCTCCTTTTACTGCTTTGATATTGTATGAGAGTTGCCAATAGTTAAATTGTCGTTCAAAAAACAGGTGGGGGCGGGGGGGTGGGAGAGGGATCACCAGCTTAATTTTCTAGTTATCAGTCCTGGAAGCTGAAAAGCAGGTCTGAATTTGCCTTAAGTATTGAGCCTGAAATCGGGTTAGAACAGACTGGATGAACACATTTGAATAGAACCGCCATTATAGAACTCTTTATAGTGGTTAAGAACTAGTTGCGTTTGTTCATTTCGGTGGTCGGTTTCGTTGTTCACTTGTGATTTCAGACTTTCAACATTACAATCGATTTCACATATTATATAATCGAACTGTACGAATATTTGTGCTGCTGTGGCTTTGGCTTGCCTTTTTCTTCGGTCTGTTCTTTCAAAGATAAAATCGTCAAAAACGGAGAAACTGGTACGAGTCACCTTAAAAAAATTTCTACTATTAAGTAAATGATATTTTGGTGAGTAAATCATGGGTAGCAGAATACCTTGTTTTCACTTTATTTCCATTCCAGACTCTTTTGATAATTCGTTCACCTGATCCCCTATGGAACAGTACACCTGAAGTTTTGGGAAGACTCCCCCAACAAAGATTCAAGAAGAAAATAACCAAATTAAATCCTTATTTCAGATCTTCCTTAAACAGGACAGTTATGTTGATATAGATACGTTATTGAATGAAAAGAAAGAAACTTAAAATTTATCTTCTAAGTGCTTGTGACTTCGTAAACTAGTAATCACTCCTCCACCCTTTTATTTATGATCTATATATTTATACTTATACTACTACATTAGAAATTTCTGCAGTTTGATTGGCTTAGAGCAGTGGTATTTCAACTTAATTTAAAATACCTACATGTGAAAATTACAAACCTTTTGCAGGTAGTAGTATAAACAAATAATAGCATGATTTGTACGTAATATTTGGTATAAATACCACTCGTGATATTTCAAAATTGTCTCAAATTTCACTCGCCTGACGGCTCGTGAAATTACGTATAACAATTTCGAAATACCACTCGTGGTATTTATGCCAAATATCACTACAAATCATGCTATTACCTATACTAATTATTGTAGTTAATCTGTAATGCCATATTTATTATCTTGTATCTTTCTTTGTATTATATTGTGATTTAAGTGTAAGTAATACGTCTCCATAATACCTGCTTCGAGTAGCTTCTCTATTCGTAGGTAGTCTGTACTTGTAATTTATCGATTTTCATGTAAAATAAAATTTTGTGGATGTAAATTTTCCTTAACATCGAATAGCAAGAAACCCAATGCTTTCGTACAGTAACTGCAACCTCGGTGGCCCTTAAGGCACGTAATTTTGAGATCGGTTTTATGTCTGTTTGACCAATTTTTCGTTTTTGTAACCTTGTTCGCACCCGAGTCACGCCAGAGTTTTCGCGTAATCAAAAACGTCAATTGAAGGAACTGTAATTGGTCACGTTCGAGAAATAAGATGACCCGACGAAGGAGGAGAGGGAGAAAGGGTTTTATCACATGAAGAAAACTGTAGGCCTCCAAATCTTCTCGCGATGGCATCTTTGAAGTTTGGTGACACCTGAGAAAATGTTCACTTGGTAGGTGACAAAAGTCGTGGCTTTCCTGTTGACAGATGTTCTTGCAAAACAAACAAAATTTTGCCTAGTGCGAACAGGGCCTAATTTACAACGTTATCTACAAACGCATTTTTATTACGTATTGTTCTTTTTCTATGTTGGCTTTGTCCTGTCTTAGGATTGCTCGTCAGTATTCTACTGTACTTTTGGGCGTGCCTACTTTCTATATCTGTTCAAGACAACAACATATTTTTAGCCGTGTAAGAAAAATGAACCTGGGTGGATTTTTTCTTGAGTGAAGGCACCGTCAAAGCAGGTTCACAGACCGTCACTTTTTCTACAAGTTCAAACATAAAGATTTGATTTCACAGACTGATTCTGTTTTCTCTGATTCTTAATTTGTCCGTGGGATTCTGATCCCTCAGTTAGAGTTCTAGGAAGTTCACATAAAGAGATCTGATCTCCCAGGCTACTTCTGATTTCGCTGTGTTTTTGCTTCTCGGCTTCCGATCCCAGGTCGTCTTTTGCTGGAAGTCCAAATTGAGAGATTTCGTCTCTCGTGTTCATGCAGATGCTATCGTCATTCGTTTCATCAGTTACCAATGCCACATTTATATTTCCTTGAAGTGTAGACTCGGTTGTCTCATCAGTTGGATTAATCCTGATTATTAAGGGATAATAACATGTTTTAAAAATGTAAAAGATTAAGAAGCAACTTCTGCTAAATGCATGCCTTAGTCATTTCATAACGTGTTGTTTTTAGGACTGTGGGTCGATAATATTAATTAACGGTTCTATACTAGTTGAGTGAGGGCCCCGAAAAGTTTTAGCAAAAGGTGATGACAGAGAACAAAAGGAACACAGACGTGTTGTGTTATAAAGAACGTCAGTGACGAACTTCTTTTTACGTCTGTCTTGGTGTGTTGATACCACATGCGGGACGATTGATTTACATGTGAACTGGCCTGCGGCAAAAAGGGATCTATTTTGTAACATCATGGTCTACATTTCGAAAAAAAAAGCCTGAATTGTACAAGTTGCTCATTTGCAATCCAAGTTTATACTTTAACCATTCGCTTTGTATCTTCGCCGCTTCTTTTGCTTTCAGTTACTTTTCCTCGGTTTATTTTTCTTTTACTGGGCATTTGCTAGGCTTCATTTTGGTGAGAAAATCTTTCTCAAAAACCCCTAGGATTGTAAAGTTTGAAAGGAAGTAAAAGTGTGCAGTCGGACAAGATGTTCACTGGAATTTTCTAGTCAACATTTCTCTGGCATGTTGGACTTAATTGTGCTCATTTGGGTATGTTAACAATGAAGGTGTCAATGATGTCTATAAAATTTCTGAAAAATTTATGACATCGCAAGTGGTACAAGATACGTTTTTCCAGAAAGGCGGCTATGGACGGTTGGGATGTCAATGTGAAAGACACACACGCACCTTATTGCTTGCAGTGCTTGATCAAGTGAGGTAACTATCTCGTTGAATGAAGGGCGTTGTGAGGGGTCTGGATGCCAACATGACGTCATGATGTTAAAGCTGCAAGAAAGAAACAAAGCTTTTAAATAGAGACCAACACCTTACCAGCTGATTTGCCTAGTCTTTATCTAAGTTGAAGGCATCCATTGTATAAAATAATGCTGCCATTGCTTTTTCTCTCCTCCTCGTCCTTTTTACGGCCTTGATGTCCCTATTTTTCCTTTCCTTTTTCTGCTGTGATGGAATTTTTGCGTCTGTCGGACCCGCAAGTTACGTTTTAGCCTTACTCCGGTTAAATAGCTGTAATTTTAGCCATTACATTTTCAAACATATGGCTAAACACATAAATAGGTATGCACCGGGCACGGGATCCCGCGGGTCCTCCCATAATAATCAGGCTTAAGGTAATTCTGAAATGAGCTACTATATTTCTGGGTCATACATATTATCAGGGCATCCATCCGGTTGTCTCAATCGCTTTCCCGATTTCAAAAAGTCCACCAACTCCATCCCAGCCAGACCTGGATAAGGCATTTCACCTGGAGAACAACGGAAAACACAAATTATGTCAGTATCATTTTGCACACACTCCTCATACTATGGTATGACAATACAGTAAATTGTCACCTATAAACCCTGGGCTAATACAACTTCGCTAGGGGCTTAAGGAGATTGACAAACGCAGGGGCTTATATCCGAGGGGGCTTATAAGCCGACTAGAAAAAGCGCTTTGAAACAAGCTTTAGCACTGCTGATCAAAATACGTTTATATATTACTGTTTTTTTTATTTATTTTCAAAAAGTCAATGCTACAACAGTCAAGTACTGTCGGACACCCAGAGCATATTCAGAAGAGTTCAGTGTAGTTGTACCTCCAGATTCGATTTCCCACAATACAACTCCAAATGACCAGCTGCAATGAAAGAAATGATTTTAATCGGTTACTGTTTTCATTTTATTTTCTGCATTGAACACAGCCTTATCACAGCTTGTATGGATCACTTGTATCTAAAGTCATCTTGTTCACTGGCTTTTTAGCATGAGAATAACACGATTGCACATAAGAAGCAGGAAGGTTTGTAACAAAACAATGTCATCTTCAGCCTCGCTTCTATTCAACAGCCAGAGCACTAAGCACACAACTTTAGTGGTCTTTTAAGGGTGACTGATCATCCAGGAGTGATCCACGTGATATTTTAACCATTTCTCCCCACTTCTTCTATGAGAAAAGTATGGAACAAGAAAGGGGAATATATTTTAAAGGGTTAAATACAACTTACACGTCAGTCTTGGTGCTGTATGTATAATCCACAAGAGATTCAAGTGCCATCCAACGAACTGGCAACACACCCTGGTATGAAATTGAAGCAGAAAAACGTAGTGAATTAAACCTATGCTTACAATTACAATCCATAATGATAAAACATATAGAATCCTATGTGGGGAACTTGTGAAACTGTAAATTTTTCTTGGCTATTGTTTGTAACTCTTAGTCCTCATCATTTCTATTTTTTTAGTCCCCGTTAAAGGTTTGTGTTGCAAACCGAAATATCGGACATTATTACTCTTCCTACCGCAAGGGTCAGTTTATTATTTTTAAAATTTTTTATCGAAGAAATTACTGATCCAGGTCTACTTAAGATCCGGCTGACCCTCACTGGTTTGTCGTTGTGGTTTTGCCTTCACAAGTGTTTCTTACATCCTTAGTTTGTAACCTGCTTCTCTGTAGTTTGACACATTCTATGAGTGAAAATGAAAACATTCTCATGGGTAGGGAAAGCGCATTGCCGCATAGCGAGGGCGGAAAATGCGGTGAATCTTCTTTCATACAAAGACTACAAATATTGACAGGAGAACCCTAAACAGGAAACAAACCCCCTCACTGAAGGGCTACCTAAAGTTCACAATAAATAAAAATTAAACAGCTACTAAAAGCATACATGCATAATCAAGTGGAAAATATCTACAATATTAAACTAGATCATTACTTAAGCATAACCCAAGGTTAAGTAAGAAACAATACATGACAATACATTTCTAATACATGACGTACCCCTGATGTGTTCTCATAAGCGCCGCTTTCGTACACGTCACGTGACAAGCCAAAATCAGAAACCATAGCAACGAAGTTTTCGTCAAGGAGCACATTTCGTGCTGCAAGATCACGATGAATACACTAAAAAGCAAAAACAATTAAACACTGGAATTCTCCATTATAAGTTAATTTAACCTCAGGCTCAGGTAATATTGCGCTCTGCAAAAATTTGTTAAATGTCATGTCTTCGTCGCCATTTTGAAATCGCAACAGCTCGCATCACTTTGTCGGTTGTGCCATTATGTTAGAACCACTCTATTAACTTGTTGAATTGTGAGGGTTGGTTCATTGTTTTTATTTACTGTCTTATGGAGTAATCCTTCATGAATTAATTGCATCATCCTACTGATGAACAGTTTGCGACACTTAGATATATATATATATTTTAGCAACTAATATAATTTGCAGTCTGTCTACTTTGAATTGTCCCAATGGAACATTTTTCAAATGCATCGTACCTTTCTGTTTGAAAGATGTAACATTCCATTGGCAATATCGCGTGCAATTCCTACTCTATCGCTTAATTCAAAGTTGATTTTGGATTTTTCCACGTTGATGTAGAGATGTTCTCTGCTTTTCCGCAGATAATCTAGTAGACAGCCATTTTGAGCTAGACGTACCACCACCAATACAGGCTCTGAAAACGAATCAAAAATCAATATTTCATAAGTTATATAAGTGTCTGAGCTTCTCTCAATTTTTCTCAAAAAAACACGTGCAAACGGATGCAACAACTCCCAAAATTGTTGGGTCAACATTGTTATAAGTGATTTTGAACAGACACGATAACAGCTAAAATTAAGAACACTCAGTGTACGTTGCCTCTGTACCGAGAAGAGCCTGATGGTTTGGAATCCCCGTATGTATTGTAGGTGCAAAGTTAGAAGGGTCATCGGGTATTTTAAACAAGGCAGTCGCTCAATTCTCGAAAGAAGACTTCTCTTGACTATTACCTAAATTCAGACAGTTGGAAGCTTAAGTCGCTCGGTCATAGCTCCTTCCTGAATTCACGCTAGAAAATGTCTTTATTGCGAGTTGTTACCTACCTGTTTCTGTACAAGCTCCTAGAAGACTTACTAAATTGGGGTGTTTGCCAGCTGTAGCCATTATTTCGAGTTCATTTTTCAAATCACGTTTTTCGACCTCTGTAGCGTTCGCTGTAAGAAAATATAAAATTCAAGTATAAAATTAACTGTCACTTTTATGTAGGGAAAATGGAGATTCTGTATTCTATTTTTTATCTTCTTTGACAACGCAACATCATCATTTAATAGCCTTCTGGACTCAGCAAATCCAGGCTAATTTACCTTTAAGTTTCTTTATCGCACAGATTGTAAATTTCCCGCTGATCCTGACCACTCCTTTGAAAACTTCACCAAATGCCCCTTCACCTAACTTCTCCTTAAACTCGACAGCTGATCTGGGAAGTTCAATCCAATTGCCTCGCTCTCCTATTACCATCTAAGGAAATCGCACTATCAGTATTGCTTATCGCAGCTGTACATGTATAAAAAGAATAAAAGGTAAATATCCTCCCGATTAGGCGATAGTAAAAAGGAGATGAGCCCAGAAAAAATGGATTGAAACCCTCTTGGAATCTATAAGTTGGATCTTCAGGCCTGTAACAGCTATAAAACTGCAGAAGATTGCATTAATTTTAACCCATCCTGATTTACCTTTTCTTGTTGCTCTGACTGTGAGCAAGTTGGGCGAAACTTGAGGTAAACAAACAAGACAAAGAAAACAGCTAATCCCAAAGGCAAGATGATCGTAAGCATCAGCTTCTTGATAAACCTGTCTGTAGAGAAAAAAGGAAAGTGAAGACCAGGAAAAATCCTGAATTTTTTCATGTTTGACCGGTGTTCTTGACTGTCTGATTCTTCCGTATTTTCCTTTTTTTCTTCTTTCTCCCCCGTATTTTTGTAGTCTTTGGTGTGATTAACATGGTGTTAGCGTCCTTCGCCGAAGGTGGCTTATTGGACCACTCCATCTACTAGTATCCGGATCACACCTCAAATTCAGAGGACGTTTTTGTCCCGTTATAAGTTTATAACGTGCTATGTTTAACTTGTTTTATCTAGAGGTAAATTTGGCCTTTTTTAATGTTATCTTCATAGCGTCATCTGATAAAACGTCACAGTTGAAATACTGAAAACTGCTGGAAAACGTTGATTTCGTTCTCAGAAACCCCCGCTCATATGGTCCCAACTATACTACTTTCCTTTGAAAGAATTAAACCATCAGCTGTATTTTCAGGACAGTCCTATTCTTGTATCATTGAAGGGAAAATTGAAGTAAAGATTTGATTGCATTTATTTTCTTTTTTTCCAAAGCCCTTACTTATAGGAGCACTTACTAGGTGAGGTGCTTAGCGTTAGCGAAGCGCCATCATCAGATCTCCCATATTCGTTGTTGCTTGACATTCTTATCGTGTACTCTGTGGCTGGTTCTAAATCTTCCATTATCATTCCAGTTTGGGTGTATGGTAATGTTGCCACAACTGTAAAACTTTTGGCGTGTTCTTTCCTGCGCTCAACTGTGTAGTTGTGAATGTGGAAATTACTGCCATATCGTGGACTTTCCCAGGTTAACACAATGTACTTTGACTGGACATTTGTTACCTTTAGGCTTCTGGGTGCAGGCGGTTTTTCTGTAGATAAAGAGAGCCAAAATCTGTTCTTATTCTTCTATTAGTTTATAAAGAGGCGAGTACACCTGCAGAAAATGATGACACGACTTCGTTGCGAAATGGTAGTCCATTACCAGTAAGAGTATCAACCCAGGCAAAGTATTTTAAGTTTTTGAAGTGGCTTTTACTTCGGCAATATAAGAGTCGCTCAAAGTGCCATGCTTATCAACATATATATCGCCCCGTTTAGGAGAATCCGGGATCCGGGAAATTTATGCTTATGGTACGTATGGAATCCGGAATCCTGGTCTTTGGAATCCGGAAAACAGCTCAAGGAATCCAGAATCCCATCAACGATTGGTTTCCGGAGTCCAAAATCCACTGACAAAGAATCCGGAATCCACGGCGTGGAATCCAGAATCCAAGTCTCTTGGATTCCCTTACATATAATACCAGTAAAACTAAGAAACAATTAACAAAAGAAATTTAAAAACAAAATAAGAAGTGTGATAAATCAGCAAAAAATTATTATCCGTTGTTGACCACTTACCATTAACAATAACAGCAGAAATACCGAGTCTGTTTTTGAATACAGTGTCGAATGCATCCATCAAAAAAGTTGAAACCTTGGCTTTCGAAGTCTGCTCCTCAACTTTGGTTAAAACCAAAATGTCGGCCTTAACACTTCCACCACTGATGATTACATGTAAGATGAGAATAAAAAATAAATTAGGCGCAGTATATAAGTAAGCATCTCACTCATTAGCATGCATGAGCAACGCTGAAACTTTGCTTCCTCTTCACCTAAGATCAGATTTTCCTCTTTTATAGGGGATTCTGAGGAGAGAACGGCGGGCAATATGGAGGAGACACATTGAAAATCCAGTTAATAAAGTTAAAAGGTTTTGGAGGATTGGTGAGTAGGATGTGGATATTTTAAAGTTGCAGATTTAGCAAAGACGATGGAACGGTAAATGACGACGGTGAGCGTAGATCTAAAACAAGGCATTTACTAATAGCCGAGCGACAAACTGGGCACCGGAAGTCAGGCCTTCTATGACCTTCCCGCGCCCATTCCCGACGTCAGCTGACGTTCCCGTTCTTTTGCTAAATCACCCTTAATTTAATACACCGAGGTGTCTCCTTCCGGCATTCTTTTGTGGGAGTATCCTAATCTAAAGCCAAAAACTATCAACATCGAGCAATGGGTCCCCATCGCGACATAAGCGTCGAAGAGCATTTACGAACAATAGTTTTAATCTTTAGAGTACAGAAAAGCTCTCTAATATAATGCAGTAAATTGTTTGAGAAAAAGTCTCAAATGATCAATGAGTACAGACACCAAAGAGGGATTTGATGACGTCCTGATATAAACTACCTGAAGCGTAATACTCTGATATCGTATATCTTGAGTGGAGAAGAGTCATTGAATTGGAGTTTTACCTGCAATGTTAAACGTTTCAGTCAATCAAGGCTGTCTATACGTTAAGTATCAGTTAGCAAAATTAACCACCTCGCAATCGTTTAAAAGAGGACGGAAACCGTTAATCGCTCTAGCTGAAGTATGTATGTGCTAGGAAATGACAGACCCGTATGAACTAGGCAAGCAAAATGATGAATTCTCAAACGTTTCGGTGTCTGAAGCCCGTAAGAGTCCCGTAACCTGGAGAGAACAACTCCCATAGTCGGGCCTATGTCACGGTGTTTCCACTGACCAGTCTTCTTTTTAATCATCTTTTTCCCACGAATATCCAAAGTATGAATTATACGAGAAGGACGAGTCATCCTTACTTAAGCTCACTACCTCTGGAACTAAGAGGATATCAGCACATTGATCGGGGGTTGAGGCAAACAAGGTGTTATCTTACCGCAGCTGGAGTCCAAAGATCGTGCAGAACGAGGTGTTAGTCAATAGGCGACAGCGAAAAAAACAACGGAGAACCGACTTTGTACTGTTTTAGTAAATGACTTCAAAAAAGCTCGTACTCACCGAAAATCGTATTTTATTTTCCATCGCTCTAAATTCGTTACTACTGCTATTTAATAGCTCATTCTGAAATTTCGTGTCGAATATGAACGTGAAGTTTACATCATTGAGAATCTCTCCTGAAAATGAAACAAAATCTTTTATGAATTCTTATCATGCAAGTAAAAATTAAATCATTTCTCCAAGTATCTTGCGCACGAAAGACCATATATACCTAAATTTTTGCAAAATTGCTTTCCTTTTTTTCCTCTTTTATTCCTTAGATTCTTGACTTAATTTATCGAATGGTGCCCATTTTTATTTTTTATGGCGTAGTGACTGTGTAAACCAGCAATACATAAACACTTGTCTACCAAGACAAAGTTTGGAGTAGTCCGTAGAATTGTACTTACCTTCTTGCAAGGTTTTGACCACAAGGATGTTCCCAGGCTGTCCTTGACCATTCTCGTTAAATCCGTTGACTTTAACCTCATACGAAGTTTGAGAGTCAAGTCTGCTAATAACGGTCTCTGTGATGTTGCTGGTAACATTCAGATCACTGTACAACTGTGATCCAAGGCGTCTGTACTGTATTCGGTAGCCAAGCAGTTGTTCTTTGTGTAAAGATGGAGGAATGCTTTTCCAGAATATGTAAATTGTAGTTGAATTGAAGGGGTAGCCTTCCAAAAACCCTGGGTTTTCAGGAACTGCAGGTTCAAAGATACTGTTTCAGTCACAAACTATCAAAAGCTTAATGTTAAATAACCGTGCAAGAATCCGCTTCGTTGTTGTTTCCAAAAGAGTATGAATGAAAATGCTAAACGTTTAGGTTGTGTTAAAACGCGCATGGTGGTTTAACCATATTCTAACTTGGAATTGTCGCTCATAAGATCATTCTTACTATTAATTTGTTGTTACCATCAGTGTCCCATCCTACAGTCATCGTGTAGACGCCTATTGACCGTTGGACTTTTTTCATACAGTAGTGTAAAAACTATAGATGGCTCTCGACCAATCAGCGCCCGAGAAATCGCTCAGTTATTGTTTTGAAAAAACCATGCCGAGGCCCACCCAAACTCTCTCAAGCGGGGAATGCGTAGGTTTTCCTATTGTTAATCCGAATTGAATGAGAAACAAGAAAATACTTTACATAAAGACCTCTTGAAGGACATCGGGATATGTTGCAATATTCCCATCGAACTTTAGGGTCAGCAGTGTAACACCAAGGTCCATCCGGGGCACTAGCATCCGGGTTACGACACATGTTAGAGTCATTCTGACCATCGACAACATCTTCAGGAAATCGCCAGTGACGATGAGGACATTGAGAGGCCCACGGCTGACACGGACGGCCCGAACGGGTGATATTCACATTGCCACGATATCCAACGCCGATGCCGTAGTAACAATCTATAAATAATTAGTAGTCAAATAAATTATAATTATGAGGATTGGGGGAAAGGAAAGGTATGGGTCGTCCCATGTCAGATAATCCAGATATGCTGGAAACTGTGAAAATATTTGCTTGTGAAATCTGGAATCTTGATCTTGGGAATCCGGAATCCCGCTAACGATTGGAATCTGGAATCCAAGTTCCATTGACATGGAATCCAGAATCCAGAGTTCTACTGACAAGGCATCTGAAATCAACTTCCTGGAATTTTTCCGGAATCCACAGTGTGGAATCTAGAATCCAAGACCATCAAGAATTAGTAAAATCCAACTAGTGGTCTATTATCAATGCTGCGTTCTGATTGGTTCAGCTACTACTAGGCTATATGTTATCCCACTAGTAGCGAAAAGCGCCGACTTTGAAAACCAAAACTATGGCTGCTGAATCGCGTTTTGCTAGCTAAAGTTGTTTTGTCTCAATATTTTTGACCAACTAGTTGGATTTTACTGAAACAATTACTCCTCTCGCCCTCAAGACCTCTGAGTCAATAGCTCATGAGGCCGAAGGCCTCATGGACTATTGCCTCAGAGCCCATTCGGGCTCAAGGAATAATTGTTAATTACCTTACATGGGGCGATATGAGCTTAACACATGGGGGTCAAAATTACTTAATGGTCTTCTGGATTATTAAATGCTCCTTAAAACTTTTAAAAGTGGGGAGAGAAAACTCTTTTAACTTGAAAAAAACTAAATGATTTTCCAATCTTTGACTGAGGCAAAAGAACGAGTGTACAGCTGTAGTATAGTTTCAGTGCATATATGCAGCGCAGATTTCTTAACAACACTTAATTTATCTTTGAGTGTGAAGCTACGTTGTTGCTACATCTCTCTGAAATTACAGCCTTAATGGCGGGTAGTGGGAAATATGAATTACCTGTTAGTGACAATCAAATTAAAGATACAGAACCAATCTACAGATATAGACAAACATTCCTATTACAAACCTTTACTCTTAGTTTCATCACCTATCAGAAATTGATAAGAAATAACAACGTTCAGTCTTGTGTTTTTAGTTGAGACGTATGCACAGATATAAGACATATACCTTTATGTTTGGCTGAATGTATAAGCTTGTAACAGCGCACTTAACCAGGCGTATCTCATCAATGATCAATGACATCAATGAGTAATCGATGGGTAATCAATGAGTAATCAGCTGATTAGTCATTGTATATTGCCAATGATCAATGAATAATCGATGACTACTCGAAGACAAAATATTTTGTGGCCTTTTGATTACTCATCGATGTCACTGATTAGTCATCGATGTCATTGATTACTCATTGATTACCTATTGATTACTCATCTATTACGAATTTCCCGCCAGCTTCTGCTAGTAATATGGAGAAATACCCTTTAATATTGAAATGATGTTTACCTGTAAATGAAGTCATAACGTAGGCGAGACTGACCCATAGGCTATCCGCTCTTAAACATATGCAGACATAGCGATGCTCTCAGAAAATACCGACACTTCAGTTTTGATTGTACGTTTTCATTAATTTCCTAATGATAACAAAACAGCTTAACGATGACAACACTGCTACAAAGATGCTGAGCCTTATGCGTATCAAGAAGATAAATGGCGTGATATTTCCTGAGGTAACTGTTTATTTACAAAGAAAAACTAAACCTGCTTAACTTTGGAATACTACTGTCGTAAGCAGCTACAGTACATGGCAGCGTTGCAACTGGCACTCTCACTTTCATGTAGCTAGGTCTACCAGAGGTATAGGTAGCGGCGTTAAAAAGATTAACAAGTTTCGATTTTTTGGCCTTTGAATTGAAGGCAATTCCTTTATCTTTTAATAGTTCCTTCAAAACCGCTACTGTCATATTCCCTGCTGGTCCCTGTTTCATACGTTCGTTTTTTGATGTTTTTCCCTTTTTGCCGCTTCCTCGGGTTTCGTTTCCCGACGTTCAAGTCGTTCGCGGTATCCACCGATTAAAGCAAGTCTTTCGTTATCAAGGACAAGAATGCCATCTGCCGGATGGAGTTCGTGGAATATTCTGGATGAACTGACGAGAGTCAAGAATAATATTTTTTTTTTCAAAAGAAAAAGCCTCTTTGCTAGCTTTGTAACCTTTGCGCGGTCTAAGTTGCAAACAAATACATTAGCAGCTAGTCTCACATGATCCGTTTTAGAAATTTTCCAGTCAAATTGTGAATGCGCCTTTTTTTTCTCTTCCTGGAATTGTAGTGATTCGTTTAATTTGTCCAATAATAAAGCCGGTATTTTCTCATGCACATATGATTTCTTTACGCTTTAGTTTGGAGCAATTGTTATCCTCTTCACTTGAACCGGCAAACATTGCATATCGTTTATCATGGGCAATAAAAAAATCTGTTCTGGCGTCCAGTAGAAGGGATATAAAGCCTTCCATCTTACCAAGCCAAAAATTCGGCGATGTGATATATGTGGCCCTCGTGGCGCCCATACGATTGGGGATTTTGCTGAAGATATTTTGAGCCGGATGAAGAACACCTCTCATTTATGGTTCTGTTACCGAATACCATTTCTTTTGGATCGCCCTCGAGAATGTGGAAATGTCATTCTCAGCCACGCGATGATATTGATGAGTAATCAATGCAATCAATGACTTATCAATGCAATCGATGAGTAATCAATGACTGAAAATTTTGTGGCCTATCGATTACTCATCGATTACCTATTGATCATCGGCAATAATCAATGACTAATCAACTGATCACCCATGGATTACTCATCGATTACACATTGTTGTCGTTGATGTCATTGATTTCATTGATGAGACATGCCTGGACTGCGTAATAACAACCTGGAGATTAGGATTGGGGGCTCTTCTTAACGCCCGCAATAATAAGAAGAATAAGAATAAGGCCCAGTTCAGACGCCGCTCCACTCATGTGCCGAACCTAACTGACGAATTAAGTACGGCAAAAGAGCAGCGTCTGAATCAATTTGGTACGGCAGTTTTAGTTTGGTGCGGCAAAAGCGTTAAGTTCGACAGAGTCTGTCGAATTTTTGTCGAACTTAACTTAGGTTCGACACACGGTACGCCATCTGAATCAGATGTCGCGCCAGTGTCGCTCCAAAGTCGAACTTATTCAGTTAGGTTCGGCACATGAAAAGTACGGCGTCTGAACCAGGCCTTAAGAAAAAGAATAATAATAGCGAATATTTGAACAGGATAAAATACCCATCAGTGTATAAAGACACTGTCGTCAGTGGGGTCCTGTTGTACCTGTTGCAAAGGTCTGGTCAAGAATAGGTTGATCTGAATATGAAAGTTAGAATAAACCGTGTTTTTGGCTATGAAAAAGGTCAACGTAGAGTTTTTAAAAGCATCCCAAGCAGAAGTTTAAACTTACCTGGCAATGAGTGATACTGGTAACATTCCGGCGCTTCTCCACCACTATCCAATGGATACATCGAACAGTTAATCATCTTTGGGTCTAAAGCGGAATCTTGTCCCGCTATCTCTCTGAATTGAGCCAATTCTCTTTTGCACAAGACGTGAAGGGCGAACACGCAGGAAGTGCGACAAATTTGGCGAGGGTAAGGTTTGCTCAAGGAAGTATCGCAGAGTGGAAGGAGATAACGGCAATATAATTCTGAGATAACTGGTTTACATCGATCAGAAATTTTATAAAAAGATATGTAATTTTCAAAGTTTGCCGTTAATATCTTGCTTAATCTCAGATCATCTCCATTTATGTCAAAAACATATTGATTACCGACAATATTTTCACAACTTTGTCCTGTTTTAAGGTAAAAAACACACGATGCTCTCTTTTGAGAAAGGCTGACTTCGGACTCTGCTTGGACACAGCTGGAATAAAATAAATAATAATATCTTCACAAATATGGATGAGATAATAGGTAAAGAAAACATAATTTAAACGGGGATATTCACCTTAAACGTTAATGTTAGAATTAGAACTTTGAACGTAGGTTTTTTGGGGGGACGCGGGGGCGGGGGGGAGGAGTCATGGAGGTGGAGTTGAGGGAAGGCAGGTTTGTACTTCAGTATACAAATTGGAGTGTTAGGTCTTAACAGTCTGTTTTAGGTCATCTTCCTTGCTCGAGTTCACGATTTGTTGTAGATCAGTAGATATTTCAACTTGTAGCATAGCGTTGAAGGCAGAAGGAACTCACCTTGAATTTTTCGAACTGAAAAATGTATCTTGTGACACTAATTAAGAGAAAGAACAGCACATAAAGTCAAGGAGATCTTATCGACTGTTATATTTACAAATAAATTACTTTTTTTTCTCACCATTTTTATGTACATTTTTGTATAACCGATGACCATTACCTGTTTCAAGCTGCAGCTTAGTGAAAGCAATTTTTTGGGACTTAAAATCTCCAAAATCAAAAGGTTCAGGGAAAATGATCATTGCGTTGCATAGTCACAGAGAAAGACCACGCCAAATTTTGACAATTTTTTTTATCTTAAAAAATCCACAAGAAGAAAGCGAGTCGCTACGTATCATCATCACGCAGTATAATCAGATGATAACATATTCACCATAAATTTCACATATATTTCTTACTTACTACAAACAAATGCGTTTATAGCTAAAACACACAAGATCGTGAAGATACGAAATTCTTCGACGGCTTTCATCAGGGCTACATCAAATCACAAATCTTTCAATCTAGAAAAAAAAAAAGGTGAACCAAAAAATAAAGCACTTATGTTTGTTCTAAATCGGAGATTTTACATTCAAAGAGAGCCCCGTTGTTGGACGTGTACGTTGAGTGGGGTTAGTCACGTACAAATATTTTTCGGTGGAGAATTAAGGGGAACCGGCACTTTTCGGTGGACAGAGCGTTCAAGACATAATTAATCTCTCCACAACTTTGGGTAGCAATTTGTTCCTCTCATATGTACTTAAAAATGTAAGTAAAATAAATCTTAAGAATCTCCACATCCTCCCAGGATATCATCCACAATGACTGAATAGTTAACATTTCAAATTACTGTATATCGGCCCCTTTTCAAGCATGACGTAGGCTGAGTAACAGTTGTGGTTTTTCGTGAGCCGTCTCAGTGTTCTTAAAATATTTTTGAGATTTGGAGTATTTTTGTTGCCAGAGGGTGTTGCTAAATATGGGCCATAGTTTAATTTGTTTGCATCCAAATTATAACAATACTAATGCTGCCAATTTTAACCACGGACTTGACAAAATTGCCATTTTCATCTGGGACTTAGATTTAGAAAATAGCAAAATGACTCTGTATCACCCTTATGGCTTATAGATTCTGCTCTAACAGTAAATGATAACAAATCTTTGGCCAGACGATTTGTAGTGACCCGCAAGACGGCAAGTCCTACCCATTGAATTTACTCTATTGTTGAAAAAGAAAATTGTGAATGGCATCATAGTCAATAAGTCACGACAGCATGTCATACACGGTCCGTTATGACAGTGAACAGGAAGTGATGCGAGCCACAAATACAGAATTATGTCGGTCTTAATATCATGGGAACCAAATTTAATTTAATCTTTTTGAAAGTAATGCGCACCAGCTTATTACATTTGGGCTAGTGAAATTTGTTCGCACAAATTACCTAACTTTAGCTGCCAGCATGTGATGTTATAAACTTGGGAGGCAAAGGCAGTCACCACCGTGACGTTTGCCAAATTGCAATGAACCTTTACATTGAATTTCTTTGAGAACTGTTGGCTATTTGAGAGTCTACATCAAGCACTCCATAATCAGTGTTTCATGTAGTCTCCAGATACCTGGAAGATGGTTTAAAACGCTTAACTGCGCCTCGATTTTTCAGTCCACTTCCTGGTGTCTAGATATTAGCTCTTCAGTTTTTGCAGTGAATTCGGCAAGGGAAAGTTCGATTGTAACAGACCACATTGTTTTTAATCGGGAAGTGGATAACAAACCTACCTTTTTAGCTGGCTGTTGTTGCAATAGGCATCTTTATCTTATGAAAGAGTTCCGGCAACTCAGCATCAAACAATTTTATAACTTATTAATGAAGTTCGGGTTACGTTAACTCTTTTCGGATCACCTCATTTACATTTATAAAATAACTAAGATAGTACGCGCGCTCTGATTGGCCGAGAGGCGTGTTTGCTTGAGAGTATGTAACATGGTTGTAACGTCAAGATGTTTTGCTTTTCAGGCGCTAATCACGCAAGCACGAATTTGAAAACGTTTTTAAGTTGAAAACTTGACAAGTTTACTTTATTTACCCATTCCCTCGTCGGCTGAAACTTGCAAACATACTGTGTCAATTTTTTTTTCGCTTAAGCTGACATTTAAGCAAGAAAAATTCCTTTTTTTTAAACATCTTTTTTTTGCAAACCAAGAACTGATTACGCGAGCAAGCCGTTCGTGTACACGACCTCGCGACTGGTAAGAATTTATCTTTTAATCAGTGCCATAACAAACAGTTTTGCGTTTTTTCTCGGTAAAGTTAATTTACAAAAGCAAGAGAAAACTTTTTTCCTGTATTTGCATAGCTTGGTATAAATACTCGGGGGTTGGGAGAATTCTCGACAGTTATGCAAGCCCCAGACGAAGTCGAGGGTTTGCATAACTGTCTCGAATTCTCCCAACCCCCGGCTCTTGTATATAACAGGCTATGCAAACACGGAAAAATAGAGAATAGATATGTAAATACGTTTAAACCTGCTTGATCACAAACACAGGATGTTATCAAATGTATTAAAGCCACACAAAAAAGCTGGGGTCAGGGGTCATTCAAGGGTATGTTATCACTGACGTGAATATCGCACAAAACATAATCTTGTAACTTCCACAATAACGTATAAATATCTTCTTCTCAAAACTTTAAAAATCGCAAAATTTCTTTGTAGTGCCGAATTTTGTCCTCACATCCTTTTATCCTTTCTTCTTATTTTCATACAAAGGGAACAGACGCCACAGTGTTGTTTGTGTGGTTTTTTTTTTAGCTTCTGGATATTTCTTAGTCATCCGTATACTAGCCTTGTACAGCTTCTAAGCTGTGCGACTAGCTTTCAAATGCTAAATCAAGCTTTAAAGAAAGCTACTAATTTCTTTCATATTAGTCATTTTCCATATGAGTCAAATTTGCCAAATTTAGCACGAAACAGGTTTGTAAAGTGAAAAAGAAGTAATTCCAATGGTTTATGTCAGAGTTGCTGATCAATGATTGAACAGGAGACTGATTGTGAAGGCCACCAAAAATTATTGGCGTTAATGACCGTTTTCAAATTAGAGACGGATTATCCGTCTCAGGGACTAGCTTGCGTAGTTGGCGGTTTTGTTTGCGAGCGCGCTTACGAGTGGCGAGGCCGCAAGGGAAAAGGAAAAGGAAAGAGGCTCTCAAACAAAACCGCCAGTCACGCAAGCTATGTTAACGGATTCGCCGTGTTCAAAATCCGTCTAAAAAGAGTGTTAAAGCAGAGGGATTGTGTATTCGTCTAAAATGAACTCTGTCTGTGAAGGATAACACACTTCTGGTGTGAACACGACCACTGTTTACCTAGAGTTTACGAAGTCATTCGTATGGCTTGTCTCTCGCGTAGTTGGTTTGTTTACGCCCCGTTATGACTTTGTAAACGCTAAAAGCCATGCAAGAGAGAAACCTCTGCTCGCATGGTACCAGTGTTTGGTTGAGAGTTGCACAAAGTCCTTTCTTTTTTCGTTTACACATATTGCATCGTATCTGACGAGATTTGAATAACGAGAATGAATGTTTTTATTGGTTCGCTTCACCAACAGGGTTGTAATGCTATTGTGAGTTGTGCATAGTCAACTCCAATTAAACATGCTCCAACAAGGACATATAAAAGAGAAATCTTCCTGTAGTTCATAACAATTGCACTGTAATACTAGATCAAAACAGCAGAGGTCCATACACAGCTCTCAATAACAGTAATTTACTATCCTATGAAGTTTCTTGCAGCAAATTATGTTTTTAGTTTGAAACGGATCCGAAAAATGCCGGTTATATCGGCTGATTCGGCTCACTGTTGTTTCAAATGCTTGATTATTAATAGTCTGCTACACTTCTGCTACACTAAAAACGGCTGTGTAGCAGACTAGATTATTAATGGTTGATATCAAATCCGCTCAACGTGCAGCAAAACATGCACTTTCTTTTTTCTTCTCGGCACCTCGTCCCTCTTTTGAAAAGTTTGCTTTTCGAAGGCGACACTATTAATCGATAAGATATGGACTGCAATGTTACAAACCGCTGGCTTAAGGTTATACGACTTTTATTAACTGTCTCACGATAATCCCCACTGCACATGTGGGCGTGCCTACTCTTTATAACTGTACATGTTCAGGGCATATTTGCTGTTTGAGACAAAAAGCTAGTGGATTGTATTTAAGTCAAAGGGGTATCAAAGCTAGTTGACAGACCTGCGTATTACTGGTTTGCACGTGACGTCACGGAGGCCATGCTAGTGGGAACTAAACTCCATCTTTTGTTAATTCATCGAAAACGTTTTTAGTGTATTGTCCACCAACATGGACGCCTTGCATGTGACGCAGTTGCATACAAAGAATAAGCTCACAGAGATTTGAACTTAGAACCTGGTTCTATTTTTATGGTCTGTAATTTTGTCAAACGTCTTCTGATCCCTCAGTTTTATTTTCTTTGTGATTTTCTGCCTCGCCTTCTAGTTCCGATCCCATATCTGTGTTTGCTAGTGGTCGGTATTGAGTGATTCCATCTCGCAGGTTGATGCTCATGTCATCGTTATTCAGGTCATCGGTTTCCAATGCCAGACTTGTGCTTCTTTGAAATTCACTCCCAGTTGTCCCATCAGCTAGATTAACCCTGATGGTAAAAGAACAATAAGCATTTTGTTGAAGGTAAAATAGTTACAGGCACCTTTTGCAAAATGCATGGGTCAATTTATATGACCTGTAGTTTTTAGGAACGTTTAGCAACGGCTGATGACAAAGAAACATGAAAGAACAAAGACGTCTTAATATCAGAACACCAGTGTGGAACTCCTTTCTCGGTCAGTGTCGGCAGGGTTCTATCTGGGGTATTGGGGTATTTTAGGGGTAGTAGCTTCCACCCCCCCCCCCCAAAAAAATGCCCAGCTTCCCCCAAAAACCTTTTGTCAGTTATCATTTCAGTATATATTAATTAACTATATCAGAAAAATAACTCAGACGTGACGAATTCAGTGCACACACTGTAACATTTCTCAAATTGAGTCTCAAAATGCACCGGCCAGACTGCATCTCAGCGCATATTTACTTCAAAAACTTGCCGGGGACCCCCGCTAGGAAGCTCGTGGCCTTCGCCCACTCGGGACTTCTCCCCTAAACGATAAATCCTAGATAGAACCCTGGTTGGCTGTATTCAGAGCACATTTATGGACGTCATTTGTGAAAAGACGTTCAGCAAAATGGAATGTTTCTTAAAGAAGCTATGTAATAGTCTTTACATCCCCCCTACCCCACCCCATACCGCTTGGTAGCATCTACAGCTTCGTTCGTTAGGCGTTCCTCTGTTTCACCAAACTAAAATTTTGATGTTTCACGATTCAATTAAACATATATTTGGAGCACCTTGCAAAAAAGGACCAGAATGTCGCTACAAAGCTCTTTAAGAAAAACAAAACATAACTGTAAGCGTATTACATATATTCACCGAATTGCTTGCAGTGCTTGATCCAGTGAGGCGACAATCTCGCTGAAGGAAGGGCGTTGTGAGGGATCTGGATGCCAACATGCCATCATCATCTCAAGACTACATGAGTGAGACAAAGTACCATCATTTTGCCGCTTCATGAGTTGTTTTATATTAGTTTGCCTAAGTTTCAACTTCTGGTCAAAAGCTTAGTAATGAGAAGGTGCAAGCTTCCATCCAAGAACTAACATATTATAACCAACTGTTCTTGCGGTCAGAGTTCGTAATAAAAACTCTTAGAAATAATAACTATAAAAAACTGAATTTTCGACAGCCTTTCTGGTGCCTTGGCCAGAGTTTACACGCCGCACTTTTCATGTGCCGAACCTAATTGAATAAGTTCGACTTTGGAGCGACACTGGCGCGACATCTGATTCAAAGGGCGCACCTTATGTCGAGCTAAGTTAAGTTCGACTGACTCTGTCGAACTTAACGCATTGATTTAGACACCGCTCTTTTGCCATACTTAATTGATCAGTTAGGTTTGGCACATGAGTGGAGCGGCGACTGAACCAGGCCTAAAATGGTCAACATTTATGATTTATCAAAAGAATCTATAGACCGATGATGTGTCGTACATATTATTCGGGCAGCTATCCGGTGGTTTTAATCGTCGTCCTGAATTTAGAAAGTCCACCAACTCCATACCAGCCAGACCTGGATAAGGCTTCGCACCTAAATTTAAAAATGACACCATTAAACAAAATTAATAATGGCAACGTTACTATAGAAATACGCGTCTTGCAAAACCTCGTGACCCGCGGTGTGGATAACGCCGCTCAGAACACCATCAAAACAAATTAATGAATTGTTTTCTTGGTATTTTAGATCTTATTCCGACAAAATAACTGGAGGCAGGAAGGTTTTGAAGCGCGGGATTTTTTACTCTCTTATTTTTCGTATGAGAGAACTAATGAATCCGGAAGTCTTGCGTTACCAGTTTACTCAATAACTTCCACCTGTTCTTATACCTATCATTTGCTGTCACACACACAGACGACACATGCGGTTAGTTAATAAGTACCTCCAGATTCAATTTCCCACAATGTTACACCAAATGACCAGCTGCAAAGAAAAAAAAAGTAGTTTAAGGCTGTGTTTTTTGTTTAAATTAATGTGTAAAATACAGCCTTGTTCAAATCACGAAAGCAGCTTTGAATTCGTTTGAGGGATATTGCTCCTAATCGCTATCCTAAAGTACAAACCTATTCCTTTTCTTGATTATGAATTGCACTTTCTTCTTCTATTGACGAAGTCTAAGTATACAATCGATAAAGCACGTGCTTTCTGAGATACAATAAATTCATTCCTGTCGGTCATAAAGTGAATTTCTGTGAAGCTTAACTTAAAATAAAAGTAAACTGAAACGAAAATGGAAAGGCCTTTATGGTGAAAATTTCTTTGTCTTTGAATTTCAGTGTCGAGCAAAACTTGCTTACACGTCAGTCTTGGTGCTGTAGGTGTAATCCACAAGAGATTCAAGTGCCATCCAACGAACTGGTAGCACACCCTGGTTAAAAATGAAAGCAGAAAAAAGGTGTTAGATTCTTATTTGAAAATTAATGCCCTTATGGCGTCATATCTCGTATCCATAACAACCGACTGTCACCACACATTACCAAATTAATTAACGTCGATACAAGATGCTCTGGGGGGATGGTAGAGGCATCTAGCTTACCTCCCATCTTGTTATTTCTGGCATTTTCTTGGCCTTAGCTTGTTGAAATATGTACAGAAAATTAAAACATACCCCAGTGGTGTTCTCATAAGCGCCGCTTTCGTACACGTCACGTGACAAGCCGAAATCAGAAACCATAGCAACGAATTTGTCGTCAAGTAGCACGTTTCGCGCTGCAAGGTCACGATGAATGCACTGCAAAACAACCACATTTAAATTGTCCATTTTAGTTAATCTCCATTAATTTGTAATTAAAAGTGAAGAAATAAGGAACTTTTATTTCGAAGTAAAGTGGAATTTTAAGTGTCTAGAATGATGATGATAATAGCGATCATGAACATGATCATGATTATAATTATTTTATTTACCTTTTTGTTTGAAAGATGCAACATTCCATTGGCAATATCACGTGCGATCCGCACTCTCTCGTTGACGTCAAAATTTATTTCACGGACAGGTTTTGCGACGTTGATATACGGATGTTCTCTGCTTTTCTGTAGATGATTTAACAGGCAGCCGTTCTGAGCTAGGCTAACGACAACCAGTACTGGTTCTGAATGTGAGGAAAATTTTAAACATAAAGTTAAAACTGTCACTCCCAATTCCTCCATGCCAAACCCCAAATTCATAATAGAATCCTTAAACTGATTTTGCAAAATACAGCAGTTTCTTGAATTAAAAAAGGGCGGGGCGATTTTTCAAAGGAAGGCAATGAATCGAGGGGCGTTTATTAACTTTTTCCTCAAGGGGCTTAAACTATTTTGGCAGATAATGGATAAATGTATAATAGTATGAAAAAGCTGTGCGAGTATATAGAAAAAGAGATAGCTAGAACTAACTTAAAGGAGTCGAAACTGTTCTCTGATACTGATGCCGATCCGGAGCTAGCTAAAAAGGGTGATGCATGTGTAGGGTGTTTCATTAAACCTATTGCTTTTTTTAGTCTTAATATTGTCGTCGCTGTCGTGGTGCTTGCACTCCCTACTTTGAGCTAAGCACGTGCACGCGTTGGGGCCGGATCTAACCAGACTACCATCCCGCCTGAAAACACTCCCATTGTAAGGTATATCTCGTACCTTCTTCTGTGCTGGCCCCCATGAGAGTTACTAGGTTAGGGTGTTCACCCGCTGTAGCCATTATCTGTAGTTCGTTTCTCAAGTCACGCTTTTCTGCTTCCGTGGCGTTTGCTGTAATTTGAAGGTTTCAGTCTTTGTTTAGATAGGCATCAAAATCAATTGCAATCTTAATGGTGGATCCAGGTGGGAGGGACCGGGTCCTGACCTCTCCCCCGCCCTATTAAAACAACCATCAAACTGGGAGATAATTGTATTTAAGTCATGTAAGGGATTTGTGAATGAAATTTGTACCTCTGGAGGTTTGAGTATACAGGTCATTAAAAGGAGGCGAAGAAAAATCCAAAAATTGTCAACGGCGAGTTCGGGTATAACTGAATTGACTTTAATACAGTTTTGATTCTGTACACAATTTCACCTCAACCCACCATGTCGTAAATTCCTAGATGAGCGTCCCGACGAAGTGAAAGTATAAATTTGTATAGAATGTTAATGCAATAAAAGTTTTAAATGCTACCCAAGATAGGGAAATATTAAGTAATGCCAAGAAAATAAAAAGACAGACATGAAAGAGAAAATATTAGTTACTGTCACGTAAGAAAAACAAAATAAGGACAAAAGATCAGCGTCCCACTTTATTTTTCAGTTACTTTTCTGTGGATTTTATAAAAATAAATAGTTCATTTGGGGTTCATACAGGAAGGTAAAGGGTTTTTCTTGCTGCTGAATGTTTTTAACATACTTCCTTTAGCCTACGAAAGCTGTCAGGGCCCCAAAATGAAATCCCTTTAATTTGACTGACGCCGTTAGTTATCAATTATTACGTCATCAGATGTCATGTGAACATAATTACACCTAGTAAAAACAATGTTTCCATAAAAAATAATGATCCCCATTTACCTTTAAGTTTCTTTACAGCACAGTTCTTGAACTGCCCACCGATTCTAACCACACCTTTGAAAACTTCACCGAATGCCCCTTCACCTAACTTCTCCTTAAACTCAACCGCGGATCTGGGTAATTCAAACCAATAGCCACGCTCTCCTAGTACCATCTAGAGAAACCACAAGTACACACTCAGGCAAAACATTTCATTTATGTTAAAGATTAATATCTTTCCAGCTAGGCTTTAATTTAATGAACAAATAGACAACAACTTATTTTGCATGGTCTGCAGTCTTGTAAATAATATAGAAATGGGGTGAACATGTTCAAAATTTCTGAAGCTGAACCACGAGCTGCAGGCGACTGGTGTCACTGCAACGTTTTTGACAATCGCCTAACATAAACTTAAGATATTCAATACAACCTTAACTATTACAAACATCATACTATGCAAAGCAAAAGTAGAAATAAATTTGATAAATTCTGTACTTTTTAAGTTAACCCGTTCCACGCAATTTGAATTACGCAACAAACTGGAATGACGAAATGCTTATTTGCCGGGCATCAAAAGATGGCTGGAGAACCCTTTCTTTACCTTTTCGCATATTATTTTTTCTGGCTGTGGGCAAGTTGGGCGAAACTTGAGGCAAACAAAACCAATGAATAAAACAGCTAAAGCCAAGGGTAACACGATTGTAAGCAGCAAATTCTTGATGAACCTGTCTATGGAGAAAAATAGGACGGTGAGGGCAAGAAACAAAGCTGAGACATTTCTTGTTCGCATGGGCCTCTTGACCAGCCTACGTCGCAGATGTACAGTAATTTAACTTCGGCTTCGGGCCGTTGGGCCCCCAACGGATTCAGCGAATTACCGGAAGAGCGTTTCGAATTTCCTTTCATAGTCACTAGCAATCGACAATGGCATTTTTAACAGGCCAATCATGGCGCGTACTCAAATATGGGTACACAAATTGGGGCCCAGAAAAAGGATTTCGGCACTGTTTCGCAGACGAACTTAACCAGAGTCAAGTTTAGTCTGCGGCGCAGGCTAGGTCTTGACTGTCAAAGGCGTTTTTGGCAATGAAATGATTAATACAAAAGAGGTTAGCCTAAGCCTAATGACGTCATAAATTAGTTACTTTTCCCCCTTGGTAGCTTTAGGATAGATTTGTCTTACAATACCAGGCTAATTTGGTTCCTACTTTACTACTACGGCTCCCTAGCAGAAATTAAATTAGTTACTGCTTTTTCAGTCTGGAGAGTCCTTTTCGTACATTTGTGAAAATAATGAAAATAATCAAATGCAGTTTATTACTTATTAAATACTTCTCACCTTTAACAGTGGCTACTGTGAAAATTATTGATAGATCCCAAATTTCAGTTTGTAAAATTCAGATAGACGAATAACATAGCGCTAAAGTACAGCTTGAGAAGATTCATTTGAATGGTCACACTTTAGGATTTCATCCACAGACTTAGAGTTAGAAAGAGTTAGAACCAAGTTGTACTCCATAGTTAACAGTACCTCAAGGAGGTTCTGCTCAGTAGTTTTCACTTGAATGGTCACCCTTAAGGATTTCATCCACAGGCACAAAAGTTTGAACCACCTTGTACAGCATAATAAACAGTACCACAGGAAAGTACTGCTCAGTAGCTTTCATTTGAATGGTCACATCATAGGGTTTCATAAACAGACTCAAAAGTTAGAACCACCTTGTACAGCCCAATAAACAGTACCACAGGAAAGTACTGCTCAGTAGCTTTCATTTGAATGGTCACATCGTAGGGTTTCATACACAGACTCAAACGTTAGACCTTTATTTCATCCTCTATAATTGCCACTGGGGTTGAAAGGATTATAAACCCTTATAGCCCTTACCAGGTAAAGTTTTTTGCTTTAACAAAGTTCCATTATCTGATGTCCCATATTTGTTGCTGCTTGACAACCTAATTTCATACTCTGTATCAGGTTGCAAATTCTCCATCATCATTCCAGTTTGAGAGTATGGCAGTTTCTTTACAGGTGTGAAGCTACCAAAGCCTTCCTTCTTTAGCTCAACTATGGTGCTGTTTATGTGGTAATTACTGCCATATTTTGGTTTGTCCCAGGTTAATATGAAGTACCGCGTTTGGATATTTGTTACACTTGGGCTTACAGGCGGCGGCGGTTTTTCTGTTGTTTAAAAAACAACAAATCCTTTAAGTTTCCTAAATCAACAAATTGAAGGAACCGAAAGTTTTTATTTATGGCAGGAACAAAGTCCCTTACTAAAAAGGAAACTCTTTGCTCACATTAAAAGATAGGTGATAATCAACACGTGTAAGTTTGCAATAATGAAGAGTAAACTAGTTTCTTTCTTGCTATAGTTTTGCAACTAAACGTACATGTGGTGCAATCACTCGATCGTAGTTGATGGTTATGAACAAACTAACATTAAAAAGCAATAAATGAAACCAGTGACAAAAAAGCAACAAAACAAATTTGCGTTTTAGAGGAACAAATATCACCGTGATCCATACTTGACCACTAACCTTTAACTGTGATAGCAGAAATTCCGAGTCTTGTTTTGAACGAGCTATCAAATCTGTCCATCAAACGAGTTACAACCATCGTTTTCATGGTATGCTCCTTTACTTTGACTTTAACTAAGATGTCCGCCTTCACACTTCCATTACTGAAAATTACCGAAGGTGAACAACCCCGGAGAAGAACGTAAGTTAAGCATGATACATAAATGTAAGGTATTTTTCTAGTGGTGGTGGTGGTGGTAGTGGTTTAAGTGAGGCTAGGTTAGGGAATGACTGTCAAGCATCCTCTAACTCTCAAGGCATTATCTTTGGGTGCTCACCATTTGTCAGAACTGCCGACTGGACCGGTTATTTCGGAGGAGAAATGAAATATTAAGCCTTTTTCTGGAAATTAATCTTCTCTTAAGCCCATCACTGCTATGCACTTTATTTAGAAATAGACTTATCTGGCCAGATCGTCCTGATCAACAGTGGAATTCTCTTTACGACTAAACTGGTCTTGCCAGGCAGTTCTGACAAATGGTAAGCGCCCTTTACACAATAAAAGCCATGCCTACATCCCATATGTATATACCTAATTTAATATAGGTTGCTTCGGCAATTGGTCTTTTGCAATTCGGCATTTTAGCATACGGAACTCACTCCTATGATTTGGTTCAGTGACCCCAAAACAATAGCTTCGGAAAGCGCATTTCCCAATGTTCAAAGTAACCTTCATCAGATAAGCTATTCATGGTCCTGACTTGAATCTTAGCAATGGGTTTTGGACATGAGCATCTAGGCACATCTACCAAGGTCTCTCGTGTGGAGAAGCTTTATCGGCTATTGCTTTCGAATACCTACTGACACCAGAAAATATGGAAGAAAGATATTTTGGTATACCTGAAGCCCAATACTCTGACCTTGTAAAATAGGGAAGAGCCGTTGAATTGGTGTTTTACCTGAAAGTTTAAAACATCCAGTCACTCGCTTGAGACATATTTAGCAGAGGAGACTGGTTATGAAAGACGGCAAACATCAAAGATAAAAACAACGGTGCTGTAATGTACGTTAAGAGCTCCCAGACGGTGCAAAATCTTTTGCGACATTTTTATTGGCCAACAAGATGAAAATGATAGGACTTCTATTGAACGTTGTGCGCCGTCAAGTTGACCTAAACTTATAACAAAGGAGTCTGACGAGCTTCATAACTTGATCATCTTTAAATACCGTAAATCCTCTATTAAGCCCCCCCTCTCAAATAAGCCCGCCCCCTTTTCAGAGGGGGAAAGTTAATAAGCCCCTCCTCTCTATTAAGCCCCCCCTCCCCCTCCCCCAATCCTTATTCTTCACAAAAAAATTAACGATTAACGTGGACTGGTCAGTTATGGTTTATTCACGCTGGAAGTTCGTATTGTTTTTGGTCTTCGGCCGCATGACCTCCAACTTCATATGCTAAACTTTCTCGACTTTGCGATCTAGTTCTCTGTGGAGAATTGTCACCATTTTCTTATCGTTAGTCAAAGCAGTATACCGCCCGGGAACCACAAGTCCGTCCTCGAGAAACCTTGCTCCTGTCGCTAAATTAAATAAGCCCTCCCTCTCTTTTAAGCCCCCCCTCTCTATTAAGCCCCCCCTCAAAAGTGCTTGAAAAAAATAAGCCCCCCGGGGGGCTTAATAGAGGATTTACGGTAGTATTAAACAAGAATCTGAAAACCCCTACTCACCGACGATCTAATTTTTTCTTCCATTGTCTTAAACACGTTGCTACTGCTATTTAGTAGCTCACTCTCAAAAGCTGTATCAATTAGGAACATAAATTTTACGTCACTGAGGATCTCACCTAACAATGAAATAAAATTGTAAGTTTTCAGTTATCAGTGAACTAGTAAAAACGGGATGGACCTTTAGACAACATTATTCTTTGGCTACAATAGTACGCGCGCTCTGATTGGCTGTTTTCTTATGAAAGTATGCTTGCAAAATAGAGATAACGTAAGAACAACATGATTTACATAAGAAAACAGGAAGGTTTGTATCAAAACAAGCTCAACGCCAGTCTCCATCTATAACTGTGAAATGGCCCAGGGTATTTGTGATATAATTGTTTCTCTAATTGCGCATGTGTTTGGTTTTCACCGTATTTAGATCAGGTCTGTTCCATTAACGATCCGGTTTTCAGTAGGAACATGTACATGTACCATACCACCGCACTGGTACATAGGGTGTGTGTGACCCACAATGGTCGGTAATTTCTCTCATTTTGGCATACGGAGAGTCAGAAAACCCTTTGAGGTTCACTTTTTCAGGATACTTTTTCTTATCCTTATGGCTGTCTTCCTGATTAACAATGAGGCGGAACTGTTTTGTTTTCCCAGCAAATTTTGACATCGTCTGTGTTCTCCAGTGGGGTGACGGATAACCACGCAGGCCGTTCCCAAAGTGGGATGGCTTAACACAGGTTTGATTTGACCATAATAGAAAGGAGAAGTCGTTACCTCACGTTGCTTTGGGAGCAAAATTCCTGGATGACAACAAACCAAAACGTCACTTAAAAAGTGGATTCGCACGGTTTCAAACTTCATCGATCTTATTAAAATTTCATTTAATTTGTCAAATGTTGGCGAAATTTTCTGGGTTAAATCCGAAAGGACCGTATCTAAGTTTAGAAAAATAAAAAGAAAATTTTTGCGTTGTGCTCACCTACTCCATAAAGCGGGCGCGTGAAATTAGGAAGTTTCATGTCGCAGTCGTGCAACGACGGCTAAGAAATGTACAAAAAAGCGTGATGCACGTGCAACTTTTTTTCGCCAATCGAAACCTGTTTTTGCCGTCGCAGTTGCAAAAACTCCCTATTGTTTGCTACCATGGTAACGTGACGTCACACCTCTCTTCTCTATTCAGTAGCGTAAAAATAAGATGAAATTCCAAGACAAGTAGAGTCCACAACTTTGTACTTACCCTTTTGTAAGGTTTTGATGTCAAGGGTTTTCCCAGGGGGTCCTTGACCAATTTCGCTAAAGCCATTTATTTTAATCTCATATGTGGTTTGGAAATCAAGACTGCTAATAACGGTCTCAGTAATGTTGCTGGTGATATTCAGTTCACTGTATAACAGGGATCCAAGGCGTCTGTACTGTATCCGGTAGCCAAGTAGTTGTTTTTTGTGAGACGATGGGGGAATTCTCTTCCAGAATATGTAGATTGAAGTTGAGTTAAGGGGGTAGCCTTTTAAAGAGCCTGGAGGTTTAGGAACTGGAGAGGTAGAGATTATCATTAGAGACTATTTGAAACAGAAGCTAAATATTTAAAAGCAATTAAACTAACTTCATTGATTATGAACGGAAAATATAAAAAGTTAACGATAAGCCATTGAAAAAGTAAAAGTTTTTTAGTATGTCATGTCAAGGATAGCGTTCCTTATTGAGGATAAAAATTATTTTGCACTGAACGTAAAAAATTCAGTCTTCCATTTGTTAGAATTACTGCTGGATTTTCTTAAGTCATCGCCCTGCATTTCATTTCCTTGAAATGTATTTCTAATTTTTCTGAGCTTTTCGATGTAAGGTTTCTCTTTCTTCAAAATAACAGTAGGATAAAATTCATATATCTGTTATATTTGCAGTGAGGCTGATGACGTCATAAAAATGAAATATCTGAAATTATGGGATTTGTCAGGACATTCTGAAAGAACAATGTCCAAGAGGCCTACTTGCCAAAAATGAGCATTTCGGGCCAAATTGTCTCTGAGATAGTAGCCCAGTTATACTCAGAAAACTCCATACAAACCCTTCTAATTTTTTTTGGGTCGATTCGACCCAAAAAAAATTAGAAGGGTTTGTATGGAGTTTTCTGAGTATAACTGGGCTACTATCTCAGAGACAATTTGGCCCGAAATGCTCATTTTTGGCAAGTAGGCCTCTTGGACATTGTTCTTTCAGAATATCCTGACAAATCCCATAATTTCAGAAATTTCATTTTTATGACGTCACACTTTAGTACTCTATTGGCAAAAAGTCTTGACGCGCTCACCTCCTCAAGAATACCCAGTCTTGTCATTTCTAATTTGTCTAGTTAAAGGATCATATTAGAGTTTTAAAAGCTACGTTAAAAACTAATACCTCTTGGAGGACATCGGGATATGTTGCAATATTCCCATCGAACTTTAGTGTCAGTGGTATAACACCAAGGTCCATCCGGGGCACTAGCATCCGGGTTACGACACATGTTCGAGTCATTCTGACCATCAACAACATCCTCAGGAAATCGCGAATGACGGTGAGGGCATTGGGAAGACCATGGCTGACACGAACGACCCGAACGGGTAATGTTTACATCACCACGATATCCAGTGCCGATGCCATAGTAACAATCTTACATGTTATAAAATAGTGATAATGAAATTGGGAAATAATATCAAGCTTGTGTTGTCCAAATTGTTCAAATGGCCTCCTATAATCATGTTATGTTTGATGGTGAAAATTGAGTAATAACATTCTTGCATAACCGGTATCGTGTCGATGAACCTCCATAGAAGATGGGTTCAGGGTTAAGGCTTATTAGCTACTAACGCGTCTCTTTGACGGCAAACTTATGAGACATACACTACTGGCTAGGTTAAATGGAAGAAGAATTTCAAATACCGCATAAGGATAAAACTTTACTGTCGTCTAGATCTTTACCGTGAGAAATTGAGAAAAAAAGCCCTCCTGTTTCCTGATCCTCTATACTTCCCTGAACTCACTCAAGTTTTCAACTCTAAACGAAGCTCTTTAAATTAAAAAAAAAATGCCCCTTTGATAACAAAAATTGGGTGGGGAGACGTGAATTACTTATGAATCGAATAGAATTAAAGAGATATCATGAAAATCGCACGAAACAATCATTTACAATATTATTATTACAAACCTGTAGTTCTGGTATCATCACCTATAAATTACAAGAAACACCCTTTAAGTCCATAAATTTTGCTGTTGGCACTAATCAAGAGAATCAGCTAGCTATTACAAGTTAGTGTCAATTGAGATCGTTTACCCTCAAGGAAGATCAGGTGACAAACAATTGTTTCTGTTGTTTCTACCTTGTAGCCTAGTCAACTCTGTGACGGGTGTTGTGCAAGTGACGGGTGTAATGTCACTGTGATGAGTGTTGTCCAAATTGAGTCAGTTCGATTATTATTATCATTACTATTTTCAGTAAGCCTGGACGACCTTTTAATGTGATAGTAATAAAACCTTCCTTTCCCCCTCTCCCTTTCCATCTCCAAGATGGTCGATGATCATATACAAAACTGCTGGGACGTGTAGGGATCGAATTACACACCCGACACTGTTCAGAGACGTTTTATTACTAGCCCGAGGAGAGTTCGTATGTAATAATTCCCTGAAAGGTCTTCCTAAACTATTCAAGTTCTTTTCACCACCAATATGGTAGGTATGTGCGGCCCGAGAGGGCATCTTTTTTAGACCTTTTTCTCCTTAGAAGACGCAACATTTCCATATTCATTCATTTTTAAAACCCTTTCACCAAAGTGAACCCGGCCAACTGAGCCATTTCTATTAGCTGTGATCATGCCTGGTAGGTGTTGCAACTGAATTTTAGGGAACAACTCTGAAAAACACATATTTTGGGCTTGTTAAAGAAGGAAAGGATTTAACAACGTAAGCCGCACTACCCCCTCCCCAAAAACATTTTTTGGGATTGAGACGTACCTGGTAGTGAGTGATATTGGTAACATTCCGGCGCTTGTCCTCCAGCATCCATTGCATACGTCGAACAGTTAATCATCTGATTTATGTCGAAGTTGGGATCTACTTCTGCGAACTGTTTAAACGTATCCATGTCCTTCTTTGTACATGTGATGTGTAGAGCAAATTCACACGACTTGCGACAGATTTGGCGGGGATAAGGCGTGCCGAGAGTCGTATCACACGGAGGAAACAAATAAGCGCAATACAGGTCTCCCATAACTGATTTACATTCTTCAGAAAATGGATAAAACCGTAAGTAGCGTTCAACCGATTGAGCCCGATTTTTACTGTACCTCAGTTTATCGCCAAATTTGTCAAAGATATATTGATTACCGGAGACGTTTTGACAACTTTTTCCTTCGTTCTTGAAAAAAATACACAATGAGTTCTTTGAAGAACGGTTGAATTCGGGCTCTGCCTGAACACAACTGCAAAATAGAAAACGATTCATAGATCATGCGAGTTTAACTTGTTTTCTACATCACAAGGTAGACTAAAAACTCACTTTTACTCTGTAGACAACCAGTATTCCAGCTAACCCTTAGAGGCCAGCTGATTCGTCGAGTACCATAACAACCAGCATAGCTACTACACTAAATCTGTGATCAAAAACACCGTGCTATAAGTTCGAGTGTTTTCCCGTTATTTATTGACGGCGCTGTGTACTGACCTGGAATTTTTATCCCGAGAAAATGTAGCCTGTGATACTAAAACAAAAACAAAAAAGTTAACATTTTTTGATTTTCTGTCCAGGGGTTAATTTAGGCTAATTAGCCACTAAAATCGTGACTGATAAATGAATAAGTCATACATTGACTTGGTAGAATGGAAGAAAAATTTAAAATACTGTATGGGGATCAAACTTTGCTATCAAACTAGTTCTAATTACCTTGGAAAACTGAGAAAAACAGCCTTCCTGTCTCGTGCTGTTTCTCCGTACTTCCCGTATCCTTGCATCCCCGTAACTTTTTAAATTATTACCCTGTGGGGTACCACCATATATGGGATTATGCAGGGTACGTGCCGCTGTGTTGCGCAAGGTTCTCAAACAGGTAAGGGACGCACCGTTAAAAAACTTATGGGGGGTGGCGGGGGGGGGGGGGGGGGCGAAGGAAAAAAAAAATTGCCGGAAGGGGAAAAATAAATAAAAAAAACTGAAGGCAAGCACATAACACCTAAAAAAAATCAAACTATTGCCTAAAAAAAATCTTGATCTATTAATAGTGTCGCTGGGAGGTATTCACTTGTAGGGGGGTAGGTGTGTGTTGCGTGGCAGTGTAATGCGGGATGTTGAGAAGTGGGACGGGGGCGAGAGACAAAAAAGGTTGGGGGGGGGGGGGGGGGGGGGGGCGGGAGAAGTACAAAAAAATATTCGCGCAAGGGAAAATTAAATAAAGAAAACTTCATGCACGCCAATTAACCCTAAAAAATATTCATGCTATGGCCTAAAAAAAATTCATACAAGGAATTTGATAACGAAAAGAATTCCTGCGGTTTAAAAATTCCCCCCCCCCCCCCCCCCCATAACTTTTCTAATGATCCGTCCCTAAGGCTAGGATCTGCCGAGCGTTTTGGTCTAGAGCACTCAACAAGGTTTCGTTTTTCAGTGTTATGATGAATGAGAGTTTCTACAGGTTTAGTTAGTAGGCTACAGGGAAGTTATAAAAATAAGTTGTACGAACACAGTTTGGTTAATTAGCTACAAAACAGAGGATGTGAGTAATATCATAGTAAGCTACCCAGATGGGTTTTCATTTCCTTTGTCGTCACGCAACGTTCCGGGGAGGAGCGTGACGACACTAAAAACGACTGTGTAGCAGACTAAGCTAAGCCCAGGTTTTATAGAAATATATTTTAAATAAATAGTCAGATTTTATTACAGGTTAGCCTGTCCACTGAATTGCCAAACGATGACGAGTAGCTGACATTACTGGCCTTCCCATTAGATTACAATTTGATAGAAAGCTTATTACATATATTTCGCAGCAAGAAATTTCACACTTACAGCCATAGTGATACGCGTGTAGAACAACTGAGCTGACGATCAGTAAACGAAGTACATCAGTGGTATTCATGGGGATGAAATCAAATCACACACTATGCAATATAAACATGGAAAAAACGTTAAGTCACTGGGTTATAACCATAAACCAAAATTTTATAGTGTTATTCAATACCTATTTCCGCATAAAAAAATAAAAAAAAACAGAGACCTTCTGAAACCGAGTGCGGAATGCCTTGAATGCTTGATCTGTCTATTTAGTGAACACTGACCAGCTTTATTGACTCAAAGAAGTCGACTTCTAGGCAAGTCTATCTGGAACTAAGTTTATTGAAAAGATCACTGCTTATGTGTCTTACCCTGCCGGTTTACGTGACAGTTATTTATAGGTTATCCGTATTTTCTCCCCTATCAATTTTGCAAAGTTTTAGTTTGATCATTTGCCAAGCTATCTGTAACACTATCAAAAGTGTTTCATCTGAATTATCTACTGGGCTCGTTGAAGTTGGTTTCAGAAACTGGCGGTTATCCTTCACCGATTTTCAGCCCGTTTCTGGAGATCAAATGTGAACAATTCCTACTCACAGGTTGTAACCAGTTCAGTTAACGTTGGCCCTTGTTTTCGGAATTTCCTCATATTTTTTTAATAAATCAATGATTGGATTCATCTAACCATAGGGTTTTTCTATCGGAAGGTAGCTTACAAACGTACCTTTTTAGCTGGTAATGACGTGCAATTAATATCTCCGTCTTGCCAGACAATTTGTCATGAACGTAACAAAACCTGGGTGCAACAAACACTTCAAATAGTTATGTTTTAAAGACAGGATGTAATGATCAAAAGGTAATACGCTTAGGAATAGCCCTCTAAGACATATGATGACGTAAAGTTGCAAAGCGGAAGCACAACTAGCCTCCCACGCATACGTTCTTAGAGGTTCGTCACGCGTTCCTATTGCGTGACAAAACCCTAAGAACGTTTGCGTGGGAGGCTAAAGCACAACTCGAAATCAGAAAACTATAGTCAAAATATCTTCGCTCTACCTACAGAGACTACAGAAGCCAACAGTCAGTAGCAGTCAAGTTGAATTATTTTATTTCGACTGTAGAATTAAGCTGAATGATCGGGTAAATTCTTGGAATTCGTACAAGGCTGGCCTTGCATACTCTGCTACACAGCCGTTTTTAGTGTCGTCACGCAACGCTTCTCCCCATAAACGGCTGCTGGGAACCGAACCACATCCCTTTCTCTTTGTGTTTATGGTCTAACGAACAAACCAATCCTGTATAAGAAACTTGACAGTACATGAGCCGCAGGGCAGACTAGACCTTGTAAAGATCGTCCCTATTAATATCGAGGGGGACGGTTTACGGTATTGCGGTATCGAGCTTTTTTTCAAGCGGTATTTCGGTAATTTTGATTTTAATGTGCGGTTATGCGGTATCATCTAGCCCTGCGGTATACCGTTTCTTATCCTTTTGATTAACGGTATTCGGTAAAAGACGGTCCTTCACGGTATTGCAGTACCATTTATTTGCGCTCTCCTGTCTAATACGGGTCAATACAATGTGCACCGCGCAATAGGTTAATAAAAGTTAATATTTTAAGACTTTAGACTTAATGGTAAATGATTACACAATCCGGCGATGACGAAATTAGCCTGTGAACAGGCCTTTGCCAACAGATAGCCTGTTCACAGGTTATGACGAAATTGGAAGGGCATCGATCGTTCTACCAATCAAGGTCTTCTCACGTTTTCTCGCAATGTCTGAGGTTGGTTTTTGGTGCATACATGCTAAAGGTTAACAAACACGCGAAATGGATACAGCTTTAAGTAAACGTGACCGATCATAATGCGGTATCGGTATTTCGTCGATTTTTGACATGGTATTTCGGTATTTGCCAATTTTTCTTACGGTATTGCGGTATTGGGTACCCCCCAAAGTTCCCCTCAATATCAAACACTGAGCTCTTTGGTACGTTCAGAAAAAAACACGGCGCAGACTCATTGTACATGGAAGTCTTTATTTCAGCCCCTCAAAGCAAAAACGTATAATATGATGAGAGCTAGCAATCGTCTAGATCACTGGGTTACGTGTATGAATCATTCATTGGCCTGCACCGTGCGCTACCACGGTTCTTAAAAGAGAGAGCGGGGGAACTTTTTGTCTTGCACAACAACCGTCCATTTATAGATTGGTGGTACATAGAAGGAACTGCGGCCATTCTTGTCAGTGGATTAGGTCGTCACGTTCTAATTACAGTCTCATTCATGGAAGCTCATTTTCAGTGTCCTGATCCTGAAGACCCTGGTAAAAATCAATGTTACAACGGCAAACGTCAGACTCAAGTTGAGAAATTCTTCAACTTGAAAATAAGTACTAAATAAAAAACAGTCCAAAACAATTCTTATGGATAAAACCGGTGTGGAACTACTATTTGTGTAGATAACAACAAGAAAAAGGAAACCTTGGTCACGAGGTACAAATTCACGTTTGCCGTTTGCCGTGGCGTGTTACTTTGAATTATACGTAATATACAAACTGTAAAACTACCTGGTGTTAATATCATTTGTTTCACCATTATTTTTTTAATTAAACAAGAATTCTAACTCAACAACAGTACTATAACAAGCTGCTTTAGTTTTGGAAAGCTTTCGGAAATTGCTTCGCTATGTTCGCTGCCATCTATCATACTCCAAAATTTGTCACAATCCAAACTTTTTTATCTAGATCCTCATCCCTGAAATCCTCAAATAAAAACTACGAATCTAGCTAAGGAAACTACCCATCCCCACACCTAACGCAAAAAATTCAAGATACCGTCAATTCCTCTTCAAGCGAAGACACTATTTCGCTAAATGAAGGGCGTGTTGAGGGCTCTGGGTGCCAACACGAGGTCATTATCTCAAAGCTGTTGAAGCAAAAAACATGTGCTTAGTGACTCATTCGAGTCAAAAAGTGACTCAAATCTTTTGTCATGAAACGAAATGTTTTGCTAAAAAAAAAATACATCTTATCCCGGCAGCCATCAGGTTGTTTCAGTCTCTGTCCTGACTTAAGAAAGTCTACAACTTCCATTCCTCCCAATCCTGAATACGGCATTAAACCTAAATTATAAGGTACGAAAAGAAACTATATTAGACGAGTGATTCCCCATTTCTCTCAAGGATGGTTGTGCATATTCGTGTTCCGAGAAAATCCTGTGATTAAAGAACTTACCTCGAGATTCAATTTCCCATAATACTATGCCAAATGACCACCTAAAATAGAAAGCCTTTTTGTCACTCATCTTCATTAAAGTTACTTTCGCTAATTTAAAGTGAGGGTTTTTCCATGTTGAAAGTTTAAGTTTGCTGAACTTACACGTCTGTCTTTGTGTTGTAGGTGTAATCTTCTAAGGATTCAAGAGCCATCCAACGTACTGGCAACATGCCCTGAATAATAACAAGAAAAAGGAAACAAGGTAAATGTGTGGCCTTGTTTGATCAAATAATTAGCCGCTATAAATAGGGAGTCCGATGAGCCCCGTGAGAGGTAGGGTAGACAATAATTGAAGCCAACAGTGCATAGTGGGTGAGGAAGTGGCAGAAAAAAACAGTTTGTTTTGAAATAGACACCTCTAGGATGGCATTGAGTTGACAGTGACTGACGATTCTGTGGATAAATTAATAGAGAGAGGAGTTCTTAGAAAGACAACAATTTGCTTTTTTCTGTGCTGATATAGACCATAGAAATGACTCCCAATATCAGTCAAATCTTTGCAGAGAAACCACTTGCTGCAATGAAAATGTTATGCTTCCATTTCCAGTGAGTTTCCTAGTAAAATGACGCGCCATATTACCGACAATTGCGACAACATTTCATCGTACGCGTGTCCATGCGCATGCTCTATACTCACAGAAACAGGGCGCGGGAATCAAAGTGACTCAGTTATTGCCATAACCAATAGTGATACATCTTTGTAACCTAATGCGCAAATATGTTTTAATTACGTACCCCAGACAACGTTTCGTATTCACCACTTTCGTATACATCACGTGACAAACCAAAGTCAGATATCATGGCCACGAAATTCTCGTCGAAAAGGACATTTCGAGCTGCAAGGTCACGATGAACGCACTGCAAAGACAAAGCATAAACCAGCCCAGAAGCCGCTTGAAATCAGTGCATCTATTATATACTAAATAACTGACCCTATAATTTACGAGACTAATCTTGATCTAAGATGTATCCCTATGGCGGACACTGTAGGGACTGACCTTGAGTCAGTGTCCTCGTCGGCGAGAGTCCGTAATAGCGGGAGTTTATTTCAGTCAAACGTCTGTAATATATTTTTGCCTGGGATTTAGCTGCTGGCCGTATTATCGGGTGTCGGCATGTAGGGAGTTGTTGACTGCATATAGTATTGCAGCATGACGGTGGGATATTGTTAAGACACTATGCTTACGAGAGATCTTAGCTCAGGACGCCTTCGAAAGTCCGGGTCAGTATTAAACGTTTTCATTCGCTTGCCCAGCAGTTATGCAGATTTATTGAAATTCAAAAAAAATACAAAAGAAAAAGGTTCAATTTCCACCGGAGTGGTTAGAAAAACCAACATGACCACCGTTTTATTGTTTTAGGACATGGCCCACGTTACATCATGTGAAAACGGTCTATAGATAAACTTTCGCGCCAAAGACTCTTAGCCAATCAGAGCAGAACATGATTTCAAGCAATGGCTACCGCAGAACTCAGTAGGAATAAATAAATAAATAAATTTTGAGCTCCTGACCGATTTTGAAATCAAATCTACGCAGCACTGAAGGTCGAAGAGTCCTTATAATCAAAGCTAATCAATGCCACCAAAACAAAATCGACCCTAACTGTAGCCCTTATTATTTATCTTGTTCGTAGAGCTTCTTACCTTTTTGTTTGACAGATGTAACATTCCATTTGCAATATCTCTTGCGATCCTTGTTCTTTCACTTGTTGTGAAGCTTAGTTTCGGTTGGTTTACGTTCACGTAAGAATTTTCTGTGCTCCTATGTAGATAATTTAACAGGCAGCCATTTTCTGCCAGGCGTACGACAACTAACGTGGGTTCTGTTTGAAAAAGAGTACATTGTTTAATTTTTAAACACGGTATACCATCACAATCCAACTTGGATCAGTATATGATTCCGTTAAACTCCCCACCTACCCCTCCCCTAATCCAACGTTAAAACCTAAAAACTTTTCCTTAAGGGAAAGTTCATTTAATATGACAAGGGCGGGGGATGAAGATATTGAAACTCGAAGCTTGAAATTTTAGCAGCCCCCCTCGCTAGCGGTTCAATTTTTTAGGAGCCCCCTCCTTGGTAGTCGAAAAAATTTCAGAGCCCCCCCCCCCCTCCTCCTTCAATTCCTTTGCTCCCCTGAAAAAAGATCGCTAGACTGTATTAAATATATTTACCGTTATTGTCTTCAATGGTTTATACTATGACAAACTTGAGATACAGTTGTGATACAATTTTCTAAAGCATTTTTGGGATGAACAAGAGTGTAATAATTACTGAGACTACATTTGTTATATCTGTAAACCACGTGATATAGCTGAGTTGCACAGGTCATTAAATTGTTGAGTTGAAAACCATCCGATCTGTATGATGATGTCATGTGTTGGTTTTGAAGTATACAAATTTTCGGAGCACCCCCCCCTAGCGCAACAATTTTTTCAAGGCCCCCCCCCCCCCTTCGGGTGTCTAAAAATTTTCGGAGCCCCCCCTCAATATCTTCATCCCCCCCACCCCCCCTTGTCATATTAAATGAACTTTCCCTAAGAGCATAGTGTTAGACTTCGGGGTGGGGTAGGTGGGCCCACATTACTACTTATCGTGTCACAGGGAAGCCTAAAGAAGACTCATTAATGATGTGAAGATAAACTACGCATACAGAAATAAGATAGTACACCTAAAGATATTATTTTAGTCACATCATACTTCGTGTCGATATAGCCCTATTCTCACAGATTTTCTTTCAATAACAGTAATTTTCAAGCCCCGTGCAAACGGACGCAACATTTTTGGCCAAAAAATCCCATCATTGTTGCCATGTTACATGTTACGTCTGTTTGCACACCCTGTTGCATGTTGGTGCATGTTCTTGTGTGTTGTTTAGAGTTGTTGTGCAGTTCAAAACCGGTCAAACTTTTAGCTACGTGCACTGAAATGGACGCAACAACTCTCTATATTGTTGGGCGACAATGTTGGGAATCGTTACGTCTGTTTGCATGTAGCTTAAAAGGAACAGATCACCATAAGCAAGTTTTAAGTGCATGTTTGGCCATGACGAAATTAAGCGTGGCTATATGCTCAGAAAACTTGATGAATTTACAACGATGTCCAGGTTTAAAATTAAATTGAGAAATACCTGTCTCTGTACAAGCTGCTATAAGATTTATAACATTGGGATGTTCACCAACTGTAGCCATTATCTCCAGCTCATTCCTAAGGTCACGTTTTTCTTTCTCTGTAGCATTCTCTAAAATTTCAAAAATGCTTTCGCTGTTGTTATGAGTCAGATATTACATAACGTTTTTAATACCAATGAAAATAATATCGCGTTATATTTGCTAAGCAATGATACAAATATCCAAAGTACTGTTAGATCAGATCTATAAGTTATTAGTAAGACATGAAGGAAACTATGTTTTACCATGCAGTATAATTGGGTTATGTGACAATATGCTGTTTCCCCAATTGTAAAAAAAGCAACAATAACAACAAGAAAAAGTTTACCAAAGATTACCTTTAAGTTTCTTTATAGCACAGTTCCTAAATTTTCCGCTGATCGTGACCTCGCCCTTGAAAACTTCTCCAAATGCCCCTTCACCCAACTTCTCCTTGAACTCGACAGCTGATCTGGGAAGTTCAATCCAATTGCCGCGCTTCCCTAACACAATCTAGAGCAGAAATGTTCGCTTACATTACACTGCTTGTTTGTTCAAAAGTGGAAGGTTGAGATATTCAAACGTATAAATTGAAATCGATTGTCGCCTATCTAGCCTGCGAATACAGCCGTCTCTCTTAGCTGATCACCATAAAGAAAATGCTTTGACGAACTCCGGAATGAAGAGCAGTCTGGCAAATTTTCATGTGAATATTGTGGCTTTAAGAGTTAACCTTTGAGCATAACATGGATTGCATTCAAGGCAACTAAACGTTTATCATCATCCTTCTTACCTTTCCATATTCTCTCGTTTTTGTTTGGCAACATGGCCGAAAAATCAGGCACACGGTGACGATGAATAAGAAAGCCAAACTCAAAGGAAGCACAATTGTGAGGATCAAGTTCTTAATAAATGCATCTGCAAGGTAGACACAATAATCATGAGAGAAACCTGAATTTGTCAAGGTTCTTGTCGTATTTTATGTAATGTTTCTGGTAAATGGAAGAGACAGTTTGTGGAAGTATTTGAAGAAAGTGCACTACCCATTTAGTACACTGTGTGACGAAACTGGTGGTTGAAGAAAGAAAACGGACGCATTCGCTTAATAAGAAAGCCAAACTCAAAGGAAGCACAATTGTGAGGATCAAGTTCTTAATAAATGCATCTGCAAGTTAGACACAATAATATAGAGACCTGAATTATTCAAGGTTTTTGTCGCATTGTAAGAAATGTTTCTGGTAAATGAAAGAGACACTGTGGAAGTAGTTAAAGAAAGTGCACTACCCATTTAGTACACTGTGTGACGAAAATGGTCTTCGGAGAAAGAAAATGGACGTATTTGCGGTCCTCGAGGCCACGCTTTTTTAAAAAGATGGCAAACATTTACACCCTACACACACATCTACGTATCTGCACAATCTGAAACTAAATTTTTACTTTTCTGATGAGCGCGCGAGGGAGTAGCTAGCTGGCAACCATAAAAATCCCTTCATTTTCGCCCTATACAGTGTACACCCGTCCCGTCCCCTTAAGGGGGCTTCTGTACTAAGGCTAGTTTCATTAACAATATTTACACATGTAAGCATTAGAAAACGTTTTCCGTGCATGTTTGCATGGCGTGATATAAACACGAGAGGGGTTGCGAGAAAAAAGTTTTCTATTGCTTTTATAAAATTAATTAACTTTCCCGAGAGAAAACGCGAACTCTTTGTAATGGCACTGATTAATAGAGAAATTCTTACCAGTCGCGAAGTCTTGCAAGCGTAATCAGTTCTTGTTTTGCAAAAAAGATGCATTCCAATATACGGATTCGCTTAAAATGTCAGCTTAAGCGAAAAAAAAAATTGACACAGCATGTTTGTAAAGATTTCCCAAGTTTCACCCGACAAGGGAATTGGTAAATAAAGTAAACTTGTCAAGTTTTTAACCAAAAAACTTTTTCAAATTCGTGCTTGCGTGACTAGCACGCCAAAAGCAAAACATCGTGACGTCACAACCATGTTTACATGCTCTCATGAAAACACGCCTCTCGGCCAATCAGAGCGCGCGTTCTATATTTGTTATTTTATAAATACATATCTACAGCACAAAAAGAGCAAAATTCCAGTACCTTCTCGTGTGTTTTGCGTCAAGAGTACACCATCGGATGTCCCATATTTGTTGATGCTTGATAATCTGATTATGTATTCAGTGGCTGGTTCTAAGTCCTCCATAATCATTCCAGTCTGTGAATAGGGCAAGGCTGCCACCTTGGTGAAGTTTTTGGAGCCTACTTTTCTGTGCTCGACTGAGTAGTTTTGAATCTGGAAATCACCTCCATATTTTGGTTTCTCCCACTTTATTACAATGTAACATGTCTGTACGTTAATTACCTTTAAATTTCCAGGCGGTGGTGGTTTCTCTTATTAAAAAGTAAAACAAAAATATGAAATTTAGAAAATAAGATAACCGTATACAAAAATATGTTTTCCGAGAACTGAACCTTAAATCAGCAACAACAGGAACTTTGTCTTCTTAGACAACGTTCACACTCGGTGTCTGGGCACGATGCCCGAGTACGCTACTCGCTGGGCACTAATATGAGCACACCATTTTTTCAAGTACCCACGCAAGAATTCGGGCTCCGTGCGGGTACCAGAGTACCAGGTCTCGACCTTGTACTCCGGCGCAAAAGTAGACACCGGGTCCCCGTGTGCACACGGTTTTTGTATGAGTTCCGGGCAGTCCACTGCTTAGTTCTCGCTGCTAAGCTCATGTTTCAAAATGGCGTCTGACAGAACGAAATGGAGTAACTATATACATAGTCACATATCGGGTACTAAAGGTATGAACACAACACCATTTTTTGTCGGTACCCAGGCACTAGTTCCCGAGCACCAAGTGTGGACAGCTCCACAGAGTTAACGACGTAACTTACCTGTAACAATAAGAGCGGAGACACGCAAACTGTCTTTAAACGCAGTATCAAATCCTTCTATAAAATGAGTCAAAGCCTCAGCTTTTGAAGTATGTTCATTTACTATGGCTAAAGCCAACATCTGGGCGTTTACGCTTCCACGACTGGTAATTAAGAAGAGAAAATTGATAAATAAGAAACAAAAACAAAAACAACAATTAATCGTAACTAGAAGATGAAGTTCATAATTAATCCCGCTTTGGTCGTGGTCAGACCAGTTCGGTCACAGAGAACATGACATAACCCAAACACACCCATTCGTATGTGCATAGGACAGTGACAGATTTCTGTTAATTAAACAATTTTTCGCTCAAGCCGAGCCACTTTTCAAAATCCAAGTCTTTGGCAATAGTTGCCACCATTAAAATTACCCAACAAAAAGCTTTTGGCTGCGGTGAACCTTTAGAACCAGCAACATATATTGACTGGTAAGACTGAGAGCAATACTACCTGAAGCTCAAAACTCTGACTTCGTAAATCTTGAATGAAGAGGACTCATTGAACTGGATATTAATCTGCAACGCAACAGTAGTCTTATTTTTCTTATCAAAACAAAAAACAAGGAGGATGCGCGCAAGGTAGTTAAGTGTTCATAAAAGCGCGCCTAAAACTAGGCTAAACGATGGCGAAATCGCAAATCAACTGCCAAATAACCCTTGCTTACCTTCGAGGTAATATTCCTTTCCATCACTATGAACTTTTCGCTACTTCTATTAAGTAGATCACTATGAAAATCAGTGTTGATCACAAGCTCAAAGTTTATATCAACCACAATGGTACCTGAAAAGACAAAAAAAATTGTTCAGTCTTAAAAATGGAACTTCAACATCTTTCACCTATGGTCAGAAGCGAAGCTAATGAAAGTATGTATGCGATGACAGAGGAACTCTCCGATGTTCTCTATCACTAAAAATTGAAAAGCACCTCTCCAGAAACACTACGTGATGATTAGGTTATTCACTTTAAAAACTTAGTATCATCAAAGTTCACAGAGTGTACAATGGCAGCATTTACATACCGTTTTGCAAGGTTTGTACAATAATGAGGTTTCCAGGTGGTCCGTGACCAACTTCGTTAAAGCCATTTACTTTAATTTCATACGAAGTTCGGTAGTCAAGTCTGCTGATCACAACTTCTGTGCTGTTACTGGAAACATTCTTTTCAATATATAACTGGGATCCAAGGCGTCTGTATCTTATGCGGTATCCCAGGAGCTTTTCATTGTGAGGGGGTGGAGGGATACGTTCCCAGGATATGTGAATTGCAGTTGAGTTGAGAGGATATCCTCTTAACAAACTCGGACCATCAGATGGAACTGGTGAATGGAAATTTTCGCAAACACTCAATTGCACAAAAATGAGAGAAAAAGGTAGGGAGGAAGGGAAGGAGAAAAGGTAGAGGGAAGAAGAAAGAGAGGAGAGAGGGGGGAAGAAGGAAGGAAGGAAAGAAGAAACGAAGGAAGGAAGGAGGGAACGACGGATGAAGGTAGGACGGAGCTAGGAAAGGAAGAGGGGAATACAGGGAGGCGGGGACAGAGAAAGGAAGGAAGGAAGGAAGGAAGGGAGGGAGGGAGGAAGAAAGGAGGGAACGAAGGATCAAGGAAGGAAGGAGGGAGGAAAGGAAGAGGTGAATACAGGGAGGGGGACAGAGGAAGGGAGGAGCGAGCGAAGGAAAAAGGAAGGGAAGATGGGGAGAAAGGAGTGGAGGAAGGAAGGGGGGAACGAAGGATGAAGGAAGGAGGGAGGGAGGAAAGGAAGAGGGGAATTCAAGGAGGGGGGAGCAGAGAAAGGAAGAAAGGAATGGAGGGAAAGAGGGAGGGGCAAAGTATATCTTTTGGTGTAACTAATCAAATGTACCATGCATATTGAACTGCTCATTCTTAAGCTGTAAGATTTTTCAAAAACAAAACCTAAAAAGTACCTCTTGGAGGGCAGCGGGATATGTTGCAGTACTCCCATCGAACCTTAGGGTCAGTGGTATAGCACCAAGGTCCATCCGGGGCACTAGCATCTGGGTTACGACACATGTTGGAGTCATTCTGACCATCAACAACATCTTCAGGAATCCGCAGATGACGATGAGGGCATTGAGAAATCCACCGCTGACAAGAACGGCCTGAACGAGTTATATTCACTTCACCACGATATCCAACGCCAATGCCATGGTAACAATCTAAGGATTGCGTATTGTACTTAGCAAGTGGCTCTTTTGACGCAGTAAGAAAATTCAAAAAGTGACATTTCGAGTGGCGGTCCCTCGTCAGACAAGAGATCACTCAGGCTAGTGCTTTAGAAGAATGCTAAGAAAAGATTCACAAACCTGTACTTCTGGTTTTGTCACCTTTAAAAAGAAAAAGAGAAGGAACTCTTTACGTCAAGACTCTTTCTTTTTCTAAAAAAAAATATAAACCAGACCCCAGTTGATCAAAAGCTGGATGGCGCTATCCACCTGATAAATCCCTATCCACTGGATGTTTCTGGAAAACTGCCCACCTACTCTTCCCCTAAGCCAACATTTTGCCCCAAGTGAGAAGTAAGTGCTATGCTAGCTTAGGGGAGGGGCAGGTGGGCAGTTTCCCAGAACCGTATAATGACCCATAAGTATTAAAGAAAACAATTGTACTATAGCGTTATCAACTTTTTGAACAACTGGGGGCTGAAGCCACAGGAAATATTACAATTAATCACCTGGTAATGCAGGGTGTTGGTAGCATTCTGATGCCTCTCCTCCATTGGCAGCGGGGTATTTAGTGCAGTTGATTAGATTTTCGATAAAAACAGGATCTGTTTTCGCAATTGTTCTCAGGACATCTAACTCTTTTGCGCAGTACTTTCCATGGAGCACAAACTGACAAGTCTTACGACAAATCTCCTGAGCACGAGGCTTGTTTAGAGAGGTATCACACAGTGGAAACAAATAGCGACAGACCATTTCCTTGATGAAAAATTTGCATCCTTCAGATATAAATCCCGCTCTTAAGTAACCATCGAACCTTGCATTGAGATCCTCCCTATCTCTCAAGAAACCAGAATCCCCATAAACATATCTACTACTTATGATGTCTTCACAGGCTCCAGCTTTTTTAGGGTAAAAAGAACAATACGCGTTCCTCATGGCAGAGCTGACTGGGGACTCCGCAGGAATACAGCTAGAAAAAAAAAGGCATTTGTGAGCAGCTTGTACTACCTTTGGTTGCTCATCCATCTGGGTTTATGTTACTTTCACTGTACGTATTTACTGGAAATAAATACAATGTTATTTTGTGGCAAACAGTTGAACAACGAATTAAGAGCCCCCTTCAAACAAACGTCCCCACCCAACTCGTCGAATAAACCCAACTCAATATGGTAAATAAGCGCCCGTCAATTCAAGCATCTGCTGTAACTGTGGACAAGAAGTTTTTCTGAAACAACCATGGGTTCTGTTAAGACTAACCTGGAGTTTGTTTCTTGTGAAATCGAGATGTTCTGTGATGCTGAAACAAGGATTAAGACAAGCAATCATTAATTTAAGTAAGGATTGAACAAAGAACAAAGGAAAAACCTGGCTTATAGGGAAGATTCGTGTTTTTAATCAACTTTTTACTAACTTCAATAAACCAGTCACTGAAACAAAAAAACCCTTTGTACAAGAGCAAATAAGCCTCTTGTTGACACAAAGCGGCAGGTTTGAATCGCTATATGGCTACTACGAAGTCAGTCTAACCAAATGTCGTTTCGTTTCACACTAATTCTAGCATTTGAAAGTGGATCTTATTCTACAACTCTCCTTAGCTTGTTCTGCGCCCTCGAGAGTAAGTACCCTCCCCACCAACCCGCTAATGTAACAGCACCCTGGTACGGTTCACATGAATTTGCACACAAGACTCTTCAAGACTGTAGGCGCATACAAAGTAACGCACCTTTGCGCAACTCTTGTCCACACATGACGGATGGTAAAATGGGATATCGGTAGATATCAAGTTCGTAAACGGATACGTGCTAAAGCTTCGTCCCACACATGAAAGAGTGTAATTAACAATTATTCCGCGAGCCCGAATAGGCTCTGAGTCAATAGCTATTGACTCAGAGGCCATGAGGGCGAGAGGAATAATCTTTTTAGTAAAATCCAACTAGTTGGTAAAAAATATCGAGAATAAAAAACTTTTAGCTAGTTTAAGCTAGACTTTAATCCTTTTTTGCCGCCAAAAAGCCCGCGCTTTTCGCTACTAGTGGGCTATAACATATAGCCCAATATTAGCTCAACCAATCAGAACGCAGCATTGATAATAGACCACTACCTGGATTTTACTAAAGTGGGATATCTTCGGATTTCCGCAGCGGTAAACGTATACGAGCTAAAGCCGGTTCAAACGGTTTCGTCCAAATATGACTGTTCTAAAAGGAAAATCAAATTTATCAAATCATATAGACTAAAGCGCGTTTTTTAGGTTTTGTGCACACGACTGTTCTCAAACAGATATCATCAGATACAAAGTTCAGTCGTAAACGCATCCGAGCAAACTGCGCCTCCACACGACTTTGTCCACACATGAGAGATCGTAAACCGGGAAATCTTCGGATATCAAGTTCGTAGACACATACGAGTTAAAGCGAGTTAACACCGCTTTTGTCCAACACGTGACAAATCGTAAAACGGGATATCATTAGATATCCGAAGTTCGTTATACGTTCGTTAAACGCATACAAGCTAAAGCGCGTTCACATGGCTTTCGTCCCACACGTGACAATTCTTAAACGGATATGAACGGATATCAAGTTCGTAAACGCGAGTACTAAAGCGTGTTTACGCGACTTACGTCCAATCGATCGTAAACAGGGACATCGTGGGATATGAAGTTCGTTAACGCATACGAGCTAAAGCACGTTTACCTGACAGATCGTAAACGGAAATCATTGTAAACAGTCTAAAGAGCAAACTTCAGCCTCCCAGCGACGAAAAAGTTAAGACTGAAGGTCTACTAGCAGTACTGGACTTGAAGCCAAAGTGGACTTTCGGAAAGCCTATCTCCAGTAAACGAACAATTTCATCCTTCTTGTGTCAAAGACCGTCAATACACTATGTAAGTTTGCGTGGTTTACAAACAGAAATTGCAGCATAAGAGTCACAGGGAAATTTCAAAGCGGATATATATAAATACGACACGCCTGACTTCCTTCTTCTTTCTGAACCATTTAACCATTTAACCATTTAACCATTTTTTTTTTAAATAAATGCAACCGCAGCTTAAACAGTTTTATCATTTTGTCGCCATTTAAAAACATGACTAACTGTCTAACAAAAATAGCTCTTTGGATCTCACAAACTATGTCCAAACATTTCCGTACGTCTAATTTTACCAAAGTAACCTCTAAACTAAAGGAATTCATGTGAAACGCATGTTTTTTTGTAGATTTTCAATCGTGCATGAGCAGTTACTCTGGATAGCAAAATAGGTACCTTAGTGCACTCATTATAATTATACCAATAAGTTCCAAACTTACCACAGAAAGACAAGGTTACAACGTACAGGGCAGCAAGAACATGAAGGTCAGCAGTCGACTGAAGAGACATTCTCGTCAAGGCAACGTCAAATCACAAACCCACCTCGTGCGGAACATTAACACTGCAAAGCGAAGTTAAAAGATCTCTGCTGTTAAGCTAATAACCTTATAAGTAACATTCGATAAGTCATCATGGGGTTGGATCGATGTTTTCGTTTTCCATACAAAAGACCCCTTATCATCAAGCATCCGTCGTTCACCTCAATTCCCTAAGAAAATTTACCTTTATAACATCGAATATCACTGAAGCCCAATGATATCATTCAGTAACTGTAACCTTAGTTAGCTCTTGAAGCGCGTAATTTAGTGGACTTTGTCGTGCTGTGAGAAAAAATCGTTGTTGATCACATAGCTTGACAGACTATCTCAAGGAACTACACCTAGCATGCGAACAGCAGACGCATTTAATAGCGTCTGCGAACCCGAGCGGCAAAACGACTTCCGTGACGTAAAACCTTTTTAGCCAATCAAGGTTTAGCTCTTAAAATCAAGGAACTAACTCGCGAGACTTCTCGCAAGATCGTGTGCGGTGGATATGTTTACAAGTCGAAATTGAAAGGAAGACGTAGCTTGTGTATAGCCGCCCTTTTTTCTCAGAACGACGCGTTTACGAAAGTTAATTTGCCAGGATTGTGGGACTGATTGATGAAATAAGCATCAAGAGGATTCACATTGAAGAAAAGATTAGAGTGCCTACAGGGTCAATGATTTATCACACCTAGTTGTTTTGATCATATTTGAAACGATAAATTTCTTAATGGCTCCTAATGACAGTAGACGCATCATGCCGTTTGTTGCTTCTGTTCCTTTCTGGTATGCTTTTGAGAACTCTTCGATAGTTTGTCGCGTGCCGCTTTAGATATTACTTTATCTTTGAAAGCTAGTACGTGTGGTAATTGATTTCCCATGCGTGGTTGCTTCTCGGTTCAGACAGAACTTTGATCAGATCGAAAGCATTTTATATTTGTTCTTATTTTTCTTTAAATACATGTTTTTTTGAAGGTTTTAATTTCCATAGTTTTTTATAAGATGAGTCGAAGCGTCGTCGTAGCTGAAAAGTCATCTTGACTATGATCAATTTACTGCTGTGCTATTTATTTCACGCTGGATCTGGCCTAGGTTTATATTTCAGATCATTGTGTTGTGGCGATATTATTGACGAGCAATTGTCAGAGATTTCTGAATCAGTCAAGGATGTGTCTGTATAAATGATTCACCACCTTTTGTCAGCACTGGTTAAATTGAAATAAATAAGTCTGAGCGCGATGTCATTAAGCTATGTTACTTCCCTTTCGCTGTAGCGATTATTTTGTTCAGGTTTTGTTTATGTCACGTACTACCCTATTTTACAAAGCGAAACGAGAGGGCCCACATCACATACACAGCTTAACAAGCAGTTGCTTTATAAAGACGTCAGCATTCAACATCGCAGGAAACGTTGTTATGGTCGTGAAATTCACGTTCCAAAGCGTTTTTGGTAACTCTCGCCGAAATCCAAGACACTCCAGCGCGCGAGGTCGCGAGGAGTCACTCGAGCTGTGTTCTATCCTTTGATCTGATAGGCCAACATCAAAACAAAAGGTTTTACGTCACGGAATGTTTTTCGGAGGGAGAGAAGCGACAATCGGAAATGCGTCTGCTGTTCGCAGGCTAAACTACACCGTGACATTATTGTTGTATGCGTGACTTTTTGTTTGTTTTTGTCTTTGCCATTTTTTCATGAACACCTCCGTCATATCCAGCTCGCCCATAGAAAGGAAGAAGCCGTTCACTTTAAAGTACGAAAGCCATAAAGGGTCTTCCGAGTTCCGACTTCCGACTTCCAACTTTCAACTTCCATCTTCCAACTTCCGACTTCCGACTTCCAACTTCTGGCTTCCAGCTTCCGACTACCAACTTCCGACCTCCGACTTCCGTAGCAATAAAAGGCGGTGGTAGGCCTACGCGACTTTTACCTTATGCTAAAATGCTGCTTGTTTCAATAACGTTTTTTCCTTCCGCTGGGTAGATTATGCTATAGAGGGTTCTACATTTTTTACTGAGCAAATGTGATTTTAGCCGCTTGTTTTACACTGAGAGGTCATTGCACACATCGATTTACGGTGGTTTTTGTTTCTGGTCGGCAAGATTTGCCCCCTGATGAAAGAGCATTTTCTTTGACCTTGTTTAAAGCGTAAGGCTTTTTATTACGGCTGAGTAAGGGCTCTAATTTTTCTCCAAAGTGCCTTCTGCACCTGAATAACTAAGCGATTTTCTTTAGTCCGTGAATCTGCAATGTTTTATCACGCTGGTCCCAGCTCGTTAGTTTCCTTTGCAGGATGTTAAATTATCACGGATAGTGATTTACAGATCCAAAGTTATAAGAATGAAGTGCAGCTTAAAATGAAGCTGCATCAACTATGGAGAATTGCATTGTGACTCAGTATATTCCAGCTTAGTGTTTTTCTAGTCTCGCTTGGCTCATAAGGCGCCTGTTATGCAGGCTAGAATAAGATTAACAGTGTTTGGACTGTTTTGTTATTGCCACTGTGTGATCAGGCAAGACCATGGTTTCAACGCTCCGGAGAGGAGTGTGACGACACTAAAAACGGCTGTGTAGCAGACTAAGCTCAGCCCAGGTTTTAAAGAAATATATTTTTAATAAATACCGTAAATCCTCTATTAAGCCCCCCGGGGGGCTTATTTATTTTATGCCCATTTGAGGGGGGGTGGCTTAATATAGACGGGGGGGCTTATTATAGATGGGGGCTTATTTATTTTAGAAAAGACGATGGTATCAGTTCTCCATAAAGAACTAGAATATGAAGTGAAAAAGCTCATTAACAAGTACAAGAAGTTTAATTTAGGTCATGCAGCCAAGGGTCAGAATCAATTCCGAACTTCCAGTTGGTAAATAAACCATCCCGGATCAGTACACATGAAGTTTTACAGTCGTGATTGATTAATACAGTCTATCATTTATTATCGAAGAATAATTAGGGGAGGGGGGGGGGGGCCTTAATAGAAACGGGGGGCATATTAACTTTCTTTCCCTGAAAAGGGGGGCCTTATTAGGGGGAGGGGGCTTTTTGGGGACGGGGGGTTTGATAGGGGATTTGGGGGATGGAAGTTGTATAACGGGCTTCCCGGTCCGTGGAATTGCCAAACGCGTGTGCTGGGGTTCTTGCA